AATCTGGATGAGGTTGTATGCTGCTCTAAGGTCTAGCTTGGTATAGATCCTTGCCTTCCTGAGTAAGAACAGCTGCTCCTCGATGAGGGGCAATGGTGCCCTGTTCTTGACAGTGATCTCGTTGAGACCTCTGTAGTCCACACAGAGTCTGAGACCCCCATCCTTCTTTGGTATGAAGAGCACTGGTGATCGTGCCGGGCTCTTCGATGGTCTTATGAACCCCTTCTCGAGGTTCTCATCCAAGTATCTCCTCAACTCGGACATCTCCTTGGGTCCCTTAAGGTATAGGGGCCCTTGAGGTGGCTTACCTCCTTCTATCAACTCGAGGTGGAGATCATGCTCGGTATGATGGGGCAGCTTGTCTGCTTCCACCTCATCAAACACATCTCGCAGGTGTTGGTATGGCTTTGGTATGTCTGCAGCCGTCACCACCTTGTCTACCTCCACCTCCATCTCAACTCCTTTGTCTGCACCTGTAGGTACAAAACCAAAGGCCGGGAGTGATGATGGTGGCTCCTCCAACAGCATGAACCCTATGGGTCCATATTCCAGAGCTGCTCATAGTATGCGCTCTGCTGAGACAAACTCGTTACCATGAAGGGTTGGTCTCCTCATGGTTAGGTCCCCTGCTCTTGCTGCTTCAGGGGGTCTCCTTGGGGGTCGGTCCTGCTCCTGAGTCTTGAACTCTAGCTGGCCCGTATCCCATTGTATGGTGGGTTTGAGCCTCCGTAGCTCCGTGAACCCCAGGATGAGGTCATAGTCAGCAGTGTTGGCCACTGAAGCTTCGACCACACCCAGATTGTGTGTGCCAATAGATACCTGCATGCTCGCAGAACTATTGATGGAGAGTTGGTGCCCGGTGACACCATGGATCGATCTTGTTTTTATGGGTTTTGTGGGTATTTGGTACTTACTAATGAAAGAATCTGAGACTATGGACAAACCAGCACTGGTATCAGCTAGTATCTGAGCAGGATGGTCTTGAACCATTCCAGAGAGCTCCAGTACTGCTTTGCCTCCACTGGTAGAGAAACATACTTGACACTCTTGATATATACAGAGTGATGGCGAGGAGGTTTGTAGAGCAATGCATGCCATCAGTGCATCACCCCACTGATGTTTCCCTCATCATCATCATCATCATGCTCCTCCTCCTCATGGTCGAGGTCCATGGGTTGCTGGTATGAGCTAAGGTCCATAGCCTCGGGGTCACCCATCTCAGTACTGCCTGTGTGGCCATCTCCTGAGTCGGTGGCCTCCTCAAAGGGGTCTGCTGTGGTGACCATAACCTTTGGTCCCATGGGTCGAGAGCTAAGAGGGTCTACCCTCCTGCTGGGGCAGTCTCTGGCCCAATGGCCGATACCCTTGCATACATGACAGGTGTTGATACCTGATGGAGCAGGGCTTCCTTGCTTCGAGGGTTGGGTGGGATGATGAGGAAGGGGTCGGTTTAGGTTTTGTATAGTTGCTTGTGTAGTTGCTTGTGATGGTGATCGAGCTGGATAAGGTTGAGTGGGTTGTCGGATGGGGATCGAACTTTGATTTGGCTGAGACCCAGTTCTTAGTGGAGGTGACATGGCGTTTGGGAGTGAGTGTCTAGCCGAGGACTGCTGTAGTAGCATCCTCTGTCGTTCGATCTCCTCAACCTCTTGGTACCACTCCCATCTCTTCCCAGGTGGATTCCTCTCGAACTTCTCCTGTATGCTGCGAGTGAGACTTCCTCTGAAGAGATCCATCACTAGCTCGTTGTCATCTAGGTTGACCTGTCCCTCCAAGTCTCTGAACCGCTCTACATGACGTGTGGCAGCACCAGGAGCATCACTTGTGAGTCTGAGAGCCAACAGCTTGTTGTATGCCTCCATCCTAGCATTGCGTGGGTTGAACTGTTCTGTCAGTCGCTCTGTGAAGTAGTGCCAATCATTGAACAACCTTCCTTCTCTAGCTCTATCAATATGGAGCTTGGAGGTCCACCACTCTCTTGCTGTCCCTTCCAGTTGAGCTCCCATGTGGTTGATCATCCTAGTCTGCTCATACACCTGGTTGAACTTAAACCATGCTTCGGCTTCTAGAATGAAGATCTCCATGTCTCGGGGATTGAACTTTGGAAAGGGGGTGGCGATGGGCTTTGACCAGTTAAGCTCTGCCATGATGCTGGTATCCTCCTCGTGGTCCAGGGGGTAAGGGTCCGTCCTAGTCCTGCTGTAGGGGTCCAGCTTAGTCTTGACATATCTTGGCCCAGTAGGTGAAGCATACTTCTCGTAGTTGATGTCCTCCTGCTCATCCAGGTTGAATGAGACTGATCGTCTTGGTCGTGGAGCTGGAGTAGGAGTATGTGGGTCTCCTATCATAGACTCATCTCCTCCTCCTGCTTGGTCTTCTGAGTGAGAGAGGTCCATTGTCTCCTCCCTGCTCAGTTGAGCTCGTTGTAATCGTTCCTCTCGATGACCCTGTCTGGTAAGCTCTAGCTGTGCTTCCAATAGAGTGAGTAGTCTGTCGAGCTTATTGTTGAGGTCTGGGTCTGTCATGGTGATCGTGAGGAGCTGCTTGAACGATCCACTCTAATGTCAGGGGTCTCGCGCCTGAAACCCAGGTCGGTCTGTCGAGATACTTGGTGACTATCAAACTGTGTGACAGCTATTGTCTTGGTATTGGTGACTATCAAGTTGCACAGTGACAGCAGGTGGCGTTCGTTGTATATACTATCGTAGGTTTCAGCTGACCTCTGTGGACACTCCGTTCAGGGGTAGCTCGGCATGATCAATATCAATGCTATGATGACACCAAGGTCTGGTGTGAGTGTTGATGATGATGAGGTTGATGACATTGGTGATAAGGTTGGTGGGTGTTGATGATAATGAGGTTGATGGTGTTGGTGATAAGGTTGGTGGCGTCAACATGAGTGTCCAGTGTGTTGACTTGATGCTTGAAGTGATCCCCAGACTGCAGTGGACTACTGCCTTCAGTTCTATCTTGATCCGGACTGCTAACCTGCTATGGGCGCCTTCGGACATCAGGTAGTGGTGATACAACACACACACTATGATGAGGAGCAACCTTGATAGATTGCTGCTATGCTGACTGAAACTAATATATACTTATGCTGAAGTGATAACTAGTTATGGTGAGTAGAGTGGATGAGGATCCACTTGACCTATGATGATGAGAAAGCATGGTTATATACCTCTTCACAGCATCGCCAGCGATGCTGCTCCTGCTCTCTCTCCAGAGAGTACCTTCTTCATCGAGTACTGCTCAGGGGCCTCTCCTGCTTGGCACCCCTGTGCCTCTTGAGTGGTGTCGACTCCTTCGACACTGCTCCTCCTCCTCATGACCTGGTGTCAACTCCCTCGACACTGCTCCTCTTCCTCAGGACCTGCTTGCCAGTGTCCTATGACTCTTGTCTCTCGAGCCCCTGAGTGGTAACCATCTGAGCTTGGTCCTCTTCGTGGCTGTGCCTGCTCCTTGAGCTTGGTCCTCCTCGTGGCTGTGCCTGGCCCTCCTCGCTTGTGGCTCGGTTCTCCTTTGCATGTGAGTCCATAGGAGTCCATGGTCTCCATGGAGACTGCACTATGACCATGCTCTCTACTGGTATCAACTAGGTCTTCGATACCTGTGCTCCTTCCATATGAACCAGTGACCCTCCTGCTTCTTGAGCATCCAGGCCCATGACAATAGGACTGGAGATCCCACCAAGAGGGGGAGTTGAAGATGCATTGGCATCTCAAGAGGGATGCATGAGTTACAGCCAAGACACCGAGGGACTGAGTGCATGCATAAGTGAGAGACACAATAAAACACATGAAGGTTGTCATAGCAATGGCTCAGGGGCACCATGCGAAGTAGCAACACAGGGGGTACAAAGGAAGTGACTCATCCTGGCTCAAATATGACCAAGGTGGCAACAAGGTATATATATGCATTTGTCATTTAGGTTCACACCATAAAATACCAAGCATTACAAAAATGTATGACTGTGGTAAGGGAGCCTGATCATGGCCCCGATAATGGCGTATGCTAATTGTTATCTTCAATTCATGACCTTAGGCCCCGACATTGGTCACCCCCCACGCCGATCTCACGTTCTTTGTTATCTGCAACTCTGCAGCCTGTGCATAAGCTCGACAGCTGATTCGATGGGCGAGTCCAAACCAAGGCTAAAACTGCACCAGTTGCAGACAGCATCAGGAGTCTCTTCGATGTTGACTTCAGAATTGCTCTGAACAACGACGACGACCAGTCAAAATGGCCCAACCTTGGTCTTGGTCTGTTCTCTTCCAGACGGCAACAAGGAAGAGGTTGCGTGCTCAGCTAGTCTTCCGAGTGGTGTGTCTCTGGCTGCGGCCTAACAGCAACAACAAACAAAAAGGACAAGCGAAATTCCTTGATCCACTCGGCCTTATCTCTCGTTTGTGGGTAAAGAGAGGAAATTGCAGCAAAGCCCAAATTGCTCAGTCGAACAACACAACCGACACTCGCACGGTTGCAATTCCTTATCTTTCACACAACATCATCCTTCTCAACATCCTCTCATCATCTGGTCTCATACGTTTCTCCCATCCATCCAGGCTTTCACTCTCGCTCTTCGCCTTTACCGCCTTTATCGCCTTTATCGCCTCGCCTCGCCTTTATCGCCTCAACCCTAACCCCTTCTCTTGGATTCGATCTCCCCCCCCCCCCCCCCCCCCCTACGAGCTTTCTCCCACCTCCCCAATCTTTCCCACTCCGCATCGCAATCTTTCAAAGTTATCTGGCACAGAGCTTGTCCAATCATTCACGCTCATCAGATCACAAAGCAGTCAACCAGCTGCAATTTCAGTGTCCTTCTCGGTATCTCGACCGCCTCCCCTTGACGCCTCCAATGGATCAGCATGCTCCTGCATCAATCTTCCCAGTCTAACCTTCTCATGCCTTCCTCAGCCTAATCCTTTCTGGGCCCAACTAGCAGCACTATGCAGCCGCACACGGCCCGAGCTCCTGCTCCTTCGCGACAGTTCTCACATATGCCACCGCCTCCACCATCTCCTCCGCCATCTACGTCTACCTCTCAACCGGTGTCCTCTTCACTTCCCTCTTCTTCTTCTTCTTCTTCTTCTTCTCAACCTGCCTTGGAATTGCTCCCCTCCCCTCCAAATATACCCACCCGCGTCGCTCCAGAAGCCAGACTTTCTTCATCCCCATCAGCATCGACACCATATTCAATAGCAGCACCTACTCCTGCCAGTACATCAGCAAAGCATCCCGCTGTGGCCTCGATCGCATTTCCTACTGGACCATCGTCTTCCACATCTGCATCGTCGTCGCCTTCTCGTCCACCGCCTCGGATCATACCAGGATCGGCCACATCCTCGGCTAGACAGAGTCGTTCCTCGTCTCCAGCACCAGCACCGCCCCTGAGAACCATATCCCAAGGTCCTTACTCCAATCAACCTTGGCCACCTTCTGCAACGGCCAATGTTAATGCTACCGGTAGCGCCATCTCCCATTTGACCTCTTTGGAGCGACAACAGGCCACAGACAGCCCTAGAGAGCACAAGCGTTCCAGCTCGCTTGCTACTCTCAAGTCTTTCGCCTCGGCCTCTCATCCCAATCTACCGAGTACCGGCTCCTTGCATCCATCATCCACAGCGAGCAGAGCTTCTACCCAAGCCAGCACTCCTCCAGCGACTGCCTCGAGTCCTTCGACATCAGGACAGATGCCAGCGCCCACTCAGCCTCCATTTCAGCGGCCACAGGCCTACAGATTCTCTCGCACCCAATCAGCAGCGCCTCCACATGTGCGCCCCACCGATGCTCACGCCTCTCAAGATCCCAACGCTCATCCCTCCACCTCGCTCGATGATCTCGAGAAGGAGCGTCAAAGACTTAAGGCTGCCGCTGCTGCCAAGCTCGCAGAGCAGGAAGCTTGGGAGAAGACCCGCGGCGCAGGTAGTGCCGTTCTCGATCTCCTTAGTCTTCCAGATGCTTCAACAGGAGACACTGACGATGAGCATTCTAGTGGCTCAAACAGCAACGGGCGTCAGAGCCGTGCCACCACCCCCGGATCCGCCTCGGGTTCCAGCAACAGCGCTTCAGGAAGCGGCAATGGCCATAGCAATAGCAATAGCCAAGCGAGCAGCTCCAGCTCCTCACGCACTCAGCGTAAGGTCAAGAAGCTCTCACGCACTTGGCAGGCTGCTCATGTCCTCCCTTCGCTCCAAGAAGTGCAAGCGCGAAGATATGAAGCTGTCACTGTTACATCTGCCGACAAGCTCCTCAGTAGAGGCATCTCGGAATATACCCTTCTCCCCAAGATCCTCGGTAGAGGCAAGTTTTCCAGCGTCTTCCTGGCATCCAAACCTCATGGCCCCACAGGAGAGCCTCGACTCTTTGCGATCAAGCATACCCCGCTCTTTCCGCATCACCCTCTGATCGCAACTCGCCTTCTCCGTGAGCCAACGCTTCTGGCAGAGCTGCCACCACATCCAAACCTCGTCAATGTCTACGAGACCATTCGTACTCCTGGTCACTTTTACCTCGTCGAAGAGTATCTAGACGGCTACGTCACGCTAGAGGCGCTTCTACCCATGCGTTCCGAACAGTCACCACCACATCACCCAATATTACCTACTGGTGTCGCCAACTGCGTCCTCGACCAGCTCCTCTCAGCAGTCCACGCCATCCATCATCCCTTGCAGATCTGCCATCGTGACATCAAACCGGAAAACATTCTCGTTCGCCCCGATACGCTGCAGCTCAAGCTCCTTGACTTCGGTTTGGCAACTCACTTCAGTCGCAGCGAGGCTAAGCTGTCCACTTGCTGCGGCAGTCCAGCCTTCCACTGCCCAGAGATCGTCGCGGCACTTCGCAACCCAGTCGGCACTGTGCACTACTGGGGACCCGAGGTCGACGCTTGGACTTGTGGCATCACTATGCTTCGATTGCTCACCGGTATTCGATACCCTATCGGCGCTTCGCACACCAGCGTTCGTTCTATGGCCATTCGAGCTCAGCGTGCTGTCGCTACCATCAAAGACCCCGAGCTTCGCGATCGTGTCGGCAAGCTGCTCGAGATCAACGGCGAACGCAGAATGCGCAACTTTGAGGACCTAGTCAAGGCTCTCCAGACATCGACCGACGAGCTTGAACGCGGACCAAAAGAGTTCAAGAGCACCACCTTCATCCCTGTCGAGCCTCTGCACAAGATGAATCTACCACTTGTCGTGGGACCTGCAGCTGAAGCCGCGCTCACTTCTCCACTGCTGCCAAGCGGTGCCACTCCCACAGCTTCAAGGCGCGCAACACCCATGAACTCGCGACCTACTTCCCCTACGCCAGGAGGCTGCGACGTCTCGGATGCAAACCTGTCGCCAGCCCCCTCACTGCTCCTCAGCAATCCGACACACCAACCTCCGCAGAGAGTCTTGTCCTACATCAAGTACTGTCTTCGTTGCGCTGGCATCTTGTACCATTGTTGGCCTGACACCAGCTCCTCCTCCAGCTTGCCATCGACGCCTGGCCCCTTCGATGCGGCCTTTCAAGACTACAACAACAGCCAGAGCAACGTAGGCACGAGCGCTACTCCTCGCTCCGGCGAGACATCAGCATTCGCACAGTCAGCACAGTCTGAGGGCATTGCTCCAGCCTCACTTTCGCCCAGCACGCCGTTCCCGATCCAGGCAGCCCGTTCTGAGCGCGACCCTTACTCACACATTCACATATTCGAGTGCGTACTTGAGATCGTCGACCCGCCCGAACATGCTGAGCAAGAGCCGCAAAGCTTCGTCCAGTCTATCTTCAGCGCCCTCAGCTTCGGTCGACGCCCTACTAATCGACGCAGCCGTTCGACACCGCCCAAGCCTGAGAACCTGCAACCAGCCGGAATGCCTAGACCTCCCGGTACACCAGCAGACGCACCTGTGTCAGGGTCTGGAAGCGCTTCCGGCAAATCTGGCCAAGTCAAATGCCTGACTTTCTACCTCGTCCTTCGCTTCCCACGACGACCATCAGGACACGTCAGCTTCGTCTTTATGCGACCTTCGTACAACCGTGCTTCGAGTGTTGCCAGTCGGTCTCATCGGGCTAGATCTCGTGCCTCGTCCGCTGTCGGTGCTGATCGCGAAAGTGGAGGTCTTCACCGCGATGCCAGCACGGACAGTCTCACGCATCTCAGCAAGCTTCACAGCAGTCACGCTGAGTTTGCAACGGGCATCCATCCACTCCGTAAAGCGATGATCGACTCGAACCACACAACGCCCCGTGCAAGCCGCACATCGAGTCCTGCCCGCTCTTATGGCAACCTCAAGAAACGCGATGGAAGTTTTGCGCCGCATCGACGCGATGACAACAAGACAGAGCGCAGCAACAACCTCGGCCTCACTATTGAGACCTCACCGGAGCTGCTTCGTATCGAGAAGAATCAAGATTCAGCCCGCAACAGCCCCTCTCCTCACTCAGCACCCAACTCGAGGTCGACAAGCCGCGCGAGATCTCGCAAGTCGAGCCGCGTCCGTGCTCCGAGCGGATCGTACAGAGGGTCTGGCTCGAACAAGGTCTTTGTGCACATCACCGATGTGCGTGCGCTTGAGGCGGTCCGCAAGGCGCTCAGCATTGGAGGCACTACAACCGACTACAACCCGGACCTCGAACCCGACTACGAGGATCTGGACGGTCAGTGGGCGAACCCGGACCTGCGTATACGCGAGATGACGCTTGGAGAAGAGTCTGATCCTGGGCCCAGTGGCAGCCTCGTCAACTCGAGGCATCGACGTCCAACCTCAAACCGACGCAAGCCCCATTCGCACCGCCAAATCTCGGGCTTGACTGCTCCTGCTGCCGAAGATCAGGACGCCGCCGAAGATGGGAAGGAGACCAGCCGTGCATCTCGACCCACATGGGCCGACGTACCCGCTGGCTCGATCAAACCACGCAACACCATTTCGCATGGCAGCGGCGATCAGGAACAGTACACACGCGGTCGTCCTCTTGGGCCCGCCGGCAGCTTGACTGCATCATTGCAATCGCAAACCCCGGCTACGGGTATCGCAGTCCCTACGAGTACACCTCGTTTGCGTGCTTCATCGAACCTCGCCTTTGCAGTGGTGCAAGAAGAGTCTTCGCCGTCGAACACTGATCACTCCGTTTCGCAGTCCAAGACCATGGTCGATATGCGTGATCGAAGCAGTGCAGAAGAATGCGCGACAAAGCAGCCAGATGCAACAGCTGCTCCCACTGTCTCGAACCCAACCGGCTTCGATTTGACTCAGGCAGTCGCATCTCTTGCTGCCCTGACCGCCGGACTGCTGAAAGAGGACCCTGTCTCTAAAGTCGAAGAGCTCGATTCTAGTGTCTCCGCCATTGCAGCTTACTTGCTCCGCCTTCAAACGGAAGACGTAGCACGCTTCACACAGGAGCTTGATACATTGTCCTTTGACCTCTTCAAAGCGATGTCTCCGCTTACAGGCCTCGTTGAGCGACTGTCTGGCTCGCCAGGCAAAGCTGCATCTATAGCTAGACGAGTATTGTATCTCCTGGGAGAGCACGCTTCTTCTCGAGAAGTGTACATGGCGGTTGACATGCGTTGTGGCGAGATGTTGGATGACGAAACTCGTTGCGTTGAGTTGTTGGGCGAAGATAATACCTGGAGCTCCGCAGCAGAAGCCATCTTCTCAATGCATCTATTGAACACTGTTCTACCGCGCATTCGAACCAAGAAGCCTCAAGCCTTTTCGCAGGTGTTCGGACGCTTGCCACAATGTCTCATGCTCGGACTTGCTGCTCTCGCCGACGTAGCACCTGCAGCTTGCGAGAGCACAGCAGAAGAGGCGGTCAAGACGTGTTGCTCTACGGCACTGATCGTGGTCGATTGGGAGGCACATTGTACCGGAACGTCGGAACACGAGCCCGTCAAAAAGACGTCACGAGAAGCACTCGGCCGCTTCCTTCAAGGTATCACCGTCTGTCTGCCCTACCTTGCCGGTGCGAACTTGGCTTTGTCTGAAGAGTACTTCTTCGCACAGAATCCACGATACGCGTTGGGCCGAAAGGACGAGACAGGCATTGTCAAGCGTAATGAGGCGCTCTTTGCCGAGATCTCAAAGACGCTTGCTTCGCTCGAGGTGGATCTGGGTTCGATCTGGGCGAATGCTTTGGTAGGTATGTCGCATGCACCTGAAGACGATGATACGCGCGAGGCATTGGCAGCTCTGGGTGTTGCTGGGTTCGTGCTGCATGTTCATCTGCTGCATTCGGGATATGCTCGAGACCGTCCATCGGAATGGAAGGGTGTCAAGGTGCAAACGCAATTAGAAGCAGCACTTCCAGCGATTCTGCTTGTAGTGAGCGAGCAGACCAAAGCAGCGGCATTACCAGAACTCGAAGAGGGCAAAGAGGAAGCACTCGCAGATACCAGCCTACTTTGGCTGCAGTGGTGTCTAGGCGGGCTGCAGCAAGACGCATCGGCAGAACAACGCATCTTGCCTGTGGAACTGGCAGTGAGCTTGGCACAGTCGCTTGCTATGCAAAGTGTCATCTCACCGAGTCCACCAGCACGACTGATCCGGTTCAAGCTGCTGACGGATTTGCTTACTCACCAGATGGAGAAAGCGGCTGCGTTGCAGGTATTGGGTCATCTGATCTCAAGCTCTCCTTTTGCTCAGTTGCGTGCTGGAGGCGTTTCTATCTTGCGTACGGCGATGGCTGTCTGGCTGTCCCCGTTACGAAGGGATGATGACTCGGACGGCGTCCCTGTCGAAGAGCTCGTGGCTTTGCTGGATCAGATCTTTGTTCTGCCCAGCAACCTGCAGATCGCTTCGGAGGAGGTAGAAGCAAAGGCAAACGGATTGGTCGGAATACTGGCAGAGGAAAGCGGCAAATTCAACGAGCTTCTGTCGCTTCTCTTTTGGGTGAAGACACAGAGACGCTCAGGCAACCTTAAGGAACATGGCATGATCAGCTCGGGCAAGTACAGGAACACGTTCGTAGAGCCACTGCAGAGGCTTGTTGAGCGCCTCGCTGCAGCACGAAAGTCGTCAACGGCTACAGACGGAGGGTCGGACGCATCTCAGAAACAGCACTGGCAGCAAATTGAGCTGCTTCAGATCGCACTACAGCGCTTGGCCGATTCTCAAAATTAACGACCCTTTGCATACTTTATCATAAAGAATACGATACCATTACAATCAAATTCAATCGGGAACGATCCTTCTGTGTTATCGCCGAGTCTTAGCTTGCTCGCTTGATAACGTAGCTGTGATCCTATCAACCGGAGAGATCGGCGTCCGACACAAGCAGCCTTTGGTTTGGTTCCTGACATCCAAAAACGGTAGTTTTGGGCATCTTGGTGTTGAAAGCTTCGTCCTCGAAAGTAACGCTAGATTTAGACACAGGAGATAAGAAACCCATGGCAACATCCATACACAAGCCAAGGTCAGGCACTTTCAAGCCCACTCCTGCACCCAACTTCGCATATGACCTTGCATATAATCATCTCTGACGAGTATTGGTTGGCTTGGGGTTGGGTTGAAAGGCGACTTGGCTCTTGGGACTCTTTTTGCACGGTATCGGAGAGCAGAACAATGCGATTGCTGAGTCCAGGCCAGACGCGCACGTCTCTCTTTGAAAATCACGTGATGCATTTCCGGGTTTTCAGGCATACGACCGCTGACACACCGCATGCCAGCCTTGAGGGAATCCCAGCGCAAGTTCCCGTCCAGAAGCGACGAAAAGGCAGCGACCCTGTCAAGCGGGACGATAACTTTGTGGCGGGAGGTTGCAGGAGCATATGATCCAAACGATGCCGCCACAGCAGCACATGTTGCCGCATCAGGTGCAGCACCGAATCGGATGTCCAAGCTGCTATGCAATACAACTCTCTCGATAAAACATCAAAGAACAACCGTTTGCGATACATTCGCGAATACCGACACAAGATCATTCGTCAAAATAGAGCCTGCTCGAGAGGTTTATCAACCCCTAAGCGGTAGCTGCATACAAACTGGAGGATCGAACGACAATCGAGAGAATAGGACACTACTTTGACGCTGCTACCATCCTCATACGTCGGGTGCCGGCTTCGTTGTCCTCTTTGGAGCGCTTGCTGCATTTATATTTCCAAGGCCACTGTTTAAGCAGTATAGGAGTTTCAGGACTCAGTACTTTCGGTAGCAACGTTCCTGTTTCCATGTCTCACAGCTGAAACGTTGCACGTTGATTGCTCAAACCATGTTTGATGACGTCTCGGCGAAGGTCTAGTTCCATCGTTTCGGCCCGAGCTCTACATGACTGTATACTTCTCACTGCTGCGCTTAGCACATTCTTTAACCGTTTTATACATGCGATGACAAGCTTTAGGGACAACGATGTGATGTTCCTGATCGGAGCAAGTGTGGACTGGTCACGAGGTGTTTTGAGTGTGTTCTCCTGTCAACCGGTGGCTTCAACCCACACGACTTACTTCAATGAAGTGCGACGTTTCGACCCCTGCGAGTTCACAGCCACATCCTTGGTGGCGATGGAGATACTGTACAGTTGCAGATGAAGCGCCATCAACATCCCCCCCACACAACTCATCTGCAGATTTCTTATTGAGCCCGTTGATGGCGATGGAGATACAGTTGCAGATGAAGCGCCATCAGCATTTCCCTACAAAACCCCTCTGCAGATTTCTTATTGAGCCCGAAGCGACACTTTCAACCTCGATCGGTGTCGGCGTCGAGATGCGTGACCTAAAGCTAGCTCCATTGGTTCCGAAGAGATCAGGAACGCACATTCAAACGTCAACCTGTGTGTCAATGCACAAGCAGAAGTGTCAACCCCTTTCTGTTGCCTATCGCATTGAGCGGGCGATACGGTGCATTGCTAGCGAAAGATGATGGGATCTATTGTTCAAGCAACATCAGGAATGAGCAATGCCTGCGGGCACTGTCTCACCGTCAACATGCATAAAGGCTGTGCCCACCTGCTCGGTCAAAGAACGTGTCTTGCCACAACAACCCCACCAAGACAGGATACAAAAAGTCGTCTCAACCACCTTTGATGAGCCCTTAAGCCGTCCACAAACACTTCTCCATTTCCCAACACCATCCGTACTGCGCACAAGTGCAACTATCGCCATGCGTTACTTGGCTCTTCAATGGCTCACTGCGAGTCTGCTGGTCATCAAGCTGGCTTCTGCTCAGGGTTCATCTCCTCCTAGAGAGCCGAAACAGCCCCTAGATCCGCTCGCCAGCGCTCATTACTGGAAAGGTTTAGGACTCCGCCCTAACCGCGCTTCTCCTGGCGGTCAGCCTGGCGCTCCTCCCAGCAGTTTCGAATCCGGACTTCCTTCCCCAGTCGCTAAACCGCTGCCGAAAGGCCTTCAGCTCGAGTCTGGCTTCCCAGGCCAGCCCACGAAAGCGGTCATGTACACGTACGTCCCCAAGACCTTCAAGAAGGGCAATCCGATCCTCGTTGCTCTTCACCACTGCGGTGGCACTGGTCCAGGCTATTACGGCGAGTACCCTGACTGGCCCAAAACAGCCGATCAGAAAGGATTCCTCATCGTCTACCCTTCTTCTCCCGGAGATAAAGGCGACTGTTGGGATGTATCTTCCAAGGCCTCGCTCAAGCATGATGGCGGTGGAGACTCGCAGACCATCGTGGAGATGGTGAAGTACGCCAAGGAGAAGTACGGATGCAATGATCATCAGGTATACATGGTCGGTCATTCGTCCGGTGCAATGATGGTACAGGCCTTGGGTGCTGCCTATCCGGATGTATTTTTGGCCGGGGCTGAGTACTCTGGTGTTCCTGCCAACTGCTTCCGTACTGGGAAGCTTGCTGGAAACGATTGGAATTCTACTTGCACGGGAAATACTTTACACGAATCGACATCATACTGGATTGGACAGGCGAAGGAGATGTTTCCTGTAAGTTCCGAACAAAGTCAGCAAAATTGCTTGAGTGAAGATCGCAGTGAGCTAAGGATGTGTCGGCTTTCTTTTCTATCTGTACACTTTTGCAGAGCTACAAGGGCTCGATGCCGCGAATGATGCTTGTTCACGGCAAAAACGACGAGGTCATCGGCTTCAACCAGCATACGGAGGCCGTGAAGCAGTGGTAGGTGCCATTACCTTCCTTCTTGTAATGACTTCCAAACAGGCTTTCTGACTCTGACATAACTTGTTCGCTTTTAGGTGTGGACTGCACAACCTAGACCCAAGCCGTCCCACGAAGGTCTACAAACTTCCTGACGCACCGAACTATGTAGTCTCGGTGTACGGCTCAGATGTCATGGCCATCGCAGCTGATGGCGTTACTCACGATAATCCGGCCAAGGTTGACATGACTGCACAGTTCTTCGGCCTCTAATCACTTCTGCTCGACCCAAGCTGAAGCGATCACCTGACACTGCGCTTATCTGTAACGTCATCCAATCGATAGAGAGATACGCGCTTGCACTCGCTCTTGATTGTCAATGTCATCTCTCTTCTTTATCCTTTCCTGCAACGTCGTTTTGTGTCAGTTTCTATGCGAGTCGACTGGCTGTATACCAAAGTCCCCTGTAAGATTGTGTTGACATGTACTGTACAGTATGCTACGAAGACGGATGCTCGGGTATGCTTCGGCCCCTTGAAGTTTGAGCAACGTGGCCTACCGGGGGCGGTGGCGCCTGTGGTTGACGTCTCATTTGCAATACCCCACCCAACACTTCGGCATGGTGGCTACAGAAAAGATCAACAGAGTTCATTAGGCTTAAATTCGGTCGGAATCGGCATCGCAACCGCTCTGATGGTAAAATAGCCATCGAAGTTCGCACCCCGGCCTCGACAACATATCATTGAAGCTTTCGACTCATTCATGCCTGGTTGCACGGGCGGCACGTACGGGCACTGTAACCGCACCCCTTGCTCTCCTTTTGAGTCGTTGACTCGACAACGGAAACTATCAATACTGGTACTTTCGGGGTCGCTGTGGACGAGGCGTTGGTACACATGACTCTGCTTCGGCCGAGTTGGCAGCGAGTCGGGCCGCTATTTGGGATCAAGTGAGGGCACGGAAGCAAATTTATACTGGCCAGGATCCAACTCGAGAGATATGTAGGAAAGCTGTGCCTGTATCGACTCGTATCAGGCCGAGGACCTCGGGGTGTACGATGACCATATCAGGGTAAGATAAGGGCCAAGGAGAGATAAGGGCCTGAGCTCTATCGCTGCAAGTCCTCTTACACTGCCTCGTCATGCTTCAGACTCATGTTTCGCCTCAGCATGTTACTGAATCATTCACAGGGTAAGACGTATAAAACACGCAACATCGATCAGCATCACGAACCCCACAGGTGTCGTCAAGCGTTTGTTGATATCGGGCCACATATCGATCAGATCGGGAAATTTTCGATTTACGTCAGATTGCATCGGATTCGGCTGTCATTTTGTGCATCGTCTATTTACGGCAGTAGCGAAGGTCCAAGGAACACCGTTCCGACCACCCTTTCCGCTGGAAACAAAAAGAAAGCTCTGTCTCGAACTTGAGGTAACCCGAGCTCTAATCCTTTTGTTCTTTCGGCTGAACGGAAATCCTGTAGGCAAACACAGGAACACGAACAGTAAGCACTGCCTTTGCCGCCAAAGTTGATTTTTTGAGCACTTCGAGTTACCGCAGGGAAGAAGACATAGCCTTCTGCTTCCACCCCGGAAATCCGAAATCTTGGAAGCCGAATCGCTTATGTGCGATCTGGTCGTCGTCGTTCGGCCGTGTCGCCTGTTCATGCCGTCCCTCGCAACTCCGAATCAAACTCTGAGTGTTCTATTGGAGCTCTGAAAAGTACTGTACAGTACGACGGAACTTCTCAACGCTGCCTTTTATGTGCGGGCAGGGTGAAGCTTTGGGAAGCGTCGTCGTGATACAAGCAGATTGAAAGGTATAAAGAGGAGGCAGCCCAACGAGGAACTCAAACCATACCATTTCGCCAACGCACTGCAACCTCTTCTCTTCTTAGCGCCAACCGTCCTGAGCAGGCCAACCTACCAAGATCACAATGGCTTTCCCACGAGCTATCCTCCTTTCCGCCCTTTTGGGTTCTGCCTACATGGCAGAGGCTGCACCTGTCTCGTCGTCATCTTTCTCCTCTTTCTGTCAGCCCAACTTGAAGCAGTGGGGTCAGATCACCTTCATGGGCAAGCCTCTTAGCATCAAAAACTCTGGAAACATCGTCGTCGGTGGCAACCCTCTCAACTTTGCCGTGGCCACTTGCTCCACCCAATACTCGGGCCCCAAGGGTCTCATGGAGTCAAGCAAGGGTTACTTTGTCAACGCCAACGACCCTTCGCAATGTATGACTGTCAGCAACCTCGATCAGAGCAAGGCTACTTTCTCCTTCTCCGACTGCCGATTCAACGGCGCTGGTAATATCTGGTCATCCCAGTCCTTCGCCTGGACCTTCGACAACAACGGAGCTGAACAAACCGGTTCAGTTTGGTTCAACGGCGAGAACTTCAACAACAACACTTCCATCTACACTCTCCATACTCGGGACGCCCAGCCCACCATTGACGGCCAGCTTGGTGACCTCATTGCCGTATACACGCCCAACCTCAACGCAATCCCTAGTGACCTTCTGCAGATCCCTATGCAAGATCTTCCCGTCACCGCACCCGCCAGGGACCCTTCTTTGTCCTGTCACGCTCCCATCCGTGGTCAGATTATCTTCAACAACCAGACATCGAGCTCCAATGGATACGAGGGACCCCTCAACTCCAAGTGGGAGGCCGAGTCCGATACCTCAGCCAAGTTCCTCTTCGAGGAGTGCGACTACTCTTTCGTAGGCCTTAAGGCTGAAGGTGACTACATCTACGGTCGTATACGTCCTGCCACAGACGTTGTTGATGGTGGCTACAACTGCTACTTCCTCACCGCCGATACTTCTTCCGGCCCCAACAACGAGCCTGTTGACAATTCGTGGATCAACGGTTTCCAGGTTCAGACTTGCTCGTACACTGCCCACCCCGGCCTCGACCTGGTCAAAATCAACAGGAAGGACAACACCTTCAACTATGTTCCCTTTGGTAACGGCTCTCAGCCTGGCAACATGTACTGGTACGCCCAGGCAGCATACGACACCGATTACGGAGTCAAGCAGTACCAATTCGACCCCAAGGGCGTTGGGCAGGTCTACCTCTCTCCCAACAACGCCAACTTGACCAAGTTCCCTGCTGCCAAGGTCACGTTCAAGGCTGACTAAGCCCTTCGTTGTTTAGGTCTGGTCCCGAATATTCCGACTTATCGTGTTAGACCCTACAAGTCCCGGCGTATCTTGAACTGAGGCGAAACAAGGCAGAAACAAGTGGCGTCGTCGTCGAGCCAAGTTATGTTCAGATGGCGGTTAGGCTTTTGCTCTGCCACAAGCGCCGCTATTACAGTTAACTGGGATGTTCGTAAGCGGAAAGTGTCACATCACACGTGACCCGTCCCGTGGCAAGGGAGTTTGTGCTGAGTCGTCTTTGGACAAAGCAGCTCACTTGCTCGGGGCCTTGCCCAAGTGAGCTCGAGGCAGACTGGGTCTGACCCTCTTTGGGCAACGTTGTCGTGGGTCATGTTTACGCTGTCGGAAGCAACACTTCGCAGAACGGTACGGGCAATGGCAATGTCGTACTTGGCAACTCTGGCATTGTAATTGGTAACGGTGGACCCAATGGAAACATCTACCTCAGGCGTGCCGAGGAGTGTCCTCAAAAATGATTCAGAGATCTGAAGCTTGAGTTGGGGGAAGGCACTCCTCCAATGCGGGTTCTTGCTTCCTAACATCAATCTTGTATACCTTTATTTGTATATACATGTCTCTCTCAACCTCTCTTTAGACACCGCCGTTACGGGCATTCTCTTCTCTTTATCCTTCGTGTCCCTCTCGCGGGCCCCAGGATACTGTCCTTCTTAGTTGCAATCGTCGTGATTCTCGTTTCTACCTTCTGCTTCAGTCGCAGAACGTGGCACGAATCCAATACACATTCCTTTGGCTTCTATTTGCCGGATTCGAGGTTGAGACCGTGCATGGGAACGCGGGGAGATGTGTCGGGTATCTCGGAACACGTGCAAATGCCTTGGTTGCTGATTTGTTAGAATGAGGCGTATGCTGGATGTGTCTACTGAAGCTTCCACTCGCGTTGGATGGCTTGAATGACAGCCTGTTCCACATTGTCTACCAAGATGGTAGGCTTGTAGTTTGGTGGCCCCTTATGATCCTTGTACACTCCTGTACGAACAAGGGCCGAGGACCATCCAAAGTCAACAGCGCCCTTAATGTCGCTTTCGGTGTTGTCGCCGACCATCCAGACGGAGGGACCGAAGAGCTTGGCTCTTTCGGCAGTGGTGGAGGAGGGCGCAGTGTTGATGAGGTGTTGGCGAAGCAGCTCGTTAGCGTAGTCGTAGGTGATGCGATTTGGCTTGCCAAAAACTGTAGAATGCATTTCGCGGCCGGTTGTGTGCTGAGGGGAAATCAAGACAAGAGAAGGGAGGATAAGCAGTTGAAGCTAGATTTCCTCAAAAGTTGAGAGTGCGGGTCGAAGCATACCTTGTATACGTTTTCAATAGCGAGTCTGAAAGCGCCTTGGCCGAATCTGACTACGCTGTGGTCGTTGCCCCATACTGTGATGGAAGGAAAGGGGATATAATGAGTCAATTTGTGCATGGTGCGAATGTTGCCTGTTACTTGTCTACCTACGCAAATCTCCATGGGAAAAGTAGATCGGGATCTGCTTCTCCGGCAAAGGCTCTGTTGGCGGATGCTCTGTACCGAAGACGCCATTGTGCGATCTGAGGATGTCGATGATCAATTGTGTATCTCGGCCCCATTCTCTGCTGTCGTGGAAGACAAGAATGGCGGTGAACTGGATCTTGGCAAAGTCATCCTTCTGTACACATTCAGTTCCGAGGTGAAGAAAAATGCCCGTTAGTCAGCGTTCTAGATATGTGGCTCATCATTCCATTTTACTCACTCGAAGGTATGGAAGCTGGTCTGGATGCACGGTGGAAAAGGGCCAAGCTGCTGGCTTGTGGGCGTGCAGATCGAGGGTGGTGTATACGTTGTTGAATCCATAGCTTTGCATCACTTCTCTCGCAGCGTTCGGTGGTGTCTCCGGGCCCCCGACCATGAGGATGGGCTTGTCAGCATATAGCGGAACGAGCGACTTCATGACAGTGTGAGCTTGGATGATCTGATCCTGAGTGACTGGTACTTCAAAGTCGCTTGCGAGGTCCTTGGCACGAGCCGACTCGTGCTTGCCTCCACCATTGGTGATGAAGATGTATGGAATCTTTTGATTGCGAGGATTGTTGCCTTCCAGGATTTGGAGTGCTCGTTTGGCTTCAGGTAGGACATTTGGACCTGCCTTGAGAACGCCATCAATATCGAATGCAAAAGCAAGCGGCTTTTGGAGTTCAGCGGTGTTGGAGAGGCGAGAGGTTGTGGTTGAAAGCAGGCGCGATTGCAACAATGAGGTGCAATTGGGGTTGCCGAAGAGCAAAGCTCTACTTCTACCGCCTATCCTCAGCATGTCTGATATCGATCAAGGCGTGTATGATGGTTGCTATGTTGAAACTTCCAAGGCCAAGTCGTGTAAGCAACAAGAAGAAATGCCGTTTCGCTTAGGTGGACCGAAGATCCGTGCGCAGTTCTAGGAGGCTTCCTCTGAAGAACTCGGGACTCGGACGGGCGAAGGGGTCCGGATGTTAGAGCGATGCCAACTAACACCGTAGATGAAAAATTCCCACGGCGGAGGTCGTAAATCAGTCGCCGAATTTCGCGCGTTTCATCGAGCGTGGAATGAAGGTGGAGGAAGCGAAGGTCCGGCAAACAGATTATCGAAATCTCGACTTTGCTCTTCTTGTGCGACTCTGATCCGGTTGTTTAGCTGAACCGGAACTATAGCCGGCTAGTGAATCACATTGAGAAGGGCCTTATATGATGGTGTCAAGCTCACTCTCCTCTCTTCTCCACAACAGGGTCCCTTTCACAGACAGGCTTCCACCCGGTCCACCAACTACATTCATCGTGCATGCTGTCGTCTTCTGCATCACCGCTGCATACCCTACTCAAAGTCTCTGCCCGCCGTGCACTATCCACCTATCCGTCTACCAACAAGGCATCGAATTCCTGCATCCTTCCATTGGTGTGGAGACAACTTCCTGCTATCACCAGATCCTTCAGCCAAGCAAGCATAGTGCAGATCACGTTCAGATACACGATGCCTCAAATGAATTCATCAAACAAGTCGGGCAAGCAGAGCAAGGCTGCCAAAGCCGCCAAAGCCATCCTCCATCCCAAGTCGACCATCGCTGCTGCCAAGGCGAACCACAGTCGTTCTTCCAGCGTCGAGTCCGCCAAGGTCTCGGATGCATCCATGCCTACCAAGTCACCTGCTTCATCGATCAAGAAAACTCCGTCCAATGCAAGTATCGCGTCAGGTGCAGCCAGAGCATTGTCAAAGCCTCCTTCGGCTTCCGCAAGTCCGGCAAGAAACACTGCAAGCCTGCCAACGTCCGCGCAAGCACCATCGTTTCTTGGCCCTCCCGTCAACAATGATTTACTCAGTATGAAGAAGCAGGCAATCGAATGCACCAAGTCAGCGCAGCAGACTCCTCCCACCGCGCCTGCTTCCCTTCCTCCTGCAGTTGCTGCACTGTCTGCACCTCCACGCGCTAGTCCTGCGGCCATCCCAGTCGCACAGTCGACGTCTGCCAGCAGTACCGCAGCTCCGGTCAGCGCTGCTGCAGACGTGCCCTACACCATCGAGGAGACATCTGTCGAGTCGCAAGTCAACAATGCTCCAGTCGAGCCTTCGCTTTCTGCTCACACTGACAAAACTCCAGCCCTTGATCCTTCAGTCAGCGCGCCAACCGTCACGGCGTCGACCGTTACACGATCATCGCTCGGTCAACAGTCCGCACCATCCGCACAAGCAGACAATCTCGTCTCCTCACATGACTTACAAGACCCGAAAGCGAAAGCGACACAGCAATTCGCATCGGAAGTCGCTGAAGCCCTCGCGAATTCGACACTTGATCCTCAACAAGTAACTTCAGACGTCGCTGCTGCTCCCACTCCAATCGCTCTTACAATCGTCAATAAGGCTGCCGAGGTAGTCGATTCGACCGAGCCAGACTCAACACCTTCTCTTGCAAACACATCCACCTCTAAGTCCACCGAAGCGGAGCCAGCTTCAGCAGAAGACTTTGCCGCAACCGTCGCCGCTGTTGTCAAGGTATCCTCGTATACTCCTCCCGAACTTGCCTGCGTCCAGCACAACACGTTCGTCTCTCGACCTACACACCCCTCGCGAGCTGGTATCGACAAACTGGACGCCTCTACACTCCCTTTGCCCTTACGACGGATCGATGGACAGGGAGGCGTTGTGCGTTCTCCTAGCCACGTCATCATCTTCGGCTGGATGGACGCGCCTATCCGACTGGTTTGCAAGTATGCCCAACCATACACCGTTCTCTTCCCAGATGCGACCATCTTTATCCAGCTTTCGGATGGAAAGAGTTATCTTGCTCGAGAAAATGTGAGGAGGGAGCAGTTGCAGCACGTCATTGCTGAAATCAGCTCTTCGTCCAATGCTCCAGAAAAAGGGTTCAAGGAGGTGCAGACCAAAGATGTCGGCGATTCGACGATTACCCTAATCGACCACAGCGAGGCTCGCTCATCTTCATCGTCTGAGGATGGAAAGGAGGCAGCGCAGGTAGGCGGCTTTGTCATTCACAGCTTCTCTGATGGTGGAGCAGGCAATCTGGCTCTGTTCCTCGACGAGATGGCCCGTCGCAAAGGCGCGAGCGCAAGAGTGCACTCGCTCATCATGGACTCGAGCCCGGGCAAGTCGAATGCCAAGACAGGCTCGATTGCATTCACCATGCATCTGGCCAACCGCCCACTTTTGCGGGCAATCGTGCGATTCTTTGTTTACCTCGGGCTGTACTTGCTCAAGATCTGGACCAAGCTCACTGGTCAGCCTCAAAGGGGTGAATTGATGAGGAAGCGACTCAACTCGCTCAGAAGTTGGAGTTGGGTCACTGCTTCACACACGCCCAAGCCACAACAAGTGGAGAAGAAGGCAGACGCAGATTATCCGCCAAGAATGTACATGTACACCAAAGCGGATCAGCTGATTCCTTGGCAATTTGTTGAAGAGCATGCACATGACTTAGCCAGGATCAGCGAGGTGCAGCAGGGACTAGTACAGATGGAGAACGAGAGCGAGAGGCAGAAGCTGCTTGAAGCTGTCAGGCAGGGTAAGACGAGGTCTGAGAGAGAGTACAAGGTCGAGTTGAGGAGATGGAATACTCCTCCGCACTGTAGTATCGGGCGATCTGACTTTGAGGGTTACTGGGCCGCCCTGATAGACTTCTATACGAATGTGCTTAGTCGCGGATAGATCATATGTAGTAGATTATACATGCTCTCATCAATGCGCTCCATGTAATACGGTCTCATTTGCTTCTCAAGCTCACACTTGTTGTCACACGGCTCAAGCAACATAGTATGCAGAGAGTGAGGTTGAGTGGGTAAGACGTTCAAATCTTGCCCTTGATGCTACCTGTGGCGAACCATTTTGCGGCTGCGATGCAACATGTGCCAAGGACGACCATGACACCACAGTAAGCTGCCGTTCCCCACCAGTTGGGGTTGGTCAAGTCTCCGAGAATAGCACCTGCGATAGGCAGACCGAAGAGACCACCAAAGGACATGAGGAAGAACATCATGCCGTTCCTCGTGCCGACAGTGCTTGTGCTGCCAAGTTGAGATGAGCAGGCAGGAATAAGTGATACGTAGCAACCCGAAGTGAAACCGTAGAGAATAGCAAATGTGACCAGGCCAGCCAGACTGGTGCACAGAGGAAAGATGAAGATGAGAATCCCTGAGACTGCAAGATGAGGCAGGACAGTATTGATGCGGCCAAGTTTGTCTGCCACGAGACCAGGCAGGATTCGGCCGAAGGATGAAGCAGCGTTGAGGATGGGCAGATAGTATCCATTGGCGGGCACATTGTTGGTTGATGACCAGACGTCCATGTAGGAAAGAGGGAAGTAGAGGCCAAACATGAGAAGGGAAGCGCCCATCACGAAAAACGTGTAGGCTGGCTTACGGAAAGCGGAGAATTGGAACCATTGAACTTGCTTCCAGCCACCTTTGGACTTGTCGCGCACATCGATCGAGGGTGACAGGCGGGTAGATAGCGAGAACCATGCAAGAGTGGTAGCGAAAAGAGCGAAGAAGCCGACGACTCGCATCGTCCATGCATAGCCGATCATTGGGATCAATCTTCGCACCAAGATTGGGAAGACGATACCGCCGGTCGACGAGCCGGAAGCGACAAGGCCCAATGCTAGGCCACGACGACGATTGAAGTAATGAGCAGGGCAGTTGATGGCTAGATTGAACACAAGACCAAAACCGAGGCCGAGTCCGAGACCTTGCGCGAGGAAGAGTTGATAGTAGTCGGTGCATAGACTGAGCATCATCTGAGAGAAGACGAGCAGCACGCAGCCGACCGCGAACAGGGGGCGGAAGAAGCCCAGATCGAAGAGTCTGCCGGCGACAACGGCGGGAGCGAACATGAGAAAGTACTGAAAGGCACCAATCCACGAAATCTGGCTCTGAGTTTTATGCGAGAGGGTGGTCTGCTGATAGTAGTCTTGGAAGATACCGTAGGCGTTGAGATAGCCAAAGGTGATGAAGGTGCACCACCAGCCACCAAAGACGCAGAGCCAAGCCTTGAAGCCGCCCTCTGGGAAGAAGATCTGTGCATCTTCGCCTTGCGCTTTCAATACGGCCTGACCGAGATCGTGCTCTGTCTTGCATGACATGCCAGCTTTGGACATAGATGCTTCGACATCTGTATCATCTTCATGTTGTGATAGGGCCGAGTGCCGTGTCTTTTCCTTGTCTGTGGAGAGGATGTCGGGGTGAGATTGCGTATAAGCATGTGACGATGTTTTTGCTGCTTTTTCCGACATTGCGTCAGCATGATGCTGCGTGGCGGTGGTTGATGCTGGTGAGGATGATGACCCGTGACCGGCCGGGTCTGTATCTGAGGTTGGGGACATGATATACGTATAAGTAAGCTGGTGAGACGTGTATGCCGTAGCCTTGTCGGCGACAGTTAAAGCTAGCGAGGCTATCGGTCTGCCAGAGGAGTTAGTTGAAGCTACAAGTCGTGATAGGACTAGGTCCGGCTTAATGTGGCGTCTACAGCGTTTCGATGACGAGTATGTGGTCTTAGTCGCAGTAGCTTCTTCGAGAGGTAAAGTGATGAAGGCGACAAAACGAGGAACAAGGCTTAAACGAGGTCGATACGAAAGCCACCACAGGATTGAGTATAAAAGATGAGATAGCGGGCAGGAAGGAGGGGGGGGGGGGGGGGGGAGGCTCAGCGTAGAGATGGATGATGGCCAAGGGCCGGAGAGAAGGTGTAAGAGCGTAAGGGAGCTCGGTTGATCATGTGTCACTCTCAGGGATAGGAACGCAAGGAGCTCGGCAATGACGGCGCTGGGAAGAGACAGGAGTGGGACAAGGCCGCGGGAACAGCGTGGTGCAGCGCTAGTGTGTGTTAGTAGTACAGGTGCGGGCAGCCGTTCGGAGCCAAAGCACAAGACGCCACCGAATGCTGTGATGATATCAACTCTCACCAAGTCCGGGCGCTGTCAAGCGCCAAGTGAAGATCAGATCTTCGCTTCGCCGGGAGAACATTGAATAGTTACGCCCGCTTCTTCCTCTCGCCTTGCTTACCCTTTCCCTCGGACGTGTGCTAGGATATGAGCGCTTTTTATGGCAGCACTCCTCCCGAGGCAATCCCGTGGGGCTGCCTGGAGAAGCTGTCATGAGATAGATCAACATTCATTGCAGACCGCAACATAGGCAGTGGCGTTCTTTCCCGCGGAACAGAGTGTGCGGGTATACAGACGGGAAATGGATGAACAGTGTTAGGTCGCAGTAGCCAACATGTGGTTCTTTTTCAAATCTCTACTCCGAGTTCCGCGATTTGAGTCCACTTCTTCTTGTTCTCTTCTTGGAACAGCTCATCTGCTGCGCATCCACAACTTGCAGCCTTTCCGAGCCCATCCATCTTTCCTTGCTCTTTGCTCACAAGCTGGCTAGGCTGACATTGCAGCATGTCACGTCCGCCAGAGCTCGACCGCAATCAAGATGCCACCTGCTATATCGGCAACATCGATGATCGTGCTACCGACGCCATCGTTTGGGAACTTATGATCCAAGCTGGTCCCCTCGTCAATCTTCACCTTCCGAAAGATCGCATCACTCAATCTCACCAGGGCTATGCATTCGCTGAATTTCAGACTGAGCAAGATGCTGACTACGCATGCAAAGTTATGAATGGTCTCAAGCTGTACGGCAAACCGATCCGAGTTAACAAAGCTTCCAATGACCGCAAGCAGATCGACATTGGCGCCAACCTCTTCGTTGGCAGTCTCGACCCCGCAGTCGATGAGCGCTTGCTGTACGAGACCTTCTCTGCTTTCGGTGGTATTATTGGTCTGCCCAAAGTGGCAAGAGATCCGGCCGGCGGCGAGCCCAAGGGATTTGGATTTGTTTCTTTTGACAGCTTCGAAGCTGCTGATGCCGCCATTGAGGCGCTCAATGGTCAATTTTTGCTCAACAACAACATCACAGTCGACTATGCAATCAAGAAAGACAGCAAGAATGGAGAAAGACACGGCACGGCGGCAGAGAGACTTCTTGCGGCTCAGGCGAGAAAGAACAATGCTCTACCGACGCAGCAATATCCACAACAAGCTGGGCAGCCACCACTCGGTCCCATGGGTGCCCCTTATCTCCAGCAGCCTCACGCTGCCGCAAACAGCAATGCACACCAAGCACAAGCAGCTTGGACCGGATTTGCGCAACAGCCCCCTGCCGCAGCTTCCCATGCTTATGCGCAAGGACCACTACAACCTCCACCGCACCTTGCGGCCTACCAGCAAAACACAGCGGCCATTCACATGAATCCAGGTGCTCCGCCAGCTTATCCTCAATATCAGCAGTGATACCCGCACCGAAGACTCTTGTCCCTCTCCAGCCTTTAGCTACCTTCTAGGCACTTGTATTTGTACCCACATATTCAATTGTAGTCAGACCTTTCATGATCAGAATCCCCCCTCGGCCTTTCAACAGCTGTCGGTGTCTGATTGACCGATGCTCTCTGGCGTCACAGAATGGTTGAGTCTTGCACGTTCTATGCATTGCAGGTTGTTGGCAAGAGACTAGTCGTACACTGTTATTCCAGAGGTCGAGACGTCAGGAATGTGTGTGTGTGTGTGTGTGTGAATTTCTTTCTGGGCTGTCATTCGGTTGCTTGTCAACCAGGATTGCAGATACTTACCATGCACAATGCCAAACCAGAAGGTCCACCAAAGGATGAAACTGAAGGCGTTCTCTGTCAATCCGTTCACCAAGAAGCCTGCTACGTCTTGAGCCGAGAAGCTGCCAGATCTTGGATCGATGGACACGCTCGGTCCCGATGGGCTGACTGTCTTGACTTTGACATTCTTGTTGGTCGCCGCAGGACTTTTCGATGATGTGAGGGGCTTAGCCGGTGGCGATGGGGAGATGAAGTACTTGCTTGGGGTCCCATTTGCATTGATCAGGAGTACGAGCGAGTTTGTCAGGAGAACAGAGACAATGTAGAAACCGAAGCCGATCCAGTTGGTCAGACCGAGGACGCCTGCTACAGAGCCTGCAACAGACAGGGCTGTCGATCGAACACTGTCGCAGTACAAAACAAGCCAGATGAGAGACCATGGAAAAGAGTCAGCCATCATCTCCCACCGACGCATACTCACTTCAGGTGCTGATTGCTCGGACATACTATTCTACCTGCTTGGCATTGTGAGTGACGTTCTGGGGGAAGTAAGACTGAGCTCGAAGCTGCAGCTCTTGTTCTTGGATCAGTGCTGCTGCTGACATCTTGTCTGCCTATGTGGTGGTAGCCTGAATGCCGATAGACCGTTTGTTGTTCGTTTGATGGACGTTGTGGAGATAGCTAAGCGCAAAAGGCCAAAGCTTCCAAAATACCCACACACACGCAACGCACAGACGCGTCTCTTCTCTCATCCAAGCGCTGCGTGAGTGTCTGAGTTAGTTCTCGGCCGAAAAACTCATGCTCAGTATCGGCCGAAACAGGCGAGGTGAGAGAAATGCGGGTTTCGGGACCGGAGGTCGCGAGCTCTGTGGCTCCCGGCCCGCCGTAGGGGGCCGGTCGAGCGCAGATGAGAGCGGGCTACGTACAAAGGGAGGGATCGGGTGGGAAAAACACGGGAATATCGCGCTCGATGGTGGTGAGCGCGAGGAGAAGATGGTGGAGGAGAGAGATGAGGGGGACGAAGTGTCGTTGCGTTGATCTCAGGGCCACGTCACGCGCTTCTCAGATGGGCACGTGATTAAATCTCGTGCGGCACTTCAGAATAATGTCAGACTTCTCATCTGAACACTCGCACGACAACGTGTGTCTCTGCACCAACACCAAGACTGACACCTTGGCTCAGCTTGACTTGAATCAGCTCTGCATCCTGTACTCATGCGAAAAGCGCTATGTGCATGAATCTGCATATTGAAAAGAGTGTTGTGTCTCATCGCTGAATAGCGACAAGATGCTGATGCTGTTGTTGCAAACGAGCTTTTCTATGGTGAGTGCAGCATTGATCCACAGAGGTCAAAGCCGTTGGGGACTGGATCAGGCGGTCATGCCGCTGACCCGACGGCTCGTTCGCCTTGCCTTTGCCAGATTGCCAGCCGATGTGGATGCATCATCACTAGACGTCTTACAGGCAGTTGTTGGCGAGCTTGATTGCGCCTCTGATGAAAGGCAAGACAAAGATGGATTGGCCACAGACGATGAAGAGCTCTGAAGCACCTGATGGATCTTGTCGGTCAAATTGATCAGCTCCTCACCCGCCGGGTTCTCGTCCAAGGTTGAGCTGAAATCGATGCCAAGTCCCATTGCCGTCGCACTCGCCTCTCTGGCTCGTGATGCTGGGGTCGACGAGATCGCTTTTGCGACTTTGGAAGCGGCGATCGTCGCAGCTGAAATCGCCGTCGAGGCTCCACTAGCGCCTCCGGCCGCTGCGGGCAAGGTTGAGGACGAGGAACGCACGGTGATACGAGGCGTCGATGTCACCCCTGTCTTTTCAGTGGCGCGACGCAAGCTAGGCATAGAACGTGCCGGGTGCGGTCTTGAAACACTGATAGGCGTGGCGGATGCATTTAATCGAGGCGTCGAGCCTTCCCTTGACGAGACAGTGGCAGAGGCTGTGGAGCTAGCTGTGCCCGGTCGCTGCGTCTTGGCCTGCTGCATTGCAGTAGGCTGCGTCTTGAGCGAGGTGCGCGTTGTGATTGAGAGCTGGGTGCTGGCGCTGCTGCTCGATGCGGTTGAGAGTGTCGGGCTAGACCGACCGCTAGATTCTGATGCAAGGCTGCTGGTGGAAAGCGTGGGTCTGAGGATGGGCGTGCCAGCCAAGCGTGGAGAGTCTTTGGAGGCTGGCGTCGTGGATAAGGGCAGACCTTTGGCGCCAATGCGCGGCGTGATCTGACCAGGTGTCGACTTTGTCTGATTCGTGAGCGCCGAGCGTAAGCTGGCGCGCTGTATTGACGATGCCGTTGTGGGGCGCACGACGTTTCCTGACGCAGACTGCGCAAGACCGGCGTTAGCTGCCGTTGTGCCTGAGAAGGTTCGCGGTCTTTCGATGGCCGTTACACCTGATGTTGCACTCACCGAACGAGAGCCTACCAGAGCAGCACCGGCACTGGCGGGCCTCTGCTTGGGCTTCATCCCAGCGGCAAGACCGCTGGACGCTACGGGCGGGCGACCGTTGCCGAGCACGGTGGAACTGGATGCTGAAGAGACTGTGCGACTGCGCTCGCCTGCCTTCTTGGTGTCGGCGATGCTCTGGGCGCTCATCGTAGCTTTGGTTGAACCAGTAGTGGCAGCAGTCGTGCCACTCGTGTCTGAAGGCGGCGTGGCTCGAGAACTTGGCTTTTGCTGTGTCAGTATGGCAGCATCGAGAGTGTCGTCAGTGAGGTGGGAGAGGGAGACATGATTCGATGCGTTGTCAACTTGCATTGCCTCAACCTGCATTGCCTGTTCGACCGAGGATTGCCGCGATCGAGATGGGAGTGGAGTGGACTTGCGTCTCAAGGAGGGACGTTTACTTTCAGTAGCATTGCTCGTTGCAGTGGAAGAGCAAGAGGCCATACTGTCCGTTGAAGAGGAAGCGCTGATCTGAGCCGCCGATCGAGAAGGCCACATGGATGGTTGGGGCGCTCTGGGAGTGTCCACCTGCTTGGCTTCGTCTGCTGTGCATAGATCACTCACGGCGGCCTCAAGCTCGGCAAGTTCGCCGAGGTCGGCATTGCTGGTGACACGAGATTCGTCGTCCGAGGTATCAGTGACGCCGTCGGTTGACCAGAAAGCGAGGTTTGAGTTTGAGCGTCGATTGCAGCCTTGATCGCGGTCGGCGAGCGCACTAGCGTGTTGACGGATCTCAAAGAGGTCGGCCATACGTACACCACCTTCCTCCTGACCTCTAGACAGTTCGCCGCTACTACGACTGGGACTGCCCTTTGAACGCATATTAGAGGTGCGCTCTGCGGGGGATTGTCGCAGAGCCGCCGCTTCGTGCAGTTTACGGATGTCGCTCAGATTGCCGGTACTACCCACCATGCTACGCGCAGAGGCTGGCGTGTTGGAGTGGGAGCGATGCGGCGTTGAGGCTGGGACAAGATCGCTGGGATCTGGCTTGCGCATCTTTGTATTGAGTTTGGGCAAAGCGTAGTTGATGCTCTTTCTCACCCTTCTCGTTCGACCGGTCTGGGTCTCGGAGTCCGTATCGGCGGTGGCATCACTAGCGACATGAGCAGAGGGGGTCGCTTGGATGGCGGCGCTGAAAAGCCTTGCTGGTGTGGGCATGGGATCGTGAAGTTCGTGGGCTGGAACTTTGCGTTTGCGTCCATCAGGTGTTCGAGCTTCTGATGGCGGTGAATTGGCTGCAGCGGTGCTGTAGGGATGATGGGAGAATAATGCGCCACCTTCAGAGTGGGTGCGGGATGGCTTACGGGGCGTTGTGTCTGCAGCTTTGACATGGTCTTCCAGATAGGGGCTGGCGGAGCCGAAGCGAGAGGAAGTTGCGACGAGTCGACCATTTGTGATGTCAGTTAGAGGAGGTTGAGGGGCAGATTGATCATCGTGGCCTGGATAGACCAAGACGCCTTCCATTGCTTCTGAGTTGGCCTCGGATGGGAGAAACGGATCTGAGCTAGGTTGGGCGGAAGAAGATGCCGACTCGTTCTCTGGAGACTGACTTCTGGCATAATCATCAGCGTAGTCATGGTGGGAAATGTAGCCACTATGTCTACGCGTTGACTTGCGGCCTGATCTGCGGAGGGATTGACGACTGGGCCTTTCGTGCAAGGCGGGTCGGTCGGAAGCTTCGGACTGCACCTCGAAGGGCGCTGAGGGAATGTAGGCTTGTTCGGCGACATGGGGTAAGGACCAGTGATGGGAATCCGAACGTGAAGCGGAGGCTGCAACAATGACGTCTTCGAGCTGGGCAGGTAGCTCGGGACTGGCCATAGGAGAAGGCGCATCGTCCATATTGAGTGCAGAAGCCAAGCTGGTGTTGCCTATCAGCGGGCTGGAGGCGCCAGACTTTCTGATCTGAGCAGCGCGTCTCGCCTTGAACTGTTGCTGCCATTGGGCCAACTGTTGATGCGAAGTGGAAGCACCGTTTACGGGATTGGGGAAGGATTGCTGAGGGAAGCGGTGGTTGTGCTCTGCATCGCTGGCCTCTTCTGGCAAAGATTGGATGTGAGCTTGAGGGGCGGCAGCAATATGCTTGACGACGGCGCTTGCGTTTGGATGTGGCTCGACCTTGACTCTGTTGGATGGTGGCAATTTGGAGGTGGTGGGAAAGTTGGGGGCCTTGAAAGAGACGTGTTGGTGGGTGAGACCGAGAGTGAGGCCTCTGCCAATGGCTTCCCAGCCGGCATGGATGGATGCGATGGCGTGTCGAAGGTGAGTGAGCTGAGCAGTGAGGCCAACGGTCTCGATCTCTTTCTGCACTTTTTCAGCCTCGAGAGTGTGGATGCGGTTCTCGAGCTCTCTCATACGAGTCTGAGCAAGGGCATTGGCTTTGATGATCTCTCGATTCTGGGAGATGTGCTTTCGCTTGAAATGTTCAAAGTTCTCGAGGATGGACTCCATGTTGGGCACAAAGAAGTTGGCTGAGCGACTAGCTTGGATGGTGTGAGAGTCATTGTCGGTGGGCGGATGAGGTAGGCTGGCACTGAGCCTGACCTCGCGACGTGTTGCTGGTGGCATGTTGACGGTGTGCTATGCTAGGGGAGATGCGGGCTCAGCGCAACAGCGTCTTACGCTGGCCGCGCTTCTCAGAGGGCGTTGCGAGCCAGATCGAAAGTCTTCTGAAATGGCTAGAGGAGCCGGCGAAAGCAACGAGATAGTGGATTAAGTGGGTGATCAGATCTGTTTTTGTTGCACCATGTTCGCAGGGGAGACGTGAGATGCGAGGGGTCTATCGAGATCAGTGAAGTGATTGTTTTGCCGCCAAGGAAAAGATGTCGAGGCAGATGTGTCGAGCTGAAAGGTTGAAGTAAATGGTGGATGGAGCGTCTGATCACCGGGCGAGTTGTCCGTTTGACAGAAGAAAGTGCAGATGAAAGCGATGGGGAGGATGGGGAGGAAGGCGAGCGATTGAGGCAGCCGGTAACGTGTCCTTCTAGAAGGAGTTGGGTATAGTCCGCAAAAGGGTGCGCGGTCGTCTCTAGCTGGTGGGTTGAAACAGTGTCTGAGAAAGTCGGCAGATTTGTAGCAGTGTAGGAGGGGATGGATGAAGGGGAGGATGGATGAAGGAAAGGTGTATGCAGTTGGTTGGTTGCCAATGATGCTGAGCGAGATGGGAAAAAAAAAAAGAAAAAAAAAAGAAAAAAAAAAAGAAAAAAAAAAGGCAAAGAGTGTTGCTTTGGACTCGCTAAGAATCGAGTGCAACAGTTGAAGATGCGTCAGCATCCCAACGGGATTCACGGGGTCCGCAGAATCAGACAGGGTCCACAGAATTTAAGCGATCTAATAATTAGGTAAAGGTGCATACAGGTGGCAACACTTGTGGGATGCATAGGAGTTGTTACAATAATGCACAAGAGGCGACAACACAGGAGTACCACGAGGAGTGACACATCACACATTTGCACAGGCTGAAGGAGATTGCTAAGTATATATATGACCATGTATATAGCATCACATGAATATAAGATAAGCATTCAAGAAGTAATACGACTGCATACGAGAGCTTGCTAGTGGCTCCGATCGGTCGCGTTTTATCTGCAATCTTCAACTGATTAAAAAGTCTGAAGCTCTACTGACTAAGCCAACTGGGACCATTGACAACATGGTACAAGAGGCCGAAGCTCAAGCTGTCACAAGCAAGGCCAAAGGAGGAAGAAAAGGAAAGGCAACGCAACCACGAGCCGTTGACAATGAGGCCACCAATGAGTCAGACACCGAGGTGATTGACGATGATGCTGAGGAAGAAACTGACTCTGACTCAGATCACGACAACATCAGAAAGCCATACAATTTTTGTACTCTAGCAAAACTACTTGAGCCTGTCCCAAAACTCACATCGCACAACTATTATAGTTGGAATGCCCATATCAAGTCCTTTCTACGATGTATTCCTCATGCCATGAAGCATCTTGATGGAGCATACGGCAAGAAACATCCCAAATGGAACTGCACATTCGATGATGCTTTGACAAATGCATTATGCAGCACCATTGACACCACCGGAGAGCACAATATCAATTACTTGATTCTTGACATCATCAGGGAGCACCATACATTCCATCATGTATGGAAGAAGATTGAAAATGGACTCACCAATGAGGCCACTGCCATATCTCATTGTATTGCATTGATTGCTCAGCTAGGTGAACTAAGGATGCACAACTCAGATGTATGAAAGCTTATCCAGGAAATAAGGACCATCCAAACAGAGAGCAGCTTACTGGGAAAGCCATTCGCTGACAATACTCTGTTCTCTAATCTACAAAAGTGCACTATCCGACACCCAATGTACAAGGAGACCATCACCACTGTCAGCCAGCTTAGTTTTAACACCCTCGCCACCACCCTATCTATTCAGCAGTCAGTGATCGAGAACAACCCCACCCCAAGAGTTGACCCCCATCAAGCAAGTGCCAGAGTCGTCAGCAGCGATGACCAGGATGAGACACCTGGAAAGGAGGAGAAAGACAAAAAGGACACTGACAGCACCAGTGCCAAAGTTGCCACTAGACCTCAAAGGCTCAGATGTTGGATCTGCAAGAGGCCTGGACACAGGATCAGTCAATGTGATGCATCGGTGACCATACCAGAAAATTCCCCCTTCGCCAGGCCCAAATAGGAAGCCTGGTGCTCTTTTGCACCAAGTTGGCAGAGCCACCCAGATTCAAAAGGGAACCATCATTGGATCCTAGATTCGGGCACCAGCTATCATATGGTAAACAACTATAGCATGCTCATTAGTCCGAGAACCTGCCGAAAGCGCGTATTCACTGCCAGAAGCGAGGTTCTGGAAGCAACCGCTATAGGGGATGCTAGCATATCAACAAGTCATGGAGATGTTTTTCTCCAAAATGTATTGTATGTTCAGCATCTCAATGTTAACCTATTGTCAACAAATTCTCTGACAGACGAAGGAGCATAAGTGATGCTAGACTCAACCGGAGGGCAAATACACTTAGCAAACGGTATGCTACTCAAAATATCCAAGAATCGCAAGCGAGGACTGTTGGAGTTTCAAGGCGACACATGGAAGGAAAATGCAATGATCACATCAACGTCATTATTTGAAGGTGTTGATGAAGATTTTGAGCATATTGAGAACAAAGCCAAAATATCTGAACAACAACTATGGCATGAACATCTGGGACATCCAGGTCGAGATAAGACAAGGGCCATCATCAACTGCTTAGGAGAAAATGACACAGCAGACCTAAACCCAGGGACTGCTACAATGTGTGAGCCATGCATCCAATCCAAAAGCACGGCAGCCCAAATGGGGCAAGGTAGTGGAGAGAAATCTGTCTCTCTGCTTGATCTCATCCACATCAACTTGATAGTCGACTCGTCACACGACGGAATACATGTGCACATTGGTACTGGTTGATAACTACAGCAAGTATGTATACATGCAGCCTTTGCTACAAAAGAGTCATGCATTTCCCAAGCTCAAAACAATTGTATCATATCTCGAGACACAGATGGGAAAGAATCTGAAAGCAATACGATCTGACCAAGGTACATAATGGAGAAGCAATGATGCGCTCCAGTGGGCATATGAAAAGGGCATTGAATGGCAAATGACAGTAGGGTACAATAGCAGACAGAACAGACGTGTGGAGAGAATGAACAGAAGCTTGGGTGAGAAGATGTGAATGCTGCTCATGCAAAGGAGGTTACCGAAGAGCTTCTGGCCCTATGCAATCCAGACCGCAGCCTTCAAAATGAACCTCATTCCAAGCATTGACAGTGAGTTCCCATACCAAGTCATGTTTGGGAAGTTGCTGGAGCGACTCATAAGACTCCTATGCATTTTTGGATGTTTAGCATGGGTAAACGTTGTCAGGGGTCTCGCGCCTGAAACCCAGGTCGGTCTGTCGAGATACTCGGTGACTATCAAACTGTGCGACAGCTATTGTCTCAGTATTGGTGACTATCAAGTTGCGCAGTGACAGCAGGTGGCATTCATTGGATATACTATCGTAGGTTTTGGCTGACCTCTGTGGACACTCTGTTCAGGGGTAGCTCGGCACGATCAATATCAATGCTTCGGTTATGATGACACCAAGGTCTGGTGTGAGTGTTGATGATGATGAGGTTGATGACGTTGGTGATAAGGTTGGTGGCATCAACACGAGTGTCCAGTGTGTTGACTTGATGCTTGAAGTGATCCCCAGACCGCAGTGGACTACTGCCTTCGGTTCTATCTTGATCTGGACCACTAACCTGCTATGGGCACCTTTGGACATCAGGTAGTGGTGATACAACACACACACTACGATGAGGAGCAACCTTGATAGATTGCTGCTATGCTGACTGAAACTAATATATACTTATGCTGAAGTGATAACTAGTTATGGTGAGTAGAGTGGATGAGGATCCACTCGACCTATGATGATGAGAAAGCATGGTTATATACCTCTTCACAGCATCGCCAGCGATGCTGCTCCTGCTCTCTCTCCAGAGAGTACCTTCTTCATCGAGTACTGCTCAGGGGCCTCTCCTGCTTGGCACCCCTGTGCCTCTTGAGTGGTGTCGACTCCTTTGACACTGCTCCTCCTCCTCATGACCTGGTGTCAACTCCCTTGACACTGCTCCTCTTCCTCAGGACCTGCTTGCCAGTGTCCTATGACTCTTGTCTCTCGAGCCCCTGAGTGGTAACCATCTGAGCTTGGTCCTCTTTGTGGCTGTGCCTGCTCCTTGAGCTTGGTCCTCCTTGCATGTGGCTCGGTTCTCCTTTGCATGTGAGTCCATAGGAGTCCATGGTCTCCATAGAGACTGCACTACGACCATGCTCTCTACTGGTATCGACTAGGTCTTCGATACCTGTGCTCCTTCCATATGAACCAGTGACCCTCCTGCTTCTTGAGCATCCAGGCCCATGGCAAACGTCCCCAAGGTCAAAAGAGATAATAAAAAGTTAGATCAACGAGCAGTAGCATCTATCTTCTTGGGGTATAGTCTGGAAAGAAAAGGATGGCTCTTCTACAGCCTGGACTACAGCCCAAACATCTTTTGGAGCAACTCAGCTAGATTCATGGAGACAAAATGCTGGTCTGACAAAACAGAGTGGAAACCAGTAAACATACACCCACCACCAGTACTAGCAGACGAAGGAGACATAGACAATCTTGGATACACAGATATGAACCTCTTCGACGAACAAGAGGAGGAGCCGCTGAATGAGTACACGAATATGAAAGAAACAGATGGATTGAACGATGAAGAAGATCTGGGTGAAGATACAACAAAGGCAATAGAATGCAGGGCCGATACTGACACCAACACGCTTGACGACACATGAACCAATAGCAATCACTATGGACTCACGGCAATAAATGATCAAAAGAGAAGAAACCTAGACCCAACAGTTAGCGAAGCATTGTCAGGAGAGGACAGGAAACATTGGGAGGAAGCAATGCATAAAGAACTGGATGGTTTGAAAGCCATGGATACATGGGAAATCGTCAATCTCCCCAAAGGTATGCATGCCATTGACACATGTTGGGTTTTAAAAATCAAAACAGATGCAAATCTCATCCCAATGAAGTTTAAAGCAAGACTGGTGGCAAGAGGTTTCACACAAAGAGAAGGTATAGACTACACTGAAGTGTTTGCGCCCGTCACACCCATTCAGTCAATCTGAGGAGTCTTAGCCATAGCAGCAGTTTGTGACTGGGAAGTAGATAGTATTGATGTCAAGCAAGCATATCTAAACTCAATGCTACATCATGATGTATTCTTAAAACTGCTGCTTGGAATGAGAATCCCACCTGGAAAGGCCTTGAAGCTAGTAAAAGGACTGTATGGACTGAAACAATCAGGGCGAGAATGGAACATAGAGTTGGATTCGTACCTATGGAGCATAGACTTTCACTGCATGCCGAGTGCACCTTGTCTGTATTCAAGAGGAACTGGAAGTAACCTAACTATTATCACAGCCTATGTTGATGACATGCTCATAGCCTCGCCCAGTCATAAGGAGGTGGATCACACCAAAAGGGAGATAATGTCCAAGTGGGGAATGGAAGATAATGGCCCAGTGAAAGAGTTCCTCGGCATCAACATCAAATGAAACAGGACAAGAAGGGAGATGTCAATTGATTTGACTGCTTACACCAAGGCCATGGTGAGTAAGTGGTTACAGTTGACAGATCAGAAATCATGGGTACCAATGCCAGAAATACCTAATGCCATAGGGAATGATAAATGTGATTCCCTAGAGGCAAAACAATACCAAGAACTGGTGGGACAATTGTTATGGGTAGCAAATACTGCATGACCCGACATATCGTTCACAGTGGGAATACTGGCAAGATATATGTTGACCCCAACCAACAGTGCATGGAAGGCTGCTATACACTTGATGAAGTATCTCAACCAAACCAGTGACTACTGACTGAACCTTGGGAGCAGATCAAGTGAACACTTGAAGCAACCGATTGTCACATATAGTGATGCCAATTGGGCCTCAGACCCAATGAATGGATGGAGAAGCACATTGGGAGCAATGACATATATATATGGGTGCCCAGTTAGCTGGAAGTCACATGTCCAAAAATGTGTGGTGCTATCAGCAGTGGAAGCTGAGTTCGTTGCTGCCTCAGAAGCAGCGAGAGAGGCACTCTTCTTTTCATACCTCCTCAGGGACTTAGAAATCGATGCTGCCCATCCAGTCTTATGTTCAGATAGTCAGGGATGTATACAGGTGAGTAAGGATCCGGCAAAGCACTGGAAATTGAAACACATAGACACCAGATATCATTTCATTAGGGATCATGTTCAGGATGGGGAGATAGAGATAGAATTTGTTGGAACAGCAGACAATGTTGCAGACATTTTAACAAAACCATTGAAGGGTTTAGCAACATCCCAGCTATCTCAGTTGTTAGGGTTGGTAATGCTGTCGAAGGGGGGAGTTGAAGATGCATCAGCATCCCAACAGGATTCACGGGGTCTGCAGAATCATATGGGGTCCACAGAATTTAAGTGATCTAATAATTAGGTAAAGGTGCATACAGGTGGCGACACATGTGGGATGCATAGGAGTTGTTACAATAATGCACAAGAGGTGACAACACAGGAGTAACACGAGGAGTGACACATCACACATTTGCACAGGCTGAAGGAGATTGCTAAGTATATATATGACCATGTATATAGCATCACATGAATATAAGATAAGCATTCAAGAAGTAATACGACTGCATACGAGAGCTTGCTAGTGGCTCCGATCGGTCGCGTTTTATCTGCAATCTTCAACTGCAACACTTGGCCCCGAACTTACTCTATAAAAGCCTTGTGACTCTCTGCTTAAAACTGCATCCAAACCGTCATTCTGCGCTGTTTCTTGTCTCAATAAAAAAAGGATTGTGATTGTTGCGAATGCTCGTTTGTCCTACAACCACACGCCCAGATTCAGTTGTGTTAACACTTCTGTTCGCTTTGCCAATCACCCCTTACGGCTGTTTGCACTGGCAAAGGCTCGCGGTTATGAAGAATTCAAGTCGAGCCAAATGCAGAGGAGGTCCTTTCCTGCTTTTGTCACACGATTAGAGCGTTGGAAGAGCGGCAGTCAAGCTCTTTTCGACTTTGGGATGTGTTTGTGGCTTTGCTGAACACCCAACAAGATACAATGAGATCGATTTTATTTTTCTGAACATTGGTGGCCAAACGGATTTATTCGCAAGCGAGACTCGCGGTTCACGCTGGCTGAAGGTCGCGTTCCGTGTCTTTTTTATTTTGTTGGTGTCACGTGACCTTTCGAAGCCAAGCGCCACTGGCAAGCAAGCACGCACAAAGAGCCTCTGAACGCGACGGGCGTTTGGGTTGGGAAGCTCAAGGACGCGATTCAAATTTCGACATCGGCATCCGACAGAAGAGAGAAAGAGAGAGAGAGAGAGAGAGAGGTGGAGGCTTCAAGCTTGGCACAGTTGGGTTCGCTGCGCTCTGACCATCTTTTTCTTTTTCTTTTTTCTTTTTTCTATTTCCTTTTTCTTTTTTCTATTTCCTTTTTCTTTTTTCTATTTCCTTTTTCTTTTTTCTATTTCCTTTTTCTTTTTTCTATTTCCTTTTTCTTTTTCCTTTTTCCTTTTTCTTTTCCCACTTTGCCTTACATCGGATCTTCCGACTTTGCTCAGCTGATCCGCAACTCGCAGCCACATACCTTTGCTTGTCGGCAAAGCCGTGCCATCCAAACGAGCTATATATATATACCCTCCCCCCCCCTCACCCCCCCTTTCTCACTATCCGAGGCGCCCTCCCTCCATCCACACCGCCCTATCGATCGCAACTTGATCACCGTCAGACTTGGACGCAGCATCATTACCGGCCCACTTTGCTATCCTTCTCACGCTTCGACTCACCTATTGGGCAGCAGGCAGCCTCGAATGCAAGCTTCTCCGACAACCTCCTCGGCCACTGCGATTGGCATCTAGCACCTCTCTGCCACCTCCTTGCTCGCTCGCTGTCGACCCACAGTAACTCCATGTCACTTGTCACACTTGGCAACATGGACGCCAACGGCAGCAATGATACAGTCGACAGGCAAGCATCACACAACCCGACGAGCACCGCTGCGGCCCAGGCCTCAACTTCTCGACTCGATCAACAAGCTACATCACCGCAACATCCTCGCATCGAGCTTCTGAGCGATCATGACGGCCAAAGCGGTCCTTCAGATTCTGATGCGCCGCTTGCGAATAAGAAGGTCGGTGTCGACAAGCCCGATACCGTCTCTGACACGAGTCATGATCCATCCACCCCAAAGCAGGCCACTTGTCCAGCATCCACACCCTCCAAACCGTTGATCTTCCTCAAAAGCCTCTCACCAAAGATACCGCTTCAGATCCACGTTCCGCCTGAGCTCAATTCCATCTTGGAGCGAAAGATACAAATCGCCGTTCGTTCACACGGTGGGGCAATGGCCAGATATCTTGGCAAGGCTGACTTAATTGTCATTGATCCAAAATTGGTGGGTGCTGCTAAGAAGGCTCTCAAAGAAGCAAATCAGATTGCACAGCCCATCCCCGTCGTCACACCAGACTATATTTACGACAGCGTTACCCGAGGCGAGAGAATCAACTTTAACCATCCAAAGTACAAGTACGATGGCTCCCGTCCCCAGACTGCACCTGCAGTAACGGCAACCAAGGACACGCCCCTAGCTTCTCACTCCTTTGCAGGCCGCAACCCGTTCACAGAGGCCGACCGTGAAGCTGTCATCGCCTACTTCATCCACAAGTCCGACCGTTCCTGCAGCATCAACACCGCCGCCAAAGAGCTCGCCAAACTCATTCCCTCCCATACCCACTCCAGCTTTCAGACCTATCTGCAAAACAACTATGAAAAAGGCTGGAACCTCAAGCAGCGCGTCTGGCTCGCTCGACGTGCGGCACTCCAAGACGAGCCCTCCGAGCTACACGCTCGCATTCTCCGCTCTCAATACACTGCTTCACCCGGTCCAGCCGAGCAGTCTGCCCCATCTGACGGCTGGCCTCACACCTCATCTGCCCCATCACAAGGCGAGCGAGCAACTTCCCTCGACGAGGATGACGAGGACATTCAGCTGCGACAGCCAAATCCAGGTGCCGCCATCCAAGATGTTGAGAAGAATCCCACCAAAGCGATTAGCATACCCATACCCTATGCTTCCTCTGAGCAACCCGACTCTTGTTGCAATTCTGTAGAGCCGCCTCCTTCCAAGCAGAGGATCGACATGCCCGCCTCGCCGTCCATACAGGAGGAGTCTGATCCAGACGAGTTCTCACCAACGATCCTCGAACAGATTGAACGAGCAGAACGGCTCAAATCCTCACAAGCGAAACCCTCACAAGCGAAACCCTCACAAGCGAAACCCTCACAAGCGAAACCCTCACAAGCGAAACCCTCACAAGCGAAACCCTCACAAGCGAAACCCTCACAAGTCCAGCGTCGAGCACGTCGTTCGAGTCACTCGTCGGACGACTCAGAACTCGACCAGCTCGATGCTGACAGTGACAAGGATATGCTCACCACTGGTCCCATCCCTGTTGCTCCGCAGGCTGGGCGCAATGTTGCAGACGGATCCGAAGATTCCGAATGGCAGGGCACCCGTAGAGCTGAACTCAGGATGCGCCGTAACGATGCCTCCTACGTCAAAGAAGGCCGGAACAGGTTCACCCAGGAGGAGAAAGATGAGCTCATCTTAAGGCTTGCCGATCATGTCCGCAGCCAAGGTCGCGTGCCGGATGTCTTTACCCAAGACGCTCTTTTTGCCAAACCAGAAGATTCTTTCTGGGAGCGTTTTGCCCAAGACAATCCCACCCACACTCTTGCTTCGTGGCGGAGTCATTATCTCAAGAATCACGTCACTTATAAACAAATAATCCATCACATTATCGCTGAGATGAACGGTGCAAGTGACGAAAACCAAAAAGGTGAAGAGGAAGAGCACTTTGACGAGGCGGATGAAAGCATGTCGCCAGAGGCCCAAATACAGGCTGCACCCACCCGTGACGGCCAACACAGGCAATACAGCAGCCTAGACCACGCGGCAGTTCCAGACAGAGAGTCAGAAAGCGCCGACCGCAAGATAAATGCTTCGGCTCTAACAAGATCGGATATGACAGGTGTCTTTGACGATATGAGCCTTCCTGCTGACGGTATTGTGGTCATGATACCAACTCAACCCGCACAAGACCGACAGCGTCCAAAGAGAACAAAACCACAGCGTCAAGCATTGCAACAATGGCCCCAATCGCCTTCACCGCCTCTAATGGAAGAAGAGGAACAGCAAGACATGATGCAGATCGAGGCCGAGATCGATACTGCTGCAGACGAGCCGGACGGGCTGCTCGACCAGGGCGATCAAGATCTCAGCTCTTCCTCAGCGCAAGTTCAAGCTGCCCAAGAGCAACCTGCTGCTCGTCTTGAGTCGGATGCAGCAGATAGCATGGACGATGAGCACGAGGAGCACGAGGAGCACGAGGAGCAGGAGCAGGAGAAGCAGGAGAAGCAGGAGAAGCAGGAGAAGCAGGAGAAGCAGGAGAAGCAGGAGAAGCAGGAGAAGCAGGAGAAGCAGGAGGAAGCAACAGTTGTCCCTTACGCAGAGATGCCTTCAACATTGGTGCTGCCGACAGCTTCCACTCCAACCCGTCCTGTGGTTGCATCGCCGAAGAGAGGCGTGGATGCAGGCACACCTGTGCTTGAACAGCATCGCGATGCGCCATTCTACGACTTCACCATGGATAGCGACGAAGAGCAACGTATTCGCAAAGCTCGCTCCCGTCCATCGTTGCCCAACTTGCCGGCCGGCCGACAGCAAACGTCCGCCTCCCGAACATCGCACTCGCCCATCACCTCGAGACGTGTGCTGAGCCATCTTGCGACTCCTTCTCGCAATCGCGCCCATACTGACAGCGCCCGCCAGGAAGGAAGAGGCGAAGATCGCATCCAAAGGACTCGAGACTGGGCACGTAGAGTTTCGACAACCCCATCCTCCGCTTCGCCAGATCTGTTCCAGGATGTTGGGCCTGTAGCGGTCGCGGAGACTTCACGATCCCGAGCCAGTCGTATTGACCGACGACCCCTGCTCAGGGCTGAACGCGCTCCAACTTTGGCACCGCAGCTTCTGCAAAGTGACGCCAAGGCATCCAGAGCATTCTCCTCGCCAACTAAAAATTCAACGCCAGCACACGACCATCCGAACCGCTCGCCCGAGTCTTTGAAGCGATTAGCTCACGCCGAGAAGCTGGACAGAGAAGCCGCTCGCATAAAGTTCCGAGCGGACGTCGAGCATCTCCGTGCCGATTTCGATTTGCACATGCTCACCACGCGCCAGCTGCTGCTCCTCTTTCGGGGTCGCGTCAAAGACGCCCGGACATGGCTCGGTGCGATGCGCGACGAATATGGTGTCGATGCAGGAGTAGCTTACGAGTTTCTCAAGACCTCGAACGGCGATCTGGCACAAGCCCAGAATTTCCTCCGACTGGCAACAAAAGTGACGCGCTCAAGCAGCGCTCCACGTCTTGTCGGTGGCGCCTCTTCCCGCAGTGCATCGCACTCTGTCAGTCCAGTGAAGCACGGTGCTGGGATGGATGAAAGAAGCGCGAGCCGCCTGGATCGTGAGGATGATCGTGCAGTGTCAGCCAAGAGGTTGCGCCGATGAAGCATCGCCTAGTCATTGACAAGCCTTGCACACCTCTACTGAACATGTATACTTGCTTTTGAGGGTCGATTATCATCTAGATTCTTCGTATCAGAGCAGTGATGTGCATGATACTCATCTTAGCCTCAGATTTTCCGATCCTGCCTGTCATATGAGCCGAGTGGTTGGAGTACTGTGCGGGTCAGATCGTTGAAGAGAAGAAGCGTGACTGAAGAGTGGATCGTGGATCGCAATCGAGAATCGGGCTAGAAGCTTGAGGAAAATCAAGATCCAGAAGAGTGGAGGCTTTCGCTCAGGGAAATTTTACGCTGCACACCTCAGCCAAGCAAGATTGGTGAGTTTCCTTTGGTCCTAAGGATCATCCTTCCCCTTGCCCTTCTCTTTCCCTTGCCCTTCTCTTTCCCTTCCCCCCTCCATTTTCGTTCTGCTACAATCACCAACGTACCGCGCCGAACATACATAGATATGGCAACGACGCTCGGCCAATGTGCGGCGACGGCTTCGTCCAGCGCCGACACACTCCCACCATTCGTCATTCTTGCCAGCAGTTCTCGACCTTCGACATCCAAGAACACTGCCAAGTCACAACCAAGACTGAAAGGCTCCAACACACCTTCGAGACTCGTTCACTACTCTGGCGAAATACATCCGGCATCTTGCTCCTCTCGGCTTTCACGATATGAACCGACATTCACAAAGGATGACATGGACCTTGATGACGATGGCATGGAGCCCAGCGATGCAGATCAAGACGACATCAGGATTGCTGTTGCAGGCACTAGCATCGCATCTTCTCACGTCTTCATGAAGGGACACGGAACATTCTTGTCGTCCAACTCGGACGAAATCCTTTCTTCGATGTGTGGTACGGTCGAACGTGTCAACAAGTTAATATCAGTCCGGCCAGCCAGATCCAGATATGCGGCTGAGGTGGGAGACCTTGTCATTGGTCGAATTACCGAAGTTGGCCCAAAGCGCTGGAAGGTTGACATCAACGCCAAGACCGACTCTGCCTTGCAACTTTCTTCGATCAATCTACCAGGTGGTATCCAGCGAAGGAAAGTGGAGAGCGACGAGCTGCAAATGCGCAACTTCTTCCAGGAAAACGACTTGCTTGTAGCTGAAGTACAAATGATGTTCCAAGACAACTCGTCAGCGTTGCATACACGTTCCTTGCGATATGGCAAGCTCAAGAATGGACTTCTAGTCACTGCTTCGCCCAATTTGATCCAGCGTCTCAAGTCGCATTTTGTTCATCTCAAGGACGACGACCTCTCGCTCGATGTGGACCTGATTATCGGACTCAATGGCTACATCTGGATTGCAAAGCACTTGCCTTACAACCAACCATCCAACTCCTCCGGTGGTCCAGCAACTACCGCCGAACAACAGAGGGGACTTGCGGGAGAAGGTGTCGGCATGGACATCGACGCAACTTACTCCGATCAGAACGATCCTGATCTGTCCGTTGAACTGCGACACCAAATTCAACGAGTAGCCAAGTGCATCCACATCCTTGACGCTTACCACCATCCGATCTCGGACGTCACAATTCACTCTCTCGTTTCCATTTCGACTGCCTACGTAGGACACATTCTCCAGCAGCAACAACAGCAGCACTGGCACAGAGACCCAAACTTGACTCGCCTCATGATGGTCCAACTTCGTTCTGGGTCCAACTTGGCCGGTTGAACTATAATCATTCGACTCGAGGTCTGTTGACACAAGACGACTTGGGGTGGAATTGGTTCAGAAGCATGTAAAGCTCTTGCAGATGTAATATTACAATGACGTGATGCATGATCTAGGTCAAGAAGGGTGTTGTATTGTGTCAATTCGGTTCTGAATGCGAATGTGTTTTAAGTGATCTTAAAGTGTCAACGCAATGGTGGGCGTACTTGGATTCTACGTCGAGGCTGTAAGGCCTGCAGAGGCAGAGAGCTCCTTGTACTCTGCTGAATGTTTGCAAAGATTCTTGAAGTAGGCACCTTGATCTGAGTCGGGTTTCGACAATAATCTGTATGATGACAACATCAAGAGTGCAAGGCAAGGGGGTCAATATGCTGATCAGATAGTAAAAAAAGCATGAAAGTTGACGACTTACTCTTTGGGACTGCCGCATTCGACCAATTTGCCGTCTTGCATGACGATGACTCGGTCGTAATCGATGACACTCTTGAGACGATGAGCAATGCAGATGACAATCGAATCTTTCAGTGCTGTGCGAATGACACGCTGAACCATGGCGTCCGTGTCCATATCAGTGGACGACGTGGCCTCGTCAAGAATGAGAATTCGCGTCGAACGAAGTAATCTGTAGTTGCCACATAGACATGCAGGCAGGCATGATATCGTCAGCAAGTCAGTGCATAAGCAAGGTTGCAAACAGCAGGTCGAAAGGCGATCCATGTTGCCATACTTACGATCGAGCCAAAGAAAGAAGCTGAGCTTGACCAGCAGAGAAGTTGGCACCCGCTGAAGAGACAGGTGTGTCAAGGCGGAGCCGCATATTGGGCCGACAATTCTTGTTTGTCTCGTTACCAGGATCCGCCTTCGGGTCCGAGAGATCAATGAGTCCATCCTCCTGAACATTGTCATCGCAGCAGATGCTCAGTGGCGCAGCCAGTCCGACCTTGCTGAGTGCATCAAGCACTTCGGCGTCATCGTGCTCGTTGAATGGATCCAAATTGTCACGCACTGTGCCGGAGAAGAGTACCGGGTCTTGCATGACGATGCTGAGACGGCTTCGAAGCTGCTGAAGTGGAATCGTCTTGATGTCGATGTCGTCGATCATGATCTTACCGCCGCTCAGCTCGACAGCACGGAAAAGGCTGGAAGCAAGACTGCTCTTTCCACTCCCTGTTCGGCCTATGATACCGACCTTTTCGCCGGGCTTGACATCGAAGCTGACACCCTTCAACACGTCCGGCAGATCTTCGGCGTACCTTAATCTGACCTTGTCAAAGACGATGCGGCCAGTGGCTGAAGGCCAGCCTGCTGGAGCTCCTATTTCAGAGTAGCGAGCTACTATATCGTCGTTCTCTTCCCGCGGCATCTGTTGATACTCGGAAACACGCTCGAGCGAATTGAAGCTGTTGGCTAGGTTTTTCAAGTCGTTCACCAGGTAGTAAGCGAGCTGACACAGCAACTGCGCTGAAGAAAGTGCCAGACCGGCTGACCCTGGTGAAACGGCTCCAGAAAGAGCAAGCAGGGTGACAACAAAAACTGACACACCTCCCAGTATCTGCGATCGAAAGCTAAGCCACACCTCCATGGTACAGACAGCCCACCATAGAGACTGGTACAGATCCACGGCGTCGAGCATCGACTCGAGCAGCCTGGGCTCCGCTCCGAATGCACGAATGGTAACGATGCCAGATAGTGCCTGTTGGAAATGTCCGTAGATCGGAGAGGTCGACGTTGCTTCGATTCTCTGCATGTCGCGTGTGCAAGCAAGGAAGCCGCGTACGAGCCAAGGACCTAGCACGACAAGCAATGCCGTTGGCAGCAGGAACGCAGGCACGATCACGACACAGATCAAGAAGTAGGCGGCCATTGAAAAGGCGTTGTTTCCGAGATTCATGATCGATTGTGGCAGAATGTTGTCGATGCAATCCATGTCAGTGCCAAACCTGTTCATGATCCGGCCAGCAGGTGTAATATCGAACCATCGGAGCGGCGCGCGGATCACGTTGGCCAGGAGCGTTGTGAACAGATTCTGAGAAGCGCGGATCGAAGCGATGTAGAAGCAGACCGCTCGAAAGCTGTTGAAGAGGATCACAGCAAAGCCGCTGAGGCCGTAGACGGTCAAGTAGAAACCGGCATGTCCATCTGCGGGAGGAAGGTCGAATGGAAGCTTCGAAGGTAGTGACGCTAACAGCACGGTGACTGATTCAAAATCGTAACTATTGTAGGCCTCACCCCAAACTTTGAGCCAATACTGGCCAAACGACTCTGAGAGGCGCAATAGCAGCAAGAGCAGAACCAACAGAGCCCAAAGGCGGAGCGAAGAAGCCTGCAAGTAGATTCGATAGAAGATCCAGCTCACAGCTCCTTCTCGGCGCTTCTCTTCCTGATGCAGCAGGCGCGGTGTTCGAGCTCCCGAGGCAAGTTCTACAGGCCGTTTGGATGCAGTTGCTTCGGTGGTGGCGTCGTTGGATGTGCTGGGTATGGCATCTGGTCTGAGGCCTGACGACGTGTCTGCGTTCGATGCTGAGCCCAAAGCAAGAGCACCGCCTTCTTCATTGGAGGCGCCCTTCTCTTCCTTTCGACCACTAGGAGGTTCTCTTTCTCGACCATGCCAACTGGGGATCACGCCCTGGGATTGCAGATCGGATGGGGAGCTCTGATGGCTGATCTTGCCATGACGCATACCGACCACGAGTGCAGCGCTGTCGATGAGAAGATGGACGTGATGGGTTACAATGATGACCCTTCGCCCCTTTGCGATCGGCCCTAGCAGTGCATGCTCGACGATGTGATTCTGCACGCGTGCGTCGACAGCCGAAAGAACGTCGTCGAGAAGCACAGTGTCCGACCGTGCATATAAAGCACGTGCTAACGAGATGCGTGCCTTCTGTCCTCCGGACACGGTGTGTGACCCAATCCTGGTCAGGTCACCGTCATCCATGGAGTCAAGGTCATCCTGTAGAGCACATGCGTAGATGCACATATCGTACCTTTCCTTGTCAAAAGGAGTGCCAAAGAGTATGTTGTCTCGCACCGATTTGCCAGACTCAAGCCACGGCAGCTGACTGGCAAAGCTGAATCGACTGTTGCCCTGCTGATCGAACTTGTTGCGTACCACTACTCCGCGTTCGGACTGCAGCATCTCCCCAAGGATTGCCGCAAGCAGACTGCTCTTACCCGAGCCGGTCGGTCCAGTGATCAAGGTCAGCTGTTTGGGTGGAAACGTGACGTTGATGTCGTCGAGGTGAAAGTTGCTCTGCTCGACATGGAGCCCAGGTTGAGATTGAGCTTCCGATGCAGGCTGCATAGTGGTTTCTTTGCCATGCCAGGAGAAATCGCAACCCTTGAGGGAGAGCTCATCGGCGTCAGCAGCACCTCCGTTTTGCTGCATCTGTCCAGTAGCGGAGTCATCCTCGTCTTTGTATACGTTTCGAATTTCAGCCGGACGCTGTTTTGACAGCTGGCTGACAGCTTCGTCAACTTCTTGTTCGTTGAGGAAGGACTCGAGTCGCTGAACGCTGATCATCGCGATCAGACCGCCCATAAGGAAGCCAGGAATGGCATTGAGCGGTGATCGTATCATGGTGAAGAGTGCGATGGCAGTGAAAGCAGTCGAGACTGTGAGTTCCTCTTTGGCTACCTTGACGTAGAAAAAGAAGCTGACGAGGGTGACTAACACTGGGATGACGGTCCACAGCAGCTCGAAGAGGAAGGTCATGACACGAGACCAGATGAGCTTTCGGATCTCGTTGCGACGAGCGAAGGTGACACGTTGTTCCCATTGCGGCTCAACCCCTTGAATTTTGACGAAGCGCATAGCATCGATGAGCTCGGTCATGAGGCTCATGCGTCCGTCTCGGGCCGAGCTGTACTCGCGTTGCTTCTTGACTGCGATCTCGCCCCATACATAGTTGACAGGGATGGCCGCTACAAGGATGCCGAAGCCGACAAGGGCACTCCAGCCCATAAGTTTATACAGGAAGATGGCGGCGATGGTGACTTCGAGTGGAGCACCGTACAGCTGATGGAGATCGCAGCCCATACGCAGAATGATGTTGACATCGGATGCCATCATGTTAACAATCTTCCCTACATCGGCACCTTGTTCTTCCTCTTGCTGCTTGAGATTCTGGGCGCACTTCCTGCGACGTGAAGTCGCCTGGTCTTTGATGCGAGACCTGAGCGAGTCGAAAGAGATCTTCTTGAGGGTGTCGGATCGGAGTGAATCGGTCCAGGACCGTTTTGGACGCAGATTCGACTTGGCTGTGCTGGACGGAGGGCCGTCGGCGCTTGCACTTGAAGGCGGACGCAGATGCTGAGAGTGATTCACGAGATGATTGCTGCTGCCGCATCGATCGTTTGCATCATCAGAACCAGCGAGAGTCGGAGAGGAGGATGTGGCGATGGATAGTGGTGTCTCATGACCTGTAGAGTCTTGCTCGGTAGACAAAGTGACTAGCGCTGCAGTGGTACTCAATGCCGGTGCTTTGGTCTGACCACTGAGGTCGCGTCTCTTGAGAGCCTTTTCGAAGAGAGAGACGACCAAGGTAGATCTGAGGCGAAGACCAACTTGACGTGCGTGGTGGTAGTTTTGAAGCTCGGCGAGGAAGCGTACGACCGTCAAACAAAGGCCGATGAATGCATAGACGAATGCTTTTTGGCTTGGTGACCACTCCTTGTCATCTGATGGAGGAGGACTGTGCCTAGGATCGGGATGTGTGGCAGCGATCTGAATTTCATCAAGAATGCTCTTGAGAATGTATGTGCCAAGGTAAGCAAAGCTGACGCTGATGAGTTTGAAACAGGCATCCAGAAGGATGTCGTTTGCGTTAGCGCGGAGGATGCGCGAGAGGAGACGCGGCTTGTTGGTGTCTCGTGAGGCAGGCTTCGGTTCGAGTGCTTTGAATTTGCGAAAGAGAAGACGGGTATCATTGATGGAGCGAAGGCGCCAAACATCGGTTGGATTGAGGGAACGCTGAAGGGCAAGCTTCTGAATGGGAGCCATCCAGGAATACGAGAGATTCTCGTAGAGGCTGCAATAGTCTTCGGGGGAGGTTGGACAAAGACGATAGGTGGAAGCCATATCGTAATCTTGAGATGGCGTGTGATGGGCAGCAGCTGTCCTGTGTCGAATATGTTGGTCGAGATCGACGACGGCCTCGTAACCACCGGAAGTGACGGGCATGCAAAGGCAGATCGAGGCTGCATAGATGCAGATAGCTAGGTTGAGCAAGCCGAGTAAGACGCTGATGAGGGTGAGTGCGTCAAAGTGAGCTGCGTTTAGGCGTGTATGAACCAATGGAAGGTAATAGGAGAGGTCGACGAGTGCTAATAGATTGAGAGCAAAGAGAAGCGATGCGAGGTCGAATGATGGAGTCTGCGGAGGTTGTAGTAGGAGACGAAAGAAGATGAAGATCCAGGCGCTGACACGAGAAAGAGATGAGAGCCATGCAGGTTGCTGGGCGGTTACGATGTTCCATCCAGCGGCCACGGTTGATGCGGCGGCCTGAAAGAATGAGACGAAGAGGAGTCGGCGAATGCGTCGACGTTGTCTTGAATATCCTTGGGTGCTGTGGTGTTGCAAGTCGACATCTATTTCGGCGATACCGTCGCTGTGGCCGTCTCGATGATTGATGGGCTGTTGGGCATGCCGTAATAGCTCGAGCCTGTATTGGCGGACGTCGTCCTGAGTAACGAATGGTGCGAAATAGTGGAGGAAGGATGGTCGGGAATGCTGCGTCTGGGATGCGTACTTGCGAGCCCTGCGTCGTATCAGCGTGATGATGGCAAAGGCGACAATGAGCAGAAGAGGTGAGATGTCAGCCAACGTCACGAATCTAGTGGCCAAGCCAACGGCATTGACCCTTAGAGCAACATGGCTGTTGGTCCCCTGTAGTATGGACAACGAAGGACTGGCGCAGAGAAAGCTGACCAGTCGAGTGTCGGCCATGTTGCTGGGTGTAGAGGACCAGGATGACAGAGTGAGCGCTGCCATTGCAAGAGCGGGAGGCGAGGTGGAAGCCTGTCAAGGCCGACCCTTGGTCCGTAGTTACTGACACAGAGAGCTTAGTCTACGACGCCATTGATGAGATTGGTGGCCGTTGAGAAGAGACCTTTGCGACTTGCAACTTTTGGAGATCAGCTGTCAAAACCTGCAAAGTATGATGTATAATATGGGCAGATAGAGGTAGAGAGATACGTTACTTACCTACGACCAACGAACAGCTCGTAAGCGAGTACGTCGGAGAGGTGGTGATGGTGGTGGTTCGGAAGCGACGACATTGTCAACAACCAACCCGAATTCCGAACAACGCGTACAACAATCCACGTGACGCGTTAGTGGAATTAATAAGCATGAGCTCATCAAGCCGAGGCCCTCGAAATCGGCCGATACAGTGAGATGTTTTTGCAGTCACCGACAAGCACGAGCCTCCCACACTTTCATCTGAAACACCAGTCGGCGGAATCTCTACTGTATCAAATTGATGCAATGTGTGGCGACTGTTTCACAGCCACACATGGCAACCCACCTGACTTGATCGCGAGATCCGAGGGTTAAAGAGGTGCAAGTGAGCGAGTTTACCACTCACTCGTCTCATTTCACCTCTCCTCGCTTCTCACCAACATCCCACTCTCGCGCTGGCTCCGTGCAGCGCTCTTCAAGCTGCTCTGTTCTCTCATGGAGTTAGGTCTCACGCACGCTCCCCCCGCTATTACGCGACAGTCGACCGCCTGTGGCCCTTACGGCCACGGCTGGGTGCTCGCAAGCGACTCTTCCACCAGTTAGGCAACCTCACATTTCTTATGTTTCGGTCTCTGTCCCTACGTGTGGTTCGTGTACCCCGCAGACAGGCATTGATGTTTGCGAACAAGAGCTGAAGGGGCCCTCAAATACAGATCTCCCAAACCTTATTTCAAAAGTTCTCCCTCGCTTCCTTCAAGATTCAGACAACCTTCGAGCAAGATGACTCGAGCTTCTACTTCCGCTGCCAACTTTGGCCTCCTTCTGGTAGCTTTGGCTCTGATGCTTCACTCTGTTGTGGGCGAGCACACCCCTAGACATGTCCGTCGCCATCTCTCTTTTCCCGGAAAGGAATATGAGTGGTGCTTTGAAAAGCTTACTCCTGCTGAGAAAGATTACAAGAAACTCTGCGAAGGCAAAAGTCATCCCAAGCATCCTTGCTTCGTTCACTGGGCTGGTGACCTTACAACCGCGGATGTTTGCCCCCACGATGATCCATTCCACCAAATGGGAAGGCTCGTGATCAAGAACAATCACATGACGGGTAAGTTGTTTCACCTTCAGCTGTAAAATTAAGAGCAGATGCTGACCTTTTGTCTTCAATACGCCTGCAGATTTCACACTGGATACACCTACTGATTTCTTCTTGATCCACTATCCCAAACACGGTGGAGTTCGCCTCCTCTACGAGAACTACGATCCTTCGACCGGATGCAAGGACATCACTCTCTATGAAGGTAAAGACCCTTTCTGGAGGATCTGGGTCTCGGACGAGTATGACGATGACAAGGATATCGATACTAAGAAGTATGAAAAGACAAGCAAGAGATTCTGCTCCAAGTGGATCCACATTCACGTCAAGAAAGATGAGTTGGCCCAGTAAAGCTTGATTCCGATGTGCCTCTTTCCAAGCGAATATGTCAATTCTCCTCGATCAATCTTGTTGTTGTTGTTGTTGTTGTTGTTAGAGCGAATAGCGTTGATCGCTTGTCGCTTGCCGCTTGCGACACGGACTTGGATGGTAGGAAGCAGTTTTATTACGTGTGGCGATGATGAACGGTCTGCAATTGGCAAGTGTATGATGCCACCGTGTGTGCAGGAGAAAAAAAAAGAGAGAGAGTTGAAGTCATTCGTCAGCGTCTTGGAGTCATTCGTCAGTGGTTGGGGTTGAGGTGTCTTTGTTGATGATGGTAGGAGAGAGAGAGAGCGAGAGAGCTAGGAGTCTATATATACAAAAGAAGAGCGGCGGACTGCGGAGCATAACAAAGCATTTGCCTTGAGTAAGTTGTGACACATGTGGTCCGTGCTAAGATGTTCAGGCCTTTTACTCGGCCGTAAGCACTACCTTCACTGTCTCCACGCTTTGTGCGGCTTTATCTACTTCAACTCCCCCCCTCAACAGCATATGTACCCTGTTCATTATGCTGTTGCTTCAAGGTGTGACCTCCGTTCTTCAACACTGTTGCATAGCTCGGGGACCCCGTTCCGTACACTGCTGCCGGTATTTGCAGGTGTAGCCCAGATCTTGCTTGCTGCATTGCCTGCCTCCCAATGGGTTTCGTGAGTACATCTGCCAAGTTTCTTGTGGTGTCTACGTACTTGATCTGCACCCTTCCCTCTTGTACGTTGTTACGGACGAAGTGATACTTGGTGTCGATGTGCTTAAGCTTCCAGTGCTGTGCTGGGTCCTTACTAACCTGTATGCAACCAGTGTTGTCCGAGTAGACCGTCGGTGTGCCTGTGGCAATGCCAATTGAGCGTAGCAGCTGCTTGAGGAAGAGCACCTCACGTGTTGCTTCCGTGGCTGCAATGAACTCTGCCTCGACAGCAGACAACGACACGCATTTTTGTGTCGCTGACTTCCAGGCTACTGGGTTCCCGTACACTAACGCCACTGACCCCGATGTGCTTCTTCTCTGTATGGTGGCATCGCTTGCCCAGTTTGCATCGCTGTGTGCAACCAGTGGCTCTTGCGACTCACTTGCCCTATAAACCAATCCAACCTGCCTTGTGCTTTCGAGGTAGCGTAAGACCCTTTGTGCTGCCTGATAATGCTCCTGCGATGGTTCACGCATGTGCCTAGCGAGAACACCCACGGTGAGACTAAGGTCGGGCCGGGTGCTGTTGGCAACCCAGAGCAGCTTGCCAACAATCACCGGATACTCCTTCTGTTGTGCTGCGCTTGCGACAAGGGTTCCCTCCGGTATGCTCTGCATTGGAACCATGGTTGGCTTCGTACGTTTGTCCAGGTGCTTTGCCAGCACTTGGTCGATGTACCCTGACTGACCAATCGTCATGGTGCGCATCGCACGGTCTCGACTGATTTTGATGCCCAAGAAGTGAGAGACCTCACCACTATCTTCCATCTTCCATCTCTGACCAATCTGCTTCTTAACCTCTAGGACCGTTTCCAGCCGTGGTGCTATGACTAATGTATCATCGACGTAGATGACCACAATGGCCATATCTTCACCCTGTCCCTTGGTGTAGATGCAGGGAGCGCACTCTACCTGGAAGAATCCCATGCGTCGCAAAGACCTGTCGAACTCCTGATTCCATTCTCGCCCAGACTGCTTTAGGCCATATAGGCCCTTGACTACCTTGTACACCTTGCCGGGTGCTACTCCTGATCCTTCTGGCGGCTTCATGTAGATTGCTTCCTTTAACGTGGAGTTCAAGTAAGCCATAGTGATGTCCAGAGCATGTACCTCCCAGTTGTTCTGCACTGCTAGTGCTAAGATGGCTCTGATCGCTCCGAGGGGTGCTACTGGAGAGAAGGTTTCTTGGTAGTCGATCCCCTCTCTCTGTGTGAAGCCCCTTGCAACCAGTCGTGCCTTGTGCTTAACAGGTACACCATCAGCATCAAGCTTCAGCCGAAGCACAACCTTAGAGTCCACAAGTGGTACTCCTGGCGGTTGGTGCACCACCTCCCAAGTCCCCATTGCCTCGAGTCCTTCTAGCTCCTTTCGTATTGCCTCCTTCCAGAGCTGGGCATCCTCACCATCAATTGCTTCCCTAAGTGTTGGGTCCAGGTTCAGTATTGCTGTGTTGGCGGCGCCTACTGTGCTGTCTTCGGCTGTTAGGAGATCCTCCACTGCAGCCTCTGATTTGGTCTCCTCCTCCACTATGACTGGCGTGACACTCTCCTCCTCGACCTCCGCGGTCACCACAGGCCTGACTGCCTCTTGTTGGCGATCACTCCATCCTTTGTCCTCATGGAACGTTGCTGAGTTGCTCCATTGAATTGACGCAGGCTGGTCCGGGTTGCAAAACTTCCATGCTTTGTGTTCGTCGTCATACCCAATCATGATGGCTGGCTTTGCTCTAGCTCCGTGCTTGCCTTGCTGGTCCTTCTGTTGAACATGAACCCATGCCAAGCATCCGAAGACTCGCAGTTGCTGGGCCAGCTTGTGCGCAGTGGTTCCATAGAAGGCCTCGTGGGGAATGGTTTTGGTGGCTGACGGGGTAAGGTTCATCACGTGTGCTGCTGCTGTGATTGCGTACGGCCACAACTCTCTAGGGCAAGCTCGACCAATCAGCATCGAGCGCATCTTTTCTTGGACCGATCTGATTGCTCTCTCTGCCCGTCCATTTTGGACGCTGATCCCCGGGACGCTCTTTTGCCACTTAAAACCCTCTTGAGTTTGCCAGTCTTCGGCTGCTATACTGCACCATTCTCCTCCATTGTCGCTGCGGAGTGTTTTGAGTTTCCTGTCCGTTGCCCGTTCCATCCTGGCTATCCACCTTCTCAGCGCCGTGAGTGCAGCACTCTTTGTGCAGAGTGGTTCCACGTAGATCAGAGAGGAGAAGTCGTCCACAGCAACTAGTGCATAGTGGTAGTTGGCATGTCCTTTGAAATCTGTCATCAGGTCTACGTGTACCAGCTCTAATGGTGCCTCCATTCTTTCCGACTCTGATTGGCTCATCCGTGCTCGAGTCTGTTTTCCTTGACTGCACGCATTGCAGTGCTTCGACTCATGTTCCATTTCCTCATCGGTACCTAGGTAATGGGCCCGGATTTGTCTCGTTTTGTCTCGTCCTGGGTGTCCGAACCTCTCATGCCATAGGTAGCTGTCTTGATGCTTCGTGTCCTTATTGCCCTCTGGGGCATTATCTAGTTTTCCTGTGTTCTGGTTGTCCTCTGGGACGCCATCTCGTGTTTCCTCCAGTTCCAAAGCCAGTGCTTGTCCTCGCACTTTGAAGTGGCCCTGTCTTCTGTCCCTTTTGAATTGTACTTGGGTACCATCGTTCTGCTTTATGGTAGTTCCAAACTCATCGAAGATTACTCGTGCACCATTCTCGATCAAGCCTTGTACGGACAATAAGTTAGCATTCAGTTTCGGTACATAAAGCACATCCAATAGTTGGATGGTGGCCTCACCAACCCGAAGGGAGGCATCTCCTATAGCCTTCACCTGAAGCTTTTCGTCCCCTGCCGTACTGATTTGGCCGACCTTGTTCGTCGAGGTGAGCAGCATTCTCTCATCATTTACCATATGATGGGTTGCACCTGAATCGATGATCCAGGTGTCGCATGCTGATCGCTCGCCCCTGTCGACTGCTAGAAAGGTGCACCCAAGTTCCTAGTGGTTCACCTCCTGTGTCGTACGAGCGACAGGTTCGCTTGTGCCTCGTGCGTTTGTGCAATTTCGAGCAATGTGATTTGGTCCTCCGCAAGCATAGCACTTTGGAGGGGCCAAGGGATTGCGAGGATCGCGCCTTCCCCTGGGTCCTTGCTCCGCCTGGTTGGCACTCCCCTGTTCCGCGTTTGTGGCGACCCTTGCTGCTCCTCTAATACGACCAGTGATCTCACCATCCTGCTGTTTCTTGGCCAGTGCATGGTAGGCTTCGTCATACTTGCAGTCTGGTTTGGCCGTTTTCAGTGCATCGACGGTGTTGGCGTAGAACCAATCTTGAGCCGTGCAGCGATAGAGAGTTGATTTCTTGAGGTCCTCGTCGAAACGCTTTCCGAGGCGTGCCGCATCGTTCCAGATCGAATCAAGTTCCTTGCCTAGTCTGACGACGTCTCGATTGTACAAGCGCACTGTGTGGATACGATCCTGCAGTCCTGCTCGCTTTACAGCGTCGTTTAGTGTTAGTGCCTTCTTGAGTTTGGCGTAGAGTGTGCTACCAAGTTGAACTTCTTCATCCACCCCTCTGACGGTGTAGGTGTCGATGCGGCTATCCGGGCTGTTATCGCAGCAGGCGTGGATGAGGCCCACGAGTGCCTTGTCTAGGTCTTCATCGTATTCCTTGCTCCCGGGTACAACGGTACCATACAGGATTTCCTTCGCGTTATGCACTCTCTGGAGGCAGTCGATAAAGGTGGGTTCCCAGGTGTGCCAATTGCTATCGCTGAGCTTCTTGATGTGAGCAATGGAGCTCGATACGTCCTTGGGGATCTTTTCGGTCTCCCCGCGTGGAGCTTGGTTGCTAATGTTGACCAGACCCATGGCCCGTACTATTGCTTCCTCTGCCGATAGTGCCGGGTTCGCCAGCTGGAGGATCCTGACTACCTGCGTGAGCCATCCTTCCTCCTGTCCATTGCTTGTGGTCGTTTGATCATCATCGCCCCTTCCCGTCTGTCCAGCTCTTGTCGATGGCGGCATTGCGTTGAGTGTCAGACTCTTAATCAGTTGAAGTCATTCGTCAGCGTCTTGGAGTCATTCGTCAGTGGTTGGGGTTGAGGTGTCTTTGTTGATGATGGTAGGAGAGAGAGAGAGCGAGAGAGCTAGGAGTCTATATATACAAAAGAAGAGCGGCGGACTGCGGAGCATAACAAAGCATTTGCCTTGAGTAGGTTGTGACACATGTGGTCCGTGCTAAGATGTTCAGGCCTTTTACTCGGCCGTAAGCACTACCTTCACTGTCTCCACGCTTTGTGCGGCTTTATCTACTTCAACTGAGAGATGTTGCGACTGACATTCGCCTCTCTTTCGAGCCGTTCCGACTCACAGCGATTAGCTGCAATCACGTCGACTTGGCTTAACCTTGTTTAAAACTCAGCTGGTCTTTGAGGTCCTTGCCGAGGCCGAGTGCGGCGTGGACGTTGCTACCGAAACCTCACTACTGCGAGAGTGGGAGAGAGGGAGAGGGTGAAGAGGGCGCAAAAAGAGACTGGAATAGAAGATCTTAGCGACGAAGCTTATCGGGAGATATCAGTCTAAGTACGGTCTTCGAGCTAAAGGGCAAAACACTATACTATATTGACATGAGGAAGAGTGTGGCCTGCTGAAGGAAGCGCTCCAATATGATGATGAGTGCTGACATAAACCAAAATCGGAGATCTGGCGGAACCGATCTGTCCAGAGATCGGGTAAAACACAGTACTTTGCCTGCAATCCACTTAGTAGTTGAAGTAGATAAAGCCGCACAAAGCGTGGAGACAGTGAAGGCAGTGCTTACGGCCGAGTAAAAGGCCTGAACATCTTAGCACGAACCACAGGTGTCACAACCTACTCAAGGCAAATGCTTTGTTATGCTCCGCAGTCCGTCGCTCTTCTTTTGTATATATAGACTCCTAGCTCTCTCGCTCTCTCTCTCTCTCCTACCATCATCAACAAAAAGACACCTCAACCCCAACCTCTGACGAATGACGCCAAGACGCTGACGAATGACTTCAACTCAATCCACTTAGTTTTTGTTCTTGTTTTCGTGCGATTGAGTTCAGACGGGACTTGGAAAAGTGAAACACGCACGCAACTCGGCGCCGCTTCTCCATGTTCCCGCGGTTATGCTCTTACTTCTCTCCTATCGGCAGCTCCTTCGACCAGCTTCTTACAAGATCGACCCACCAGAACCCTAGTCACGCCGAGGAATCGACAGAGATCGACCCCCCTTTCCGATAGTCTTTGCTGCAATCTCTCTCTGCGAGATCAGATTGGCGAGAAGGACCAAGAGGTTAAATACTGCTCGTCAAGCACCTTTTTGCGTGCGTTGCGTTGGCCGTCATCGCCACCTCGGTCAGTCTTGGTGCTGCGATCGGCCTGAGTGGTCGACATGTTATCGCTACCAAGCAGTACGATGTGGCCTTTCGCCTTGATAGCAACGTTATTGCTTCAACTCGTCGCAGCCACAGACATTCGAAACGCCAATGAAACGATCCTGCAGCCTAGAGTCTTTGGAAGGACACCTTTGCAGAACTGTCTCATACGAGCAGGCATCGAGGTGGTTGCTGCCGATATCAGCGCTGCTGATCTCTACTTTCAAGCGTCTGCTTCCGACAACGTCATCTTCCACTACAATCCGACACTCATCGCATATCCTGACAACTCTGCACACGTCCAGAAAGCCGTGCTGTGCGCCTCGGAACACTCGAACGCTCCGATTGCTGCACGAAGTGGTGGTCACTCTTTCGCAGGTTTCGGCAGTGGTGGTATGGACGGCTCCATCGTCCTTGACCTCACTCGACTCAACACTGTCACATCTCATCCTCAAAACGGCACCGTCCAAGTTGGTCCTGGTACTCGTCTCGGCGACGTGGTAAAGGGTCTCTGGCACCAAGGAGATGCTCACCGCGCCATGTCCACCGGCACTTGTGCAGCAGTCGGTGTCGGTGGTCTCAGTCTTTGTGGCGGCTTTGGTCCCATGTCCAGAAAGTGGGGCCTCACCACCGACAGCATCCTCGAAGCTGACCTCGTCCTTGCTAATGCATCCATGGTCACTGTATCCGAACAACAGCATCCAGACCTGCTGTGGGCCATCAGAGGTAGCGGCTCTTTCTTTGGAATCGTCACTCGCTTCCTCTTTCAGAGCCACGACGCTACTCCACCCGTTGTCTCCTTCGAGTACCGTTGGACCCCTTCCCTCGACAGCATAGACAAGGCTCTCGCAGTAATGATCGCCGTCCAGGCCTTTTCCCTCGAGCCAGACCTTCCCAATGATCTCGGCTTCCACATCCAGCTCCGCCAGCCTTCCCGCCATGATCCTCAGCCTGCTCAGAATCGTCCCATGTCCATCCAAGTCAAAGGCATCTGGCTCGGCTCTTCTGACGACTGGAACCGCTTCCAAGCAAAGCTTAAGAAGCAACTTCAGTCGCATTCTGCACCGCAGCCAGACCTTCAGAACGTCACTCTTCGCACCTACCTCCAACTCATCGAGGACTGGGACGACTTTGGCAAGGGAGAACACAAGCTCGACACTGAAGCCATCCACAAGCAGCACAACAACTTTGTTACAAAGTCTTCGCTCACTCTCCAACCAAACAAGGGCTTTGACCAGAACTCGTTGCGGCCGCTCTTCCAATACATTTGGGACACCAGCCTCACTGCTGGTTATGACGTCGAGCTTGTCGACGGCAAACACGCCTTCTGGGCGTGGAACATCTACTTTGAGCTCTTTGGTGGTGGTACGCCGGCCCATGCGCAGCCCAAAGCCAAGCAACTTAGCAGCTTCCCACATCGCGATGGTCTCTGGCTCATCCAGATCGCAGTCGGAACTACCGCCAACATGGAGCTTGCCCATTCCGGCCACGTCTATGCTCGCGAGCTCGATGCACTGCTGAACCGCGCTATCCAAACAGCAGGCATTGGCAGAGGTGGATACTCGTGCTACGTCGATGCTGAGCTCCAACAAGACGAATGGAAGCAGCTCTACTATGGCTCATCCATCTCCCGTCTCGAGGATCTCAAGATGCAACTCGACCCAGACAACCTTTTCCGCAACCCTCAAACTCTCGGCAGCCGCAAGCAGATTGAGGCTCGGCGCAGCAACAAAAGGCAGCACCGCGATCCGCTTGGCTCAGACTCGACTTTGCATCGACAATCACGTCTGTAAGCCCATTTGTCAGCATCAGCATCCTCGAATCAACGAATTGCAGCCATCCGACGTCTAGGTCTATACCCTTGAACCTTTGTACTAGTACATGTCTACAAGCTAGAATTCAATTCTGGCTTGCATCTCCATAGCCCACAAATCGCTTGCGCAAAGCTCCAGAGCTGATCCTGTCGTACATTGCTTCACCATCTCTCATCGGGCGGCTAGCCATTCCTGCGAGACGCATCAAGGGACAGAAGGTGTCAGCAGCGTTCGAAACAAAGCAGACGACCTACCAGACAACCTACCTGATCAGCATTCGGATGTTGTTGAGAAAAATGAGCACTTGGTCATCGAAAGGCGTCCAGCCTTGACCGCCAGCTCCTGAACCGTTGCTTGGCCCATCGGCCTTGGCTCGCTCTGCAGCCTGCATCAGTTGCGCGATGTCTCGAATCTCGATCTCGAGCTCATGAATCGGCTCTTGCGGCTGCGATTGCAGAAAATCCGCAAACGTCAGCAAGATGGTAAAGGATCGAATCCACGTTCAGCGGGGCTGGGCTTACCTTTTCTGGCACGGTCACTTGAGTTAGATCAACGATGAAATTCTGATGAGTATACGAGAGGCGATTCTTTTCACGTAATGACACATGGTCGGATGCCGGTTCTTGCGCTGTTGGCGTCGTGAGATGCGTCGGACGACGGGAGAACGGTTAGCATTCCGGTCAGACAGCAAGATGCGAGCTCTACCGTCAAGACAGCACGTCTACGCTGAATTCAAAAAGAGAGACTTGCCTGGGTTCTCGACGCTGATGCTGATGCGGTAATCGAACAAGCGATTCGGACAGTGGATGTTGAGGTCGGCTATCCTTTGCTTCTGAACAATCCCGCCCGGCTTGATCGCGAGCGTCTCGGCATCGCGTGTCACCCGCACCTTGCCATTAGGAGCAGGATGGAAGTAGTCTATCTCCTTTCTTCGCTGATAGCTAATCTTGGCGCCAGTGTACGAGCTTTCGGCGGACCTGGAAACGAGAGAGTTCAAGATGCGGTTGTACTGAGCATGTTGTGACTGTGAACCAGATTGGGAAACAACTGTCAGTGTCTAGAGGAGGCAAAGCCAGGCGCTGGTCTTCAAAGTTGGTGCTACACATACTATCGTCATTCGGCTGTCGAACCGAGTGCGATTCAGATCCACGATGGTCTCGTTTCGCACAGGAAGCTGTATCCTTTCGCCCGTTTCTTGATCGATGATCTGTCCAATCTTGCCCTCAATCTAAGATATCATAGAGTGGTCAGTTGAGCAGCCTCTCAGGTGTGCACCGACACTCGTCGACTTGCTCACCTCTACATTCTGCCTTCCTCGACTGTTCGCATAGATCCAGTCTCCAACCATGGTAGCAAAGTCATCCAGCGGATCGACGCCAAAGATAGAGCGCTCAGGCGCATGCTGCTGTGGAGACGACATTGTGATCCCAATATCGACGTATTCGCTGGAATGGGTTGAAGAAAGAGTCTCGTTGATGCAGCTGGCGAGGTTGAGGTGTGTGTGTGAACTGCGACAATGATCGTGCTCAACTTGAGCTTCCAAGAGAGCTCCAACAGGGTCCAAGCTCTTCTCCGACATCCGAAGTCTGCGTTGCGCTCTTGCTGCACGTGACATGGCGTGCGCAACTGAGCAGTCGCCACACGTGTCGCAACCTGCTCAGTCGATGTAAGTAAAATCACATGACCGCGTACTTACGCCCTAACACGTCCGCCAACTTGGCTCACCGTCGCCACCCGTCAGCTCCCACCAACACTCGACATCACCCACAGACGACCCTATCTCATTCGACAACGGCACACAGTCACACGTGTCACCTCATATACATTCACACACATCAACTGGCAGCAGAGACATATATACTCATTGTTCCAGACGGCCTGTCTGAGCACGTGTCGGAAGCCCCCGACGGACCCCTTTGTTTCTCTCGCACGAATCCTCACTACCTTTTGTTCGTTATCACCCTTTGATCACCATCGCCTCCCATTGACCACTATCGCTTCCCTTTGTATTTAGGAGCGCCCCTCGGGCGCTCAGCAGAACACAGCCAGACATGTAAGATATATAGAGAGGGGATTCGCACCCCCCCCCCCCCCTTCACGTTTTAATTCAAGCTTCCCTTCTAACGTACTTGAAGGCCCTAGGAAACATCATGATGCTACTTTGTACTTAGTTTTCTCCTGATTGTAACGATTCGCCGCTTGCTTTATTGCTCCTGACTGTGCATTCCTCAACAATTTAGACGCTTTGTTTGGCTCCACACTGTCGCCACCTACTCAGCCACTCAGTTTGTATATATAAGCTTCATTTCGCTCCATACTCTCTCTCCTTCCCACCACCATCTCCTCTTCTCGCAAGAGTCGCGCAACATCAACCTTGCTACTCCTTCTTTTCCCACCCGATTCCCTTACGTTCCGCCTGTACGACCCACTCTTCTCTGCGCTCAATCGGCCCCCTTATGGTGGGCTGGGAGTCTTTGAGCCAGCAAGCCACCTCGCTGACCTTCAATCTAACAGGATTTCCGTATCATTTTCTGTATCGACCGACTAACCCTCAATCTGTACGGCCGTGTGAGTCAGGCTGGGAGCACATTTTCTGGCTTGATTTTCTGACCATCTTTTCTCGCTTCAATTATCTCACCTTTTTTTTTGTTTTTTTTTTTTTTTTTTTTGTGTTTTTTTTTTGTTTTGATGCTCATCCCGTCTGACCTGTCGGCACGGAACTCACTCGTGCGAGAGACATGAGACACTGACGTGGATTGCAGGCAAGAGACCCGTGAGGTCCTTGAGCTCGTTGGAGGCTCCCGGCCCGCCGTAAGAGGGGCCGGTCGAGCGCAAGGCAGAGCGGCAAGGGTGTGGAGATACAGGGTGGGCAAAAAGCAGCAGCCAACCAAGCGATAAGCGCTGTTGGCTCAAAACGAGATGGAGGAGAAGAGGCTAGACGATGACGAGAGAAAACCAGATAAAAACACACAAAGGAACCACGTAGCATGTGGGTTACGGCCGATAGGCTCAGCCCAGACGCGCACGCCCTCTACCGCACGTGAAGCAGCCTCCACTTGGACCCTGATATCCCTAAGCTTCTTCCTTCCTTCCCTCCAAACCACTGACTTTTTCGACGGTCATCAACAGACTCCGTCTTCAGCCATATACAATCACCCCTGCGACCCCGCCAGTCAAATCAAAAACACAAAGCCTTTAATGATGAGCCACTAATGCAACAACTGGAGAAGTGTCTCCAATCTCCACCAGCTCCTTCTCGGCAACCTGGTCGAGTCTTACAAGCAAGATGAAAGACGGTCACGACAGCGACAGCGACTTCCAGCTCGTCTCACCGTCGCTGAATGGATCAGGATCAAAAGCAGCGGGGCCTTTCTCAAACGGCAAAGAGATCATCTACGACGAGCAAGTGGCAGCCAAACTCGAAGAGCTCGACACGGAAGTCGACTCCGTTCAAAGTCAGATAGCCGAACTGCAGAAGCTACAAGACTCTCTCCTGCGCGAGCGCCGTAAAGTGTATACCGACTACCTAAATACGATACAAGGAGATACTCGAGGCTCGAAACGCAGGCTGGGTGTCGACTACACCACCAAGTCCTTCTCGTGGAGCGATCATGTTCGGCTGGCGGCCATGTCGCTCTTCGGCATCCCCTCTTTCCGCTTCTGTCAGCAGGCCGTCATCAATGCTGCACTGGATGGCCGCAACGCTGTGGTGGTGATGCCGACTGGAGGTGGCAAGTCTCTCTGCTATCAGCTACCAGCCATTCTTACTCCTGGTGTCACCCTTGTGGTGTCCCCACTGATATCTCTCATGACAGATCAGGTGCTGCATCTGCAGGAAGTCGGCATCAAGTCGGAGCTGCTTTGCGCAAGCACTTCACGCGAAGAGACCAATGCCATCCTCAAACAGATACGAACCGACACTACTACAGATCCTCGTACCACCTTTGCATCATCGTCCAAGTCTCAAGACTCCAACTGGAACCAGCACCAAGCAGACGGCATCAAGCTGCTTTACGTCACTCCCGAACGCATTGCAAAGTCCAAGCCGTGTCTATCTGCTCTGCAGAGCGCGTACGAGCAAGGTAGGCTATCTCGCATCGTCATTGACGAAGCTCACTGCTGCTCGCAGATGGGTCATGACTATCGGCCAGACTATGCCAAGCTTTCTCTCCTCCGTCGACTCTTCCCCAAGGTACCCATCATGTGTCTCACCGCCACGTGTGGGCCAAAGGTGCTCAAGGAGATTCTCGAAATCATCGACCTTCCAGCGATCACTGAGCCAGACAACGCCGCACCCATGCGTACTATCTACTTCATCGCACCCCTCTTCCGACCCAATCTCAAGTACCAGGTAGTTCAGCGTCCAAAAGAGGCAAAAGCTGCCTCGGAAGCCATCGTAGACTACATTCTCGAGCATCACGCTGGCGAAAGTGGTATCGTCTATTGCCTCTCACGACCAGATACCGAAGCGACCGCCAAGGCGCTCACAGAGATCAGCAACGGTCGCATCGCAACTGGTCATTACCATGCCGGTCTTGACGATGCCAGCAAGCAACTCATCCACACTCACTGGCGAACAGGTCAGATCCAGGTCGTCTGTGCCACCATTGCCTTTGGCATGGGTATCGACAAGCCTAACGTTCGATTCGTCATTCATGCCTGCATCTCCAAGTCCCTCGATGGCTACTACCAAGAGACCGGCCGTGCAGGGCGAGACGGTCAGGACTCGGACTGTGTCCTGTTCTACCGACCGCAAGATTGCGTACGTGTGAGCTCTTTTGTCGCCAGCGAGCCCACCGGACAGGAGAAGCTATCTGCGATGCTCGAGTACGCACAATCGGCTCGATGCCGTCGCTGGCTGTTCGCAGAGTACTTTTCGGATATGTTTGACAAGGGTGACGCTCAGCGACAACGCGCCTGTGGCATCTGCGACAACTGCACAGGTCAGCGTCAAGACCTCCTCATCGATGCGCGCAAGGAGATGTATCAACTTCTCGCCCTGCTGGCAGAGATGTGCAGACAGGGAGGCAGGATCACTTTGATAAACCTCTCCGATGTCGCCCGTGGTCTGGCTGGAGGCAAATTCAACTTGGACCCGAACTTTATCGACTCAGGCAATGGCAGAGCCAGGTCGAGCGGGTCAGGCACTGCAAAGGCTGGAGTTGTAGATATCCAGCTGGTAGCTGGAGGCAAGATCACCTTACATCGCGACGTCGTTGACCGCCTGATCGTTCACGGCATTCTCTCCGGTTTCATTGAGCAAAGCTATCAAGCCACAGCCTTCACAGTCAATGTCTATCTCGAAACAGGGACCAAAGCAAGTCGCTTCCTACGTCACTCGCTTTCTAGCCTTTCCTCCGCAGAGCATCTCGAGAAGCTGCCACCTGTTCAGATCTTACCGCCAATTGCCACAGCCACTGCGCAAACAACCAAGCGACCTCCGACAACCTCGAGCACAATTGACGGTCAAGGTCAACCACCACCCAAGGCAAAAAAGGGTCGAACATCATATCGGGACGCGCCAACCGAAGCGGCTGTCAAAGGGCGGCTGCGTAGAAGTGCTCGTGCTTTGCAGCAAAGACAGCGACAGCACGACGGCGGTGCCTCGCAGTCCGACGCTATTATCATCGATTAGCATCGTACAAGTTGCACTATCAACACAAGTTGTCTCACTCTGATTGCTCCCTGTACCATCTCAGGTTGAAAGAATGCCGAGCTGAATCGTTGGCTACTTGCACGCCTCAACATTGTTCCGTGTGACTGCGCTTCTCAGATCCTTTGGACGCAGGGAAATAGGCACGTGCCACCAAGGAGTGCGTTCAGACACTCTGGCTAATGATCAAATCACAATACATTGACACGAAACGAGTGTAACAGAAGAACATGGAAGAGAATTGACTTCAAGACATTACCTATCCGACGAAGCAAGTGACACTCTACGATCAGCGAGACAAGAGGCTCGTCCAGACCGATCCACCAGACTCGACGGGTGCAGCCTTGTCTGTATCAGCGTCCACACCCAGCTTGACAAGGTGAAGTGCAACAGACTGTACCGTCGGATGTTGCAAAATGGTAGCGACGTCCACCTTGACTCCGTACGAGCGCTTGATCGAGGTCAAGACGCGCACAGCCGAAAGCGAGTTGCCACCCAGCGAGAAAAAATCCTGATCACATCCAATGGTTTCCGCTTCGACCTTCAGTACCTGCGCCCAAATGGCCTGGATTGACCGCTCCAGAGCGTTGCTAGGCATGCAAATGGTGCTTGTCACATTCGCCTGCTGCTCAGCTGCATAAAGCTCGTGAGCTTGTTGCACCTTGGATGCGAGAGACTTTCGGTCGACCTTGCCATTTGTGGACACCTCTAGCTTTTCCACCATCGAAATGCTCGAGGGCACCATGTATCGTGGCAAGGTGCACTCCAGATGATGTCGGATCTCCGTTTCAGAGAGAGCTCCCGCTGCCGTGGCTTGACCTGCTGCATCACCGATCCACTCACGCGCCTGAGTGACAAAGGCATGCAGCGAAACGTCTGCTGGAGTTGCTCCGGTCGACAGAACAATCGCTGCTTCGTGCACTCCTTCGACTTCGAGGATGCGCGTCTCGATCTCTCCAAGCTCGACGCGGTGTCCGCGAATCTTGATCTGGTCGTCCTTCCTTCCGAGAATCTGAATATCGCCGCTTGCCAAGAAGCGTCCAAAATCGGCCGTGCGATACAGTCTCTGCTTGCCAGAGCCATCGACGTCCAGCTCAAGGAAAGCCCCTTCTGTCTGATCCGCGTCTGTGTATCCAAGCGCCAGACTCTCTCCACCAATCAACAGCTCGCCCGCGACAAAAGTTGGGCACGGCTCAAGACGCGAATTGAGCACGTACCAGCACTGGTTTTGCATCGCCTTGCCGTACGGCACGAAAGCAGCATCGTCTGCCAGCTCTCGACTGATGGGGTACAAGATGGACCAGATACCTGCCTCAGTCGCACCTCCACCGCTGTAGATATCTATCTCGCGAAGATGGGTACTCAGCGTCCTCACCGTGTCGACAGGGACCTTGTCGCCAGACAAGAGGCAGATTCGAACGCTCTCGAGAACTGAGGTGTCGAAGGACTCAATGTGCTCCGAGCCTCCGTCGGCGATAGCAGCAAGCACCATCTGGATGTGCATTGGGACCGAGTTCCAGATAGTGACGCGGTGTTTCTGTACCAGGTAAGCCCATTCGCCTGCATCAATCCGGCCGGACGGTAGCACAAGGTGTGCTCCAGCTGTAAGACTGCCGAACAGATCGAAGACCGAAAGATCGAAGCTCAGATTGGCGAGTTGGAAAAAGACGTCCTTGGTGTTGCAGCTCCAGCGACCTAGCAGATCGTTGATTGTGTTCATGGCAGCGGCGTGGCTCATACGAACACCCTTGGGCTTGCCTGTGCTTCCTGACGTAAAGATCACGTACGCCTCTTGGCTAGCATCGATGGAATCTGACATCTGGATGAGTCTGTCGGCAAGGTCATGTGTCGACTCGCTTCCAGTCGCATTGATAAAGTTAGGCTGAACTTTGATCATCGGTAGTCGCACGTAGGAGAGATCCGTAGTGGCCCCCGAAGCAGTCAGCACGGCGCGACAGCCTGCTTCGGCGAGAATCGTCTCGATTCGAACTCGAGGCTGTGTGACCTCGATCGGCACGTAACTGGCACCAAGAGAGAGTGTGGCCAAGCAAGCTGCTGCCTGGTACCAGCTTTTCGGCATCAATACCGCAACGCGATCTCCAGTCACAACGCCTGCCTGCTGGAGCTGAGGTAGAGTTCGGGCGACAGCCAGGCCAAGTTGACCATACGAGATCGATTCCGACGAGTCAGTGATGCAGCGTCGCTCGGGTGATGCTCTCATGTGACGGAGGAAGCCTCTGTGAAGAAGGGTGTCTCCCACAATTAGCGAAGGCAAAGATTCCATTTTGGGGTTGGATTCTGTGATAGGCGTCATCTGCAGGCAGCTGTTGGCATCCAATCGATTCTTGACGTTTTCGTTCGAAAGCAGATTGATCTCGGGTGACACCTCTGCGGTCCACGCTTCGCGATGAGAAGCGAGATGTCTCAGCATGTGCACAAAGGCGGCGTGGGCCTCTTCAATGAAGCCTTCGTGGAAGAGCTCCTGCAGATAGTCCCAACGCACGGACAGATCGCCATTGGCCTTCCGAACGCACTGGAAATCGATCGATACCTGCGAAGTCTGCGACACTGAGTAGCTAACATCTCCTAGCAAGTCTCTCACCTCCCTCAGAGAATGAGACGCTCCAAAGTCGCTCAAGACGCAGGTCATCACTACTGGGTAGACGATGTCTTGGCCTGTCTTGCTGCGCAGATGGCGCGCAAATTCGATACCAGAGTAGCCGCTGGCATGACTGATATCGTCGAGCAACTGAAGATTAACTTTTGATGCTCGGCCAACAAAAGTTTCGGCGTTGTCGGAACGCCTGTTTGCGTGCGCTGCGGAGCGCGTGTCATCATTGTAATCGAGCAAGATGGACGTGGTAAAGTCGCCCATGACCTGTTCGATTCCGACGTATTCGGCAGGTCGCGAGAAGACGGTCAGGTTGATTGCGAATCTGTTCGTTGTCTCCGAGTATCGTGCAAGCACTCGGCCGAAAGCTGTGGCGATGGCAGCTGACGTTGTAACGCCGGCTGCAGCCGCATTTGCTTCGAGAGACGCCAAATCTAAACGAGGCAGAATGGCTTCGATTTTGCAGAACTTTGGCTTATCGACGCTTCCCAAGTGCTTCACCAAGGGAAGGTCGGGTCCACTGAGAGGGAACGCACCTTCTCTTTGCAACCAGTACTTTCGGTCTGCGTTGGCACCCGAGTCCATCCGACGGTGATGCTCGGCTACGACGAACTGGCGGAACGTGATTGGGGGCTGGGAGAGCTCCACATGTCCTTGAGCGTTGAACTGACGAGCGGCATTTACCAGATCACTGGCAAGGATTGCAGAAGAGAAGAAGTCCATGATCAGCATGTCCAAAGACACATGCAGCACAGCCGGAGAAATGTGGTCCGCTGTCGAACTGGACTCCGAGCTCGATGCGCGGGATAGGCGGATGTCGAAGAGAGGCCATCGATCGGGTGAAATGACTTGGTGGCTCATCTCGTCTCGGATCGACTCGCGCACCGAGTGCACTACTTGGGGCGATTCCTTGGTGAGATCAAAGTCGTCAACCTTCCAGTCCGGCAGCTCGTCCTCTCGAAGCACGCGCTGCGTCTGTGTGTCGAAATCGAAGACAAGTCGCATGGCATCGTGTTTGCGCACAATCGCTCCGATCAGGGTCGTGAGAAGCGCGGAAGACATGCCAGGGGGAGCCTCGAACTCCAAGTACGCATGGGTTGCGATGTTTCCTAATGCAAATGCAGAGCTTCGTCCGAGCAGATAGGCCTCTTGGATTGCCGTGAGAGGGAAAGGATCATTCTCTCGCTCTGGACCTTCCAGAGTGAGCATGATGGAAGACGAGATGCCTTTCTCGGTGTTTCCCGATGCGCCGCCAGCAGCACGACTCTTTGTGACGGCGGCATCGATACCTTTGATTGTTGGCTGTCGGAAAATGGTCTTGAGGTCCAGCTCGATATGCAAACGCTGGCGCAGTAGGTTCTGCAGCTTGATCGAAGACAGCGAGTTGCCGCCAAGCTGGAAGAATGTTGTGTTGATTCCGATCGTGGCCACAGAAATGTCCAGCGCTTCAGCCCAAGCCTCAGCGATCAGTTGCTCTTGCTTAGTCAAGGGGTACTCATCTTCGAAGCTGTCCGTTGATCCTGAAGAAGCGGCATGGGCATTTGCCAGCTCCGCCAGCTTCGCATGGTCCACTTTGCCGTTCCCAGAAAGAGGAATACCACCAAAGACCGGCACGAGGGAGGAGAGCAGCATATAACTAGGTAGCGACTGTGACAAGTGATTATTAGCGACTTCGAGTGGCTGCGGAGTAGGGTCCGCAGCAGTCTTGCCGATAGCGGCCACCCTGCCTCCTAACAAGATAATGTCGGGTTTCCGGCGGAAGGCATGTTGGAAGGAGGACGCCCAGTCATCGCAGATCCAGGGGCTCTGAGTCCAGCCCAGCGAGACGGATCCGTCGGCCGATGGGGAGATGCTAGCTTCTTCAAAAAGCTGTGCGAAGGCAGCAGCCATTTCGGGACCCCTTTCTGCTGTGATGGTAACGATACTTTTTGCTTCCTGAAGCAGTGTAGCGTTGTGATGGAACACCAGCGGCTGTTTGGAGAGGTCCCAATCGGCATTAACCGCCTGTACAGTCGACGGCTGATCGCCGCCGGACGCCTTTATGTCGAAAGCATGCTCGGCATTTCCATCGTGTGTTGCGACTTCCAAAGACATCTCGACCTCGAAGCCTTGTTCAGCGAGATATGGCGGACAGGACAGCGGCGAAAGGATGGCGCTGCCGAGCGCCAGGTACTGGCTGCCTTCCAGCGATAGTTCAAGCAAGGTATCGAGACCGTGGTCATGGGTCGAGCCGTCAGAGCTACTCTGCTGAAGACGGAAGCAGAGGTTGTGCTCGCAAGCTGCGATGGACATGGCTCCTAGCATGTAGCCCATCTCGAGTCGAGTGAACAGGGGCGTGGCATCTCCGTACAGCGGAGCGATCGCGGGCAGGTGGCTGACGAAGATGAGTCTGGCAAAGCTCGTTGTTCCGATAACATCGGACGGCTTCTTCCCTGAGATGGGCAACATCTTTGCCGCCTTCTGATCCAAGAGGTAGACACCGTCTTCAGCACCTTCCACACCCTGCAGCTCCAGCAAAACTCGGACAGAGTAAGTTGCACCAGCCGACGGGTAGCGATACTTGTAAGAGCCTGACTCTTTGCGATCGCCAATGAGGGTTGACATGGTCTTCATGACTTGCTCAAAGGACAACTTGTGGTCAGGAGGAAGAACCTCATTGTTGAGATCAAACACAGAGGAGGCCAGTCGGAGGGCTCGATTGTAGGCTTTGGTCACCTCTAATGTGCTCGGGGGCTGAGAGTCAAAGTGGTAGTGGCTTCGACGGTCTTGAACCATTCTGACGGCCTTTTCATTGCGCTCGACCACGAGGGCTGCGCCGACTTCCCATCTCTGCCCAGCACCTTCCAAGATCGTGTCAGCAGCTTCTGCGAGATGAGCTTTGAGAGCTAGGCGCTCGAGGTCATCTGAAAGGAGCTCGAAACCAGCCAGTGCTTCAACCGGAGGCATCTCGTTACGAGGTACGGCAAAACCTACAAGCTGTCCGTTGATGACTTTGACGACACCATCGTCGACACCAGGTACCCTCTTGAGCCGGTGCGTGATCTCTTCTAGCTCGATTCGATGGCCACGGATCTTGACTTGGAGGTCGCGGCGGCCCAAGAACTCGAGCTCGCCGGATGGCATGAAGCGAACCACGTCTCCAGTGTCGTAGAGTCGGCCGAGACCTGGAAGATCAACGAACGAAGCCTCCGTCTTTTCCGCGTCCGTGTAGCCTTTGGCGAGACCAACCCCACCGATGAACAGCTTGCCAGGTACAAGCGAAGGTGCATGACGCCACGAGGCCTTCTTGCCAGTGGCCTGGAGGACGTACATGGTCTGATTGTTCATGGGCCGACCATACGGGATAAGAAGCGAGCTTCCATTTCCTTTCTGGACGTCGTTCGCCTGAACTTGATGCAGAACACTCCAGACGGAAGCCTCAGTAGCACCTCCACCAGAGTAGAGGGCCATTTCGGATGGACAAACCTCGAGCAATCCCTTGGCGAGATCAACTGGGAACCGATCTCCAGAGAGGAGCATGATGCGCAATGAGGCTAGATTCTTCCGCAGGCGTGTCGCGCGTGTGGAAAGCAGCATTTGGGCCATCGTCGGCACCGAGTTCCAAATGCTGACCCTGTGCTCGACGATCAGCGAGAGCCACTCCTGTGGATCATGAACATCGCCGCTGTCCAGCGAAGGAGGCAGAACGAGCTTACCGCCTACAGTGAGGGCAGCGAAAATATCGAATACCGACAAGTCGAAGCTGAGCTTTGCCAAGCCGAGGAAGGTGTCCTTGTCGGTCAAAGACCAGCGAGCTACGAGGTCGTTGATCGTATTGGCCACCGCTCCATGCTGAATCACCACTCCTTTAGGTTTACCTGTCGATCCGCTTGTGAAGATGAGGTACGCCTCGTCATCTCGCGCGATCCGTACTTTGGTCGAGCTCTGGTGAAGCTGAGCGATGGCATCCTGCACCTCGCCCGAGGAAACGGACTGCAAGTCGTCTGTCTTGGTTCGAACAGAGACAACGGAACAAGTGTCCGGCAATGCGTCAAGGACTGGGGATTCGAAGCCGATGATCGCAGCTGCACACTCTGCCTCTTCGATGACGGTACGGATTCGAGAGGCAGGAGCATCGTGTTCGATGGGAACGTAAGCGAATCCAAGTGTCAGAACCGCTAGACAGCCAGCAACTTGGTATCTGCCCTTCGGCAAGATCACTGCCACTCGCACAGGCGTGCGGAACTGGTGCTGAGCTAGCCTGGTCTGTAGTGCGGCGACGATCACGCCCAGTTGTCCATAGGTCAGCTTGCCGTCAGCGTCCGCAACTGCTTCAGCTGACGAGCTCGTCTGAAGATGACGAAGGAAACCTTGGTGCAGCAATTCAATGACATTGCTGCTATTGAAGAGACGGGCAGTGTCATTGAATACCGTTCGGGATGTCTCCTGAACCGAAGGAACCTGGACTGGGATTTGACCATCTTCTGCTGTCCAAGCTGTCATGTCAGCCTCACAGAGACGTTGAACGAAGGCATGCAAGGTTGCGTGCATGTCCTCTATGTACGATTCTGGGAACATATCTTTGAGGAAGTCGAAGCGCAGAACCAAGTCGCCGTTGATAGCTCGAATACATTGGAAGTCGAGGTCTACCTGGGGTGTCTGCGTTATGGCGTAGATTGGCTCGCCAAACATTTCGATCACTTCCGGTTTGAAAGCAGTCTCGTGAAGCACCATTGTCATCACAACAGGATACATGGTCTTCCCGTTTCGTTGAGCGTTGAGCAGACGGATGAACTCGACGCCGGCAAATGCAGAGTTTTCGACATCTTGGACAAGACGCTCTTCGGTCTGAAGCACCTCTGCCAAGAAGTCGGTCGGTGTGCATCGTTCATCGAATTCGAGTAAGAGAGAAGACGTAAAGTCACCAACAGTGCTGTGCTGCGCGGCATCCGCCTGACGCGAGAAGAGCGTCAAGTTGATAGCAAAGTGTGTATGACTCGCGAAGCGGAAGAGCACCTTCGCGAACGCGCTCGCAAGAACGGAGCCAAGGCTCACTTTGAAGGAAGATGCTGTGTTTCTGAGTCTTTCGAAGTCGCTGCGAGCGATGATGGCCTCCCGTCTGCCGAACGTGGGCGTCACCGTGGCTTCGGCTGAGGTGATTCGCGAGAGGTCAGGTCCGGCAGGGAAGTCGGCGCTTCGTGCCTTCCAATACTGCTCCATCTTCCGGAAACGCTCCGTTGTTCGCAAGTGGCGCTCCGCGAGAACGTGGTACTTGAAGGTGGAGCTTGTAACCGTCCTAGCAGCTGTCGCCCTTGTATCCACGTCCTCAATCCTCGAACTAGCGAGCTCCACAAACTCTTGTGCCAAGATCGCAGAAGAGGCAAAGTCCATAATGAGCATGTCTAAGGAGACATGCAGGACTGCGTCACCCTTGGGCAGCAGCGTCACCGCAATATCGAACAGCGGCCAAGCTGCCGCATCCAACACGAGTGCCTCCATCTCATCTCTGATCTGTTGGATCGACGCTTGAATGACTTCTTCATCGCTTTCTTCCCTTAGATCGATACTACGAACCGAATAGGCTGGTACATCGTCGTTGCGGAGGACTCTCTGCGTCTGTGACGCAATGTCAAAGACAAGACGCAGAGCATCATGGCGAGCGACCAGCTGGTCGACGATCCTGCCTACGACGCGCGACATGAGAGAAGCGCCATGGAGGGCGACGAAGGCGGTCGGAAGGCGGTACTCGACATAGCTGTGAGCCGAGACACCTCCAAGGTCGAGCTGATCGCCTCTTCCGAGGAGATACGCGGCCTGAATGGGCGTGAGCGGAAAAGGTGCATACGGATCCAAGTCTTCAGTAGAGGCATGGGCAAGAGTGAAATTGGCGTCTGCATCTGCTTTGCCAGATTCGGGCATCTTTAAGATGAGCTGATCAATCGTCTGGGCGATCTCGCCCAGACGACAAGGCTGTTTAAACAGCTCCTTCAACGTTACGATCACTCCGAATTCGCGCTCGATCGCTCCTTTGAGACGAATGGCAAGCAGGGAATGACCGCCTAGCTCAAAAAAGCACGATGCGGTGCCAATGGCTGAGTTTCCATCCATTGCCAGGATTTCGTTCCAGATCTTAGCCAAAGCGACCTCGGTCATCGTGGAAGGCAGCTGGAGCTGGCGATCCGAATGAGCGGCTATCAGCTTCGAGGCAAGCAGTGTCTGAGCTTCCTTCGAAAGAGCTTTGACATCGACTTTGCCGTTTGCGGATAGCGGCAAGGCATCGAGATGGATGACGTGATCCACGAGCATGTATCTAGGCAGATGTAGGGCCAGGATTTCGTTGATCTGAGCAAGGCAAGGTTGTGCCCGCGGTACGTCTTGTCCTCGGAAGGTCATTACCAAGGCGCCGACAATGCTGTCGCTTTCGACCAGGGCAGCGGCGCGCTCAACACCTGGGACGCTCTCCAAATAGTGCTGAATTTCATCGAGCTCGATTCGATGACCTCGAATCTTGACCTGGGTATCGCTACGGCCTATGAATTCAATCTCCCCATTGCCAAGGTATCGCGCCAAGTCTCCGGTTTTGTACAATCTCTCGCCAGTGAACGGATGGTTGATAAAGGCACCGGTCGTCTTGACCGGGTCAGTGTAGCCATCGGCAAGACCCTGACCAGATATGAAGAGCTGGCCAGTAGCAAAAGTGGGGGCATCGTCGAGCCAGTTTCCATCTGCATCCAGAATGGCAATGTGCATTCGCTGATTTGCCAGTGGTCGACCATATGGAATGGATTTTGCGTCAGGGCCGACATCTTCCGGTTCGATAATGTGGTAGATGCTCCAGATGGAGGCTTCGGTTGCGCCGCCCAAGCTCACAAGAGCAGCAGCCTGAGCGTCACTTGCTGCCTCACGTAGGGACAGGAGCTTCCGAGCTAGCGAAATGGGAATCCAGTCTCCGGATAGCATGACCAGCTTTAGAGACTTCCAGGCCTGTTGAATCAGCTCATTCGGTGCCTCGATGAGCATCTGAACGATCATGGGAACTGAGTTCCAAATGGATACCTTGTGCTTAACCACGAGGGATGCCCATGTCTCGGGATCCTTGCAGTTAGCGGGCGGCAAGACAACGGCACCACCGATAGATAAAGGACCAAAAATGTCGAACACCGACAAATCAAAGTTGAGCTTAGAGATGCCGAAGGTCACATCGTGACTGGTGAGCGACCACTTGTCAATGACATCAGCGATCGTGTTCATGGCAGCGCCGTGAGAGATGACGACACCCTTCGGCACGCCGGTGGTTCCAGATGTGAAGATGGTGTAAGCTTTATGCGAGGGCTCTACATTCTTTGCAGAAAGACTTTTGACGAGGTCGGAGGCACCAAGGGTCTGCTTGCTGCCAGGTGGGGCGAGATTGAGGTCGTTCAGCACGACGACATCCACTCCATGATCTTGAAGCTTCAGCTTGATCTCTGTCTCGTGATCGGATATGATAGCCTTCGCGCAGCTGGCCTGTTCCATGATCAACGTAATACGTTGAATAGGCAGATCGATTTCGATTGGAATATAGGCCATGCCTGAGCACAGAACAGCAAAGACTGATGCTACCTGTCGCCAGCCCTTTGGTAAGATTACAGCTACGCTTTCGTTGGCGTCCTTGTTGGCTTTCCAAGAGGCTTCCATCTTCTCGCAAGTGCGGTGAACGTGACGAGCTAGATCCACGTAGCTAAGACTGAGCTCCTCGGCGGCATCATGAAGGGCCATTGCATCAGGCGTCAAGAGTGCTGACCGCAGAAAGCCAGTGTGGAGAAGCTGATCTTGGCCTAAGAGACTTTCGTTCGAGGTTGCATTCAGAGCCGTTCGAGCGTCCAAATCATCGGAGACATGGTGGTGGAAGCGGCGCGCAGCCTCGAAATCGGCGCTCCATCCTTGCTCGTTGCAGAGGTCACTGACAACACCAGCGAAGTATCTGTGCATATTACGAATCATGCCTGCGGGAAAGAGCTCCGCCAAGTAGTCCCAACGAAGGACCAGCTCGCCCGAAGAGCTCCTCACGGCTTGGAAGTCAAGGAATACTTGAGGGGTTTGCGAGATCGAGTGTTTTTGTTCGCCAAGCATAGTCATGAGCTCGGTCATGTCGCTGGATGCACCGATGTCATTCAAAACGGAGGTCATAACCACTGGGAAGGCCACCTGGCGTGCCGCACCTTCTTTCGAACGCAGGTATCGGATCATGTCGATACCTGAGAAAGAAGCGTGGCTCAGATCCTCAACCAGCTGAGTGTTGAGCCGCCTGAGGGCTTGCCGAACTCCGCCCTTTGACTCTGGAGCATCAGCATTGACTGGTCTACCGTCGTATTCGAGGAGAAGCGACGAGGTGAAATCACCAACAACGCGATCAGCATCGACAACGTCTAGGGGACGCTGGAAGACGGTGAGGTTGACGATGAAGCGAGGTGACGCAGCGTACTTGGAGAGCGCCTCCGCAAAGGCATGAGCAATGACGGTCGTTGGCATCACGTGGTGCATGCGAGCCAGCCTCTCGAGCTCTGCGAATCTGCTTCTGCTAATGATGACCTCTTCTCGTTCAAAGATAGAGGCTTGAACCTGCGCTGGTCTCCTGGAAAGTGGTAGTTCGGGAGCATTTGGGAAGTCAAAAGCTCGCTTCTCCCAATAAGCCCGTGAGCGAGCGATCCCAACACTGTCGCGTGTTTGTTCCTCCAGTTGTGACAGAACAAGCTGACGGAACGTCGTCTTGAGGGGCGCTAGCTGCAATGACGGTGTTGCGTCGACCTGAGAAGTCTGGCGAGCTGCCCGGAGCAGCGCAAGAGTGTCCGCTGCCAGGATCGCGGAAGAGTAGAAGTCCACAATCAGTGCATCCAAAGAGATGTGAAGCACATTCTCCCACGAAGTTTTAGTAATGCGAACATCGAATAGTGGCCAGACTCCAGGGTCGAGCACCTGGTGGGAGAGCTCGCTACGAACTTGCTGCACCATCTCCTGGCCCACCTCGACGTCCTCTTCGGAAACATCGATCGAAACTACCTGATATGGCCCCGTGACCTCGTATGGCAGAACGCGCTGCTGAAGAAGCCCCGAGACCGGGTCTTGTTCGAAGATGATGCGGAGCGCATCGTGATGCGAGACAAGCGCAGAGATGACCTCGCTGAGCAGTTCAGGCGTGAGCCAAGGAGGAATGGAAAATTCTTGATAAGCGTGGGTAGCGACACCACCAAGCTCGACAAGAGGGTCCCGCCCAATGAAGTAGGCTTGTTGAATGGACGTCAAAGTGAAGGGATCGAAGCGTTCCTTCTCCCAAATGTCCTCTTTGCTCGAATTGTCTTGCTCGTGTAAATACTCTCGCGCGTTCGCGTCGCTTGGTCGACTTGGATCGATTCTGCCACCGAGCCCTTCCAAGGCATCAGCAAGTCTACTCAAGGTCGGATTTGCGAAGATGACCTTGAGCGGGAGATCGGGCATCGCAAGTGTTGCCTTGAGAAGGCCCTGTACCTTGATAGCAGAAAGACTGTGTCCGCCAAGCTCTGCGAAGGATGACGTCTTGGTGAGCGTACCCCTGTCTAGGCGGAGCACCGTCGACCAGATCTGAGCTACGACTTTTTCCATCTCTGTTGAGATCACAGCCGCCCCCTCCTCCGAGAAATCCATCTGCTGCTCTGCATGGGCCAGCAGCGACTTGCGATCCACTTTCCCGTTGGCTGTCAGAGGGAGTCGATCGATGATGAACAGCTTCTTCGGTAGCATGTAAGTTGGCAGGCGAGTAGAGAGATATTCGTTTAGGCGGTGGATAGGCAAAATTGCCTGAACGGTGGTCTTGTCTACGTCTGCGTCGGGCAAGAGGCCACCGACCAGGATGACCTGCGGCAATGCAATGTCGCGCCGCTTGAAGAGAACATTGAAGCGCTCGCTGACGAAAGGGATGACAGTGAAGCCAATTCCGTGCGCTGCAGCCTCTTCCAAAAGGCCCTGTGCAGTCATCGCAGCGTGTAATCCGCCGTCTTTGCACGCGATTGTGATCAAGACGCTAGCTGAGTGAAGTAATGGGGCGTTGGTGTGGAAGAAGATGCTTTGAGCGTCAAAGACACCTTTTTCATCAGAGGAGAGCATCGACGCTCGGTAGCGTTTCTCGGAGACTTCCTTCAGCCAGAATCGATCCGAATTGGTCCGTTGGAACATGGATACCAACAGCGAAGACTTGTCTTCATCTCGATGGGTCGAATCTCCCCGAGGCAGAGAAAGACGTGCACTCGTGAGGGAAATCTCCGTGCTCGACAAGAGAGGCTCTACCTTTATGCCCAACTCGCAAGTTTCCAGGTGCAGAGCAGAGGATCGTGAAAGCTCGCGGTTCATGGCGCCAATCGCGTATCCAGCCTCGAGCTGAGCAAACTCCAGACTCTTGTTGCCATACAGAGGGGCGATCTTGGCAAGATCAGACCAGAAGCAGAGCTCTATGCTTGTGGCGGCATCAACACTGCCCTTCTCTGGCTCGTGTGCCTGTAACAGCACGAGCTTAGAGCCTAGCACATCGACTGCGTAGATTCCAGAAAAGTGTCCTGCAAGGTTCAAAATGCTGACAAGACAATTGACACTGTACGTGGCACCTGCGGACGGATAGCGGTACTTGCGACTTCCGTTACTTTCGACTGGAAGCAGGACACTGAGCAAGCTTGCAAGGGCTTGAGACACATCTTCAGATCCATTGTCACAGTGGGATGGGCTGAGGGATGTGATCAACAAGCACTGCAAAGCGTCGGTTGACACCGAGCGGGGGGAGAAGGAGTATGTGCTCTTCCGCGTCCGAGCCACTTTGGTTTGCGAGTCTGAGGGCGCAGCTATGGTGATGGAGTCGATGGCGTCTACGCACCGGGCAGAGCGGGGAAGACTGGGGTCATGCTGATGCTCCACCTTGTGCAGCTTTCGGTCGGCTTCATCAGTAAGCAATGAAAAGGCTTCCATCCCCGTGACCTTGTTTTCGGTCTCGTCTGTTGGCACCACAAAGCCGACCAATTGATCTCGATAAACATCCACGAAGATGCCACTGATTCCTTGCAGAGAGGATGCCGCGGTTGAAATCTCTTGCAGCTCAACCCGGTTGCCGCCAACCTTGACGAGGAAGTCGTTCCGACCAACAAACTCGATCAAGCCATTGGGGAGATACTTGGCTACATCGCCAGTACGGTAAAGTCGGAGGCCTGTTTCAGGGTGATGAATGAAGGTCTTTTGCGTCTGAACATCATCCGTATACCCTTGCGCGAGACCGTCGCCCGCAATGTACAGATCACCAACCACAAAATCTGGCGTCTCCTGCAAGGAGCCCAAAAGTGTGGATTTGTAGACAAACATTTGCTGATTTGCTAAGGGCACACCGTACGGGATCGGGCGTGTACATTCCGTTGCGACTTCTTCGGCAAAGATGGGGTGGTAATTGGACCAGATCGATGCCTCGGTTGCCCCGCCCAGCGCATAGAATTGAGTCGTTTGCTCTGCACGAGCAAGCAAGCCGCGAAGGAGATCCACTGGAATACGATCTCCTGACAGCAACACAACTCGCAAAGCCGAATGCGCACCCTCGGCCCTCTCATCTGTTGCCTGGTACGCAACCAGCATCTGCAAGAGCATTGGGACGCTATTCCACACTGTAACGCTGCTGTGGTGCATCACCTCGATCCAATGAGCTGGGTCCTTGAGCTGATCTTGATGAGGGAGAGCGAGCTTGCCACCCAACGACAAAGTTCCGAAAATGTCGTAAACAGAGAGATCGAACGACAGCTTCGATAGACCGAAGCAGCAATCGTCAGCGAGAAGGCCGAAGCGTTTAATGACGCTGGCGATGGTGTTTAGGGCAGCATGGTGCGAGATGCGTACACCTTTTGGCTTACCCGTGGAGCCACTGGTGAAGATGGTGTAGGCGAGCTGATCACCTCGTCTTCGAACGAGAGGTAGGCTTGACAGACAGATGTCAATGTCGTCTTCGCAAGCCGCAGGATTGAAGTCTTCGACGTACAAGACGCGATCAAAGCAAGCGACTTTGTCAGCATCCACCGTCCTTGAGGTGATCACAAGAGTGATGTCGGCTCCAGCGGCGACGGCAGCGACCCGCTGAGGTGGAGTTTCGGTGTCGATCGGCACGTATGCATTGCCAGAGAGCAACACAGCCAACACACTAGCTACCTGGCCGCAAGACTTGTCGAGGAGAACAGCAACATTGTCGGGCTCGACAGTGGTAGTGTTGGATGCCACCCGTTGCAGCTGGTCAATTTCCCTAGCACCAAGAGCAGCGTATCTTGCGAGCTTGCCATAGGTCAGGGTCCCGTCTACCGCCTCGATTGCAGTTCTTTCTGGCGTGAATTCAGCTGAGCGAATGAAACCATCGGTCAACAGGCTGTTTCTATCTGGTAAGCTGAGTGTGTTCGCGCAGATAGCAGGGTCGCACGTCTCATTAGCTTTGAGCCGAGGCTGAAGATGGGCCGACGGCAGTTGAGCGAACGAATGAACTTCATCCCAAGTGGTTTGGCCTGGTTTCAGAGTTGCGACGTAGTCAGTGTCGGGCGCCATAGTCCGTTCGAGGGCTTTTGCAAAGACTCCAAAAAGTTCCTGCGCTACTTGAGGCTCGAAGACGTCCATGTAGTCGAGATGCAGCTCAATGTTGTTGCCATCAAGGCTAGGGAACACTTGGAAATCGAGCCAGACTTGCGAGGTCTGCGTCTTGCGACTGATAACCTCAAATTCGAGGGAATCGGCCGCAATGGTCGGACCAGGAATCCCTGCAGATTGTCCCGGCGGCAAGACGCAGGTGAAGACGATTGGCATCAGAGATCCTGGATGATAGCGCTGTAGATCCCGAATCACACTAATGCTGCTGTACTGCGAGTAAGAAATGTCGGAAAGCAGCTGCTTCTGCACGCGGCGGCAGCGCTTGGAGAAGGACTTGTCATCCACGGCCGCCTCGTCTGGGGTCTGAAACAAGATTCCCCCGGTGAAATCGCCAATGACCTTGTCAATGTCATCTTCTACATATTCTCGGTTGAAAAGGGTGGTATTCACGGTGAAATATGGTTCTTCGCTCCAGAGACGCAAAGCATCGATGAAGTTCGTCATGAGGACGGCTGATGGAAGAAGGCTGTGCTGCTTGCATCGCGACACAAAGCGTGACCAGAATGTTCCGGAGAAGGTGTGCGCCAGGTGGTGCACAGAAGCGCCGTCGATCGCATGGTTGCCCGCAGATCGCATTGGCAGCGCAGGAGCCAGCGGCAGGGTGGAAAGTTTTTCTTGCCAGTATGCTTGTGCATCCGCATATGCATCCCTGTCGAAAGAGCCATTCTGATGCCACACAACGTAGTCTCGGAAGGTGGTGGATGCAACGCTGGATTTCAACGGGTCATCGATGCTGATAACTTCTGACTCGAAGTTCAGCTGTGCTCGAAGCTCCGCGCAAAGTGTCTGTACACTCTTGGCGTCGATGATAAGCAGGTCGAGCGATAGCCAGAGGTGAAGCGTGTTCCGGCCGTCGATCTTGAGAGCGGGGAAGGTAGCTAGGCTAACGTCGAAAAGCGGCCAGCAGCTTGGGTCAAAGGCGAGAGACTCCACGTCGTCCCGGAAAGACTGTAAGAGATCCTCGCGTTCCGAAAAGGAAAGGCTCTCGCTGGTAAAGTCGTGGATTGAGACCGGAATCTGGTCAGCTACCTCTTCGAAAGCCAACACCCTTTGCTGCAAGCTGACAGTGTCAAAGATCAGACGAAGAGCATCGTGTCTTTGCACAAGGACGCGGAAAGCTGCCCGAATTCGATCAACGCTGAAATCACCAGGCAGGAGAACCTCTATCATGGTCTTGGATGCAAGAGATAAGTCCACACCGGTGCGACGACCAATCAGATAGCTCTCCTGGAGCGTAGTTGGAGGAAACGCATCGTATCGTCCTTCAGGTTGTTTCTTGAAAGAAGTTGCTTGGCCAAAGATCGTGTGCGGTGCATCAAGCGTCGCTTCACTCCTTGCAGAGGAACCTGTCGATGTAGGAGATCGGTCACTCAGAGCTGTACGAGGGCGTTCTTCTGAGACGAAACTATGCACCAGCGATGATGCTGCTATGTAGCTCTGACGATCCTCGATGCTAGCTGCAATTGTAGCGATAGTGGGATGCTCGAAGAAGTCATTAATCTTAGCATTCAGCCGGTGACGGGTTCGTAGGACGGCCAAGATACGCATAGCAGTGATTGATGTGATACCTTGCTCCATGAGCCGCGTGTCTGGCGTTGCGTGGATGCCTGTGACCTCTCCGATTGTGTCCAGCAGGATCTCGAGTGTGCCGTACCGCTCAGCACTGTTTGCAGAGCTAACAACCGACAATGACGAGGAAGAGGCAGCAGGCAGGGCTCTGCGATCCTTTGACTGCCAGGGCATAGAAGCAAGACTCTTGCGATCGAGCTTTCCGCTCGAAGTGAGAGGGAACGTCTCGATAGGTACAAAGAAGGTCGGGATCATGTACCGAGGGAGCTTCTTCTGAAGTAATTCTTTCAAGCTTAACATCGCTCGAGGGCAAGCAGTGCCAACTGGCACCTGTTCGTCCTCTGATTTCACGAAGGCGACCAGAACTTCTTCTTGCAAGTCTGGCACGGATCGCAGGACGACTGCAGACTTGGTCGAGCCGACTTGTAGCTCAGCAAGAACTTGACTGATCTGCGCCTCGACTTCGCCAAGCTCTACGCGCTGACCTCGCACTTTGACTTGGTGGTCTTGACGCCCGACGAGCTGAACGTTACCTTCGGCATCGATATAGCCCAGGTCACCTGTGTCGTGTGCGTGTGTGAGCCGTTCGACGCCGTGATAAGCAAGCTGCTTGAAATATCGACCAGTCGTGACCGCATCGTCGAGGTAACCCTGTCCGAGATATGGACCGTCCACCCAAATGTGTCCAACCGCGCCACGCGGGCATGGCTGCTGATCGCGGCCAAGGATCGTGGCTCGCATGCCTGGAAGCGGGTGACCAACACAGGTCAAGGGCTGTTCGGCAGTCATGCGACAGCAGAACTGATGAATGCCTCCTTCAGTCGTACCGTAGAGATTGAAAAGCTTCGTCTTAATGTTGGGCGCGAGCCATTTCTTGCGGAATTGAAGGGAGGTGGGTTCTCCGCTGAGAATGAGGACTCGAAGCCAAGGCAGATCTTGCGGGTCTGGTAGCACAGATGCAACGGTGGGAGTCAGTACGCATAATGAGATCATTGAATCACTCACAATACCTGAGAGGTTGCTTAGAAGCTCTTCATGAGGAGCAGTGACCAGTGTGCCACCGCGATGCAGAGTCATGAAGAGTTCCAGCACCGAGTGGTCAAACGTGTACCGAGAGAACTGCAACGTTCGAATTCCTTTGGGGCATTGCGTCGCAAGCAAATGACCACGAACGCTGGCGGTCACAGCAGCGTGCGTCATGACACAGCCCTTCGGCACTCCGGTCGAGCCAGATGTGAAAAGCACGTAACAGACCAATGAGGCGTCAATTTTGTCAAGAAGAGGTCCAATGCTTGATGTTGGAGGATCGCTTGAAATGACCGACTCGGCGTTGAGGTGACTGATGGGAAGTTCTTCGACGAACCTGCTTTCAGTACGATGATCGACTAACACCAACTGTGCGCCTACTTGAGCGGTGATGTAGCGATTTCTTTCGGCAGGATTGGAGAGATCCAAAGGGACGTAGGCCGCGCCTGCTTTTATAACCGCCAGAATCGCTATCGTCAGGTGAGGACCCCGTTCAAGTGCGAGCATGACATGACGTGTTGACTGTTGATCGACTTGCGCTGCGAGAAGCGTCCGAATGAGCGAAGCGAGATGATCAGTGCGACGATCCACATCGCTGTACGTGTAAGTTCGATGATCTACCGAGTCTTCGATCGCTACGCGGGTGCTGAACTGTTGCACTGAGGTTCTGAAAAGGCTGACAAGGTCGCAAGTGTCGTCTGCTCCAGTTTTAACATCAGGACCGGCGATCTGGAGGGCTCGCAGGGAGGTCGAGTCCTTGGCATGTAGCCAGGATCCAACACTACCATCATGATTGGCGGTAAGCTCCAGCATGTCTCCAAAGGCGCTCGCCAATTGGTTCACCTCCTCTTCCAAATACGCACCTCCCTGATACTCCCAAACGCATTCGATGCTTCCGTCGGCCTGTGGGAATAATTCGAGACCCAGCGGAAACTTGGCCACCCCACTCCAAAGTGGTTTCGATCGGGTCACTGTGAGCTCCGAGGTTTGCAGTTCAGCTTCGAGCGCAAATTCGTGCATGTTGAACCAAAGGAATAGAGGATTCGCCGCTGGTGCGACCTCCTTTTCGACGTCCATGGACGTTGCATTCTGAATGTGACGCAGCACGGCCGCAAAGTCAAACTCGGGGTCTGAAATGTAGCTCTGCACCTGTCTAGACACAAAACTTAGAGAAGCACGTCGATCTCTTGTGTCACCAAATGCTGGTGCTCGGATCAACATGGTGTTTACAAGAAATCCAATCATAGACCTTACACAGGTATCACTCCGCTTTGTTACGGGAGAGGCAACGAGGAAGTCGTCCTGCATCTCAAAGTCGGAAAGAAGCTGCATAAACGCAGTGAGAAGGTAGACGAAGGAGCTACAGCCAGCAGCACGAGCCAGTTGGTAAATACCGCGGCTGGTGGCAGCCGAAAGATTTAGGGTAACCAGTCCGTCTTGGTTTTCAGTCGCTGTATGCCGACGTGGGTGGCGAATAAATGCCTTTGGAGACTCTCTGTGGACGGATCGCCAAAATGCATCGACCGGAATTCGTTCTTCATCCTCGACATCCTTCCCGTCTAAGTCGTTGGCCAATAATGAGAACTGGGGCGAGGGGCTGCAGTTGGACACCTCGCTACCAGTCTCGTTCATATAGGCTGCTACAATTCGCTGGGCTAGAAGTGCAGCGGAGAAGCCATCGAACACAATATGGTGGATCTTGAAGCCGAAGAGAACACGACGATCGGAGATCGGGATGATAACAGTCTCAAAAGCCGTTTTGGAAAGGTCCAGGCTATCTCGAGCCCACCGTTGGACGTACGACATTGCGGCCTGGTGCGACTCTGCTTCGGCTTCGTCTTCGTCTTCGTCGTCGGCTTCAGGCTGTAACAGTACACGAACCAATTGAGTGGGCAGCTTCGAGATTGGGAGCACCTTGGCCATAGGCTCGCCCTTGGAATTCACCGTGAAGGTGGTTCTGAGACTGTCGTTGGTGGCTGCGACGTGGTATATGGCTTTGCGAAGCTGATCGACGCTGATCTTCGTTGGAGAGTCCAACTGCATGGAATGCGAGATGTGATACGCAAGGGAGTGCTGCACTGACTGAGCAGACTCCAGATAAAGACGCTTTTGATCCCGCGTAGGAACAAAGTCATTTAGAGGCTCACCAATGTACTTGTTACTTGGCCTGCATCTCGATCCTCTCGCAGCGATAAAGAGACTCGCCAGGTTCTCCAAGGATTGTGTATTGACAAGATCAGAAACTTGGATGTCAACGTTGAATTCTTCTGAGAGGTGTGAGGCAATCTTGAAAAGCATGAGCGAGTCGCATCCGACCTCGGTGAGCGAGCGGTTGGCTAGCGAATCAATGTTCTGCATCAAGTCGACGGGAACATTCGGGATACCTGAGATTGCATCCACAACGGTCTTGAGCCAACTCGATCTAGGGTTTGAATCATCAAGGACGACCTTGATCTTGCCATCTTCGTACAGAGCCTTGGCTTGCTTCCGACGAATCTTGCCGGAAGTGGTGCGTGGGATCTGACCAGGTTCAGTGAGGACGATGTGATCGAGCATGATGCCCATCGATGAGAGCATCAAGGCTGGAATTTGTTGGAGTACGCTTGCAAGAGTTTTGTTCCTTTCTGACCGTGATAGGATCGTTTTGCGGACTTCTGCACAAAGGACGACGCTGGGATCGGAAGTCGAATTGTTTCCATCGCCAGATTCGATAGCCTTGTGATGGCTGGCTGCGAAGACTGCTACTGAGCCTGCCTTGAAGACATCGGGCCACGTGGTCCAGACGAGTTCTTCGATGTCTTGCGGGTAAACGTTGCGGCCGTGGATAATGAAGATGTCCTTGAGTCTTCCTGTGACCATTAGTTGAGGCTGGCCACCGGACACGATGCCATCCTTGCCAGGGGCCTGCCAGAGTTTTCCCATATCGCCTGTGCGGAGAAAGCGAAGATGGGGATAGCCATTGAGGTGGTTGTGAAAGGTCTCCCGAGAAGCCTCATCCAGATTGTGATAAGCAGAAGACACTGAAGGTGATGCGACCCAGATCTCGCCCTCCTGACCTGCATCCGTGACATCTGCCCCAGTGTTTGGATCCACGATGCGCATTGTCACGCCGACGCAAGGAGGACCGCATAGAACGGCGTCGTCGAGTCCAACAAGGTCTTCGATCGACTTTGCTTGGTGTGGATAAAAGGAAAGGCCGAGAGTGGCTTCGGCCAACCCATAGGCAGGCTTGTAGGCGGAGAGCGAGAAGCCACTTGGACCGAAACAGCTGTGAAAGCGCTGCAATGAAGTCTTTCGAATCGGCTCTGCGCCAAGAACAACGCATCGGAGGGCGGAGAGATCGAGAGGAGCGCCATCGTACTTCCTAGCAGCAAGGTCTAGAGCGAAGTTGGGCGCAGCAGTGTGGGTGGCTCTAAAAGTTGACATGGCTCTAGTCCAGGAATTGGGGTTTTTGACAAAGTCAAGGGGGCTTTGAAGGTAGACAGTACCGCCTGCATAGAAGCTGGTGAGAACGCAGCCAATGAGGCAGAAATCGTGAAAGTGGGGAAGCCAGGTGCAGCCAACGGTGTCGGGAGTGTACGGAACTGTCTGACAGATGGCTTGAAGGTTGGCAACCAAGTTGCGGTGCGTCACTTGGACACCTTTGGGATCACCGGTTGATCCCGAGGTGTACTGAAGGAAAGCGAGATGATCAAGGTCGACCTGCGGTGTATGCACTGAGTCGGAGGCGGGCTGACTGCGGACCGTGTCGATGCTGACCCAGGTCAGGTCAATCCAACGCTGAGACGACTGGGTGCGCCAGAAGGTTGCTTTGATGTTGCGCCAGCCCGACGCAAGGTTGAGCGCAGCGGAATAGGATCCAAGAGTCAGAGCGATGCGTGCGTCAGAAATGTGAGCGAGTTTGTTAAAGTGAGCCAGATCTTTGTCCAGCTGGGCTGGGTTGAGAGGCGGAACGAGGACAGGAACACCACCAGCTCGCTGAACGCCAAGGAAGGCGACTATAAAGTCGAGACCGAAAGGAAAGACGAGCAGCACAGTCTCCTGAGATGCAAGATGGTGGTCTTGGATGAGATGGGTAGCGATCCGTTCCGAGCGCTCCCAAATGGTACGGAAGGTGAGACTGTTATTGACTAAGCCGTTTGCTCCAACCCAGTGCAAGCAGTTCTTGTCTGGAATCTCCATGGAGTGTCGTTCGAGAATGTCGAGCACGGTGTGATCGTAATTGAAAGGGTCCATGATAGTAGCGGTGATATGAGCATCAGAGTGGCTGGTGGAAGACATGGTATCAGAATTTACTTGCAGATAGAAAGGGCGAGATTGAACAAGAGAGATGAGCGTTAGCAAGGAAGATGGAAAGCCTTGCGGGACTTTACGGTGGTGTGAACAGCAGCTATGCAGACCCCAGCGGCTCCTCTACACTATCAGTTTGCCGCTACAGTCGATGATTACATGCAGAACAGCTCGGTACTGCCTGAGAGTCTTCTCTCTGTGACCGGCCACAGTGGCAAGGCCATCACAGCTGCATCGTAGCAAGTGCAGCACCTATGTCAGGTCGAGCAAGCAACGACAGCGGCGGCTGCGGTGACCCGAGGCACTGGCCTGTTCCGGCTCAGAGAACCACGAATGGCTGCGGGCTCACGAGCTATGATTGTCATACCACAGAGTATCAAAGTGTTGGTGATCCGATGGCTTTCGACGCAGCCAAGCTCTCCAGTGGAGATGCACCTGTTGATGGTGGAGCGAGGGCGCAAAGCGCACTTGAATCGGAGCATCGGAAGACGCTACCGGCCGGTGTGCGGAGTGTTTCGAGTAAAAGGTTGATAGGCCAGACAGGCATGTAATGGTACCCGAGTCGAGAATGAATGGCCCTGTGAGGAGACTTGCATCTTGCGAGGCACACACATGACGGCAAGTGGGCGGAGAGAAGGAGAGGACCCCAAGGTAACTTGCTGTGCTCAGTGAAAGAAACCTTCAAACTCGGCTGAAAGGTCCAGGACCGTATGGCGGGGAATCCAATGATCTTGAGGGCCTCTCAGAATCTTGACGTTCAACCGCACCTCGGAAGCGGCAACCGACTCGTTCTTATGCGCGATAAGTGACAGCTCGCTCTTTCTTTCTTCGATGTTCTCTCCTCCGGCCTCCATCTGCTCCCGTTCTAGGATGCGGTCAGCTAATATCATGCCCCATTCTAGCTCGTTGTGCTACCAAGAAGGCTCACTTGCTTCGTCTGAGGCTTCCTCGCTAGACGCTTCAGCCTGTAAACCTTGGTCAGAACCAACGGGGCGGTTGTGTTTTGAAGAGTTGTGGTATTCAGCCCTGCTTCCCGCTTCCTGCATGGACCATGCTGCCTGCATTATCTTCATGCTATTGAGACGCATGTCTGCTTTGAACGACGGCTACCCTTTTTCAGCTCAAAGCACCTGTCTTCCGGAGTCGCAACACCCCTTCTCTTCTTTCATCCTCACCGTGGACAAAGCAAGACAGCAACGTTCGTGCGATCCCTTAAGCTTATATCTACTCCTAGGCCGTCTACAGGTTTCCCACTTAACAAAATTTACTCAAACCGCAAGACAGCTTCAGCCATGCTCGTATCTCGTCAGGCCCTCAGCGAGATTTCCGATCCCGGAAGGTCGGAAGCAAGGCCTCGCAACGGCAATAAACCTCAGAAAGCCTCGCAAGCAGCCGGTATCGCCTGCCTTTCGCCCTTGGAAATACAAAGAGCCGTGAGAGAATGGAGCAAAGAGTGTTCAACTGTCTTGGATCTCTCCGGATTTGCCAGACAGGTGCCATTTGAAGGCACCGTCCAGAAAGAGGGCCTCGTCGTCGACTTCGAGGTCGATGCCACGTTTCTTCGGTCTTCAGAAGCGGAGCGCAACGCTGATCTCCTTGAGATTGCTTTTGCAAAGCTTCTATCCGTTTACACAGGAGACTCCACCGTCTGCTTTGCCTCCCTCTCTCGTACTCCAGCACCGAATCAGGACGAGCTGTACGTTCGCCACTGCAAGGCCGACCACGCACTCAACCAAGTTCCTTCCAAAAGCGCTCAAATTCCTCTAGAGTCTCTGAGGACACTCTTGACCGGCCAGCAGCTTTGGGGGGCTTCACTGTCGACCGACTTTGCTGGCGAGAACACATCGCCTCTGCAACCCGCTAGTCTGCCCATTGCCAGCACCTCCTTGCACGTTCATGTTGCACAAAATGCAGAGGGACGCCTTGGAATCGACGTCCTGTACGCGCCTGATACAATCCTTGCCAAGGATGCTCACCAAATTGGCCGGCGCTTTGCTTTCTTACTTAAGCAGCTTCACGAGCGAACGCCTATTAGCCAGCTATCGACAACGATGCCAGGCGAGAAGGTTCTTGCACTGAAGACGTTTAGCAGCAGTGTTCAGCTGCGAGAAAGTTGCCAGTCTTCGCCTCTTTCCCAAACTCTGATTCACACGCTCATCTCGCGTGTTTCTCAGAGACACAGCCGCGCAGTAGCCATTCATGTCCCGCAAGACACTTTAGAGGTCACCTACGAGCAGCTTGGCACTTCGAGTGACCGTCTCGCTTGTCAGCTGCGAAGACTCAATGTTGACAGCGAGATCCATGTGGCATTGATGCTGGACAAGAGCGAGCTGCTTCCCGTTTCCATTCTCGCCACACTCAAGGCTGGAGGATGTGTAACACCTTTGGTCGACCAGCTCACAGACGATAGAATCCTTCATATTCTCAAAGAAACGCAGCCTGCCGTCTGGATTGTCGATGCACTGCATCGACAGCGTGCAGAAAAGCTTCTCAGCTCAATGGCAAATGAGGCGAAGCCCCATCTCTTGTGCATCAGTCGCAAGCTGCACAGCTCTCAAGAGCCATTGAGGGAGCTTCTCGCCCTCCAAGGTTGGAAAATTCCACCTGATAGCAAAGCATATACAATCTACACCTCGGGCAGTACAGGCCTTCCAAAAGCGGTCATCCTCACCCATCGAAACCTTGCTGCGTTTGCCTCGGCTAAAGTAGACGGCTGGAAGTTGAGTGAAGGCTCGAGGCTCCTTCAATTCAGTGCACCTGTGTGGGACGTCTCGGTTGGCGATCTCATTTATGCACTAACCTCGGGCGCAACGCTAGTGATGCAAGATCGTTTTGCGGCAGTCACAGACGTAGACGCCACCATCAGGTCCTTGCGCATTACGCATGCGATCTTGACGCCCACGGTGGCAGACTTCATCCGTGAGAGCCATGCAAGCCTTGAAGCTCTCATTCTCACAGGAGAGCCTATCCCTATCACTCAGCGCAACAGGCTACTCGACCTGGTCCCAACGCTGCTTAACGGCGGCGCACCCTCAGAGGTCACCATTCTGGCTCTGATGACCCGATTGACGAAATCAGAGGCACACCTACGCTGGACACCTTTCGGGCGTCCGATTGGCACGGTGCGAAGTGTAATTCTGGATGTCACTGGTCAAATCGCTCCCATCGGGGCAGTTGGCGAACTCTGTTTGGCTGGAGACCAGGTGTCGCGCGGCTACCTGAATCAGCCAGACAAGACAAAGGCTGCCTTTGTCCAGCTTGATCTTGCCTCTTCGATACCTGAGCTGAATATACATGGTCGATTCTACAGGACAGGTGACTTGGCTCGACTTCATGCTGATGGACGGTTCGAGCTCTTTGGACGTATGGACGGTCAGCTTAAATATCGAGGTGTGCGTCTTGAAGCGCAGGAGATCGAAGGTACACTCGAGCAAGCTGATGACATGGTCGACCGTGCCTTTGTCTGCACAAAGAACATCAAGAACTCCTCACGCCTCGTTGCCGTTCTACAACCCAGCCAGGACGGACGTCAGGAGAGCGCACTTCCGGTCCAGATAGATGCGCAAAAGCTGATCACAAGCGTCTCGGCAAAGCTAGGCAACGCTGCAACTCCGAACGCCGTCATCTTTGCTTCGTCTGCACTCCCACTCACCGTTTCCGGAAAGCTCGATCGTAAAGCTCTCCAGGTCCTGGTAGATCAAATGATACTCTCTGATAAAGTCCAGCTCATCCATGCATCGAGGCATCCTAAGCAGCACAATCAACATCAAGGAGAAACTACTGCTGTCAGCGTAGCGCCGGAGGGTCGAGCTCAGCTTGCCGTAGCAGAAGCTTTCGGAAAGGCCCTCGAACTTGATGCACAGAGGATCAATGTTCACGAGTCTCTGCAAGATCTCGGCGGTGATTCATTGACTGCCGTCCGAATCCTGACTGATCTACGTAAGAAGGGTGCCAGGATTGAAGTTCGACACTTACTCGAAGGCAGGGGTTCCATCTACGAAGTTGCTGCTCGTGTTTCGTTCGGCGACATTACAGACACCTCCTCTTGTGAAGGCGTTCTCCAGCCGGAGGTGGATGTCAAACAAGCAGACCTTAGCGAGAAGGACCGAGACTGGGTACTGTGGAGGTATTCTATCCATCCAGATTGGATCGAAGACATGTTCTACTCAACTCCATACCAGAGCACTTCTGCCGGCATGGGCTTTGCATTCAAGTCGCCTCGGCCACAAAGCATTGAATGGAACCAGGCTGTGTGGGAATGCAATGGCCCAGCCATTCAGGCAGACGATCTACGAGCGGCTTGGATGGCCACAGTGGAACAATATCCCAACTTCCGATCTGCCATTGCCTACAATGCTAGATTCGAAGGAGTGATGTGCGTATACAAGACCAGTCACTGCCCTTTGAATCTGACCACTTACTACCCGAGGGCCGATGTGGAGCATGATCGAGACTTTCACACATACATGGATCAAGATCGACAGCAAGGTCATCAGGAGTTTGGCAAAGTTCCTTTCCGACTCGCACTCATCCAAGCCACAAAGGAACGGACCCAAAAGCTGGTTATCGCGTTCCCTCATTCGCTAGCCTGTGGTTGGTCAATGCGACTTACGCTACAATCACTGCTATGCCGTTTGAATGGCCGAGCACCGGATCGCACAACTCCAACGAGCTTCAAGAAATACATTGCATTCACCCGAAGTCGCAACCTCGACGAACTCGACTCATGGTGGGCAGAGGAGCTCAAGGGGATTGAGCATTCCTGCTGGCCTATCGACTACAGAACGCAAGCGCAAGTCTATCCCGTCGTAAATCGTCAATTTGATGCCCATCTCAACATCAAAACCAAGGAATTAGCCAGAACACTCGGATCGAGTCTGTTCACTATTACTATGGCCGCCTTCGTTCTTGCTCTTGGGCGACGCAGTAGACCGGATGACATCAGCTCCAAGAGTTGTTCCCGATTTCAGGTTGCCACGTCATACAGTAAGTGAGCCGTCCACCTTGAACACTTGCCCAATTGCCATTCGCTGACAAGTATTACATATACTACTTTACGCCAACATAGTCACTTCGAGCCGATTTTTTGATGGACTGGAAGATCTGGAAGCCATTCGAGGTCCCACTCTGGACGTGCTTCTAGCCTTATTCGACGTTGACCTTGACGAAGGGGTAAGCAAGCTTCTGGATGAATGCTCGAAGACGATCAATCGACCTAAAGGAAAAGAGCACTATCCACTTGCAAGGTTGAGCAAGAAAATGGATGCTATCAAGGTCAGAGGTGCTCTGCAGGCCAATATGGTCTTTCAGAATCTTCCGAGCCTGACATCGCAAGAGGGTCAAGTCTCGATGAAGCTGGGCCGCGAGCATATGCCAACGATCTCATGCATCTTCTTCCAGGTGACACCGTCCGACGATCGTCTGCTGTTCCGAACCGCCTTCGACGATCGCTTCGTCAGTTCAACAGAAGCGACAGCATTTGTCGACGATATGCGATGCATGATCCAATTGATGGCAGACATGCGGCACGCTACAGTACGGGAACTATTAGCTGACATCCCTTCCCGCAGCACGGCGATCATTACGCTCCCTCGGCCGCAGCCTTTGGAGCATTTCGACCTGGACCCAGTCCCTGGTTCATTCTGGCTTCGACGGTTTGTGCGGAATGTATGGCTTCTTCTATGGTACCACTTGGTGCTGTGGCCAATCCGCAGCAGACGACTTTAAGCTTCGGCTCCGCAGATAGATCGCAGCAGCGCTAGGGAGTACCATACAGTACAGTACAATACTACAATAATATGACGTTTCGCGCTTTTCGAAAGTGAGCCTGAAAAGAAGCTGAGGAATGAGCGAAATGAAAAGCATCTCATGGCTCCTCAGAGACACTAGATGGAGTCAGTCTTTGAGTACAGCGTGACGTAGAGTGAATGCGCGGAATCAGATTTCATGGCTGGTATCTAGAAAAGAACATGAACAAGGGTCATTAATGGCTCGTGAGTTTATGCAGGAGAAGAACTGAGGAGATGTCTGTGTAGGCCGAAATCTCGTGGAAGGAATCTGAAGCTTCATCGAGAGTTGATTGCGTTGTAATCCAAGAGACGATCGTAATTAAAGATCAAGAGGAGGAAGAGGTTTAGGCAATCAGGGAGAACCTGGAGATAGTAAGTGAAATCCGGGCTCTGGTTGATTTCGGCATCTAGAGGCTGGAAGACACGGAGGATGTTGAAGACGAGTGTGATGCAGTAGAGCGGGAGGATATTCAGGGAGAAGAGGAGGAAAGCAGGCCTTGTCGCCTTGGGGGAATTGTACTTGAAGTAGATGAAAAGAAGTACGAGCAGGATCAGGGCACCAGTGACGATCTGAATCAGGCCACCAGCTTTTCTCAAAGCAAGACCTTGATCGTAGTTGAGCCAGTAGTAGTCGAACTGACGGAGAGCGCCAACAATGTTAAGAGCGGCAACGGCGACGACAAAGATGCGGAATGCCATCATGGCTCGATCTTCCCATCGCCGAATGCTAAACTCTCGCTCATCCAGATCTTGAGGATTGATTGAGCCGAGATCTGATTCGATGTGTCTGGTTTTTGAGAAGGTGCAAGCGTAGGAGCGATCGCCGAGGAGCTGTGCAGCTCTAGATGCCCTTCTAAAAGCGACAAGCACTGAACCGAGGAAAATGAGGAAGAACGTGGTGCCGGCTGCAATGATCGAGTAGGAAGCGGTAAGGAGGGTGACCCAATCCTTTGCTTGTTTGAACGACGAATCTTGCTGCACCGGATGATCATCGACCCAGGCGCGCATCAAGAAGCCGGCGCATCGAAAGCCCGCGAAAAAGAGCAAGCTGACCCATGGAAGCCGGAGTGTTGATTTTCGGCGGAAAGCCTGAAAGGTGTTGTATGCAATGGCGGTGTAGAAGGAGCAAAAGAGGCCGCCAATGACCCAATCCACGACGGCCTTTCCCGTGGGGGGGAGAGCGTAATTGATGTTGCACTCCGAGACAGGAGCGTTGGCAGCGCAGCTCATATCGCTATCTTTACGATCCTTTTCTCGATTTCTCCAACTGGATGCTGGAAGAGATGGAGCGAGACTAAGACAAAGTGGTAACGCGAAAGGGATGAGCTGAACATCAGACGGAGCTTGACCAGCTTCTAGCTTATATGGACCAGAGACACATGCGGCATTGATGCAATGGTTGCTACTGTTGCCTTGCGGTGAGGCAAGGTGCCAGTTGTTGTAGAGAGAGGCAGCGCAGATGAAAGCGGAAGCTTAACCGGCGGATCAGTCGGTACGGCGCCTTGTTCGGCACCTTGATCGGGAGAAAAGGGCCAAAGCGCATCGTTGATCGATCTGTGCTCCAGGTTTGCCTCTACATTGCCACTTGCTTCCATGCACAGAAGACTGCTGTACAGTAAGGCCGATCACGTTCCCATCCTTCTCAGAGAAAAGTCGTAGTGTCGCTGGCACAGTCGGAGTTGATTGGTTGCCGCAACCCGAACTTAGCTAAGCCTGTCTCATACTTGCATCCTGTGCATACCATAGCCTACAGCAGAGGGTACAGCATTGGGCAAGGCTGGACGAACTCGGCTACAATATGCAGAAGTCGCTTGTGCACATATACCTTTTTCCCGCAAGTCGGAGCTGATATGTGAGAAATGCCGATACGACGAGGTGTTTTGCCGCCCGTTTCATGATCGCCGATGATCTGCACTGATGGAAAGCAACAGCAGTCTGATTCTGCGGAGCACGTCTGGCCGCAACAGGACCGTTGGCCGGCTCTAACGGCCTCACATGATCCTGAGCCGTTTCTTCTCTTCCCGCTTCCGCAACTTCTGCATCCGAGTTTGCCCTAGCACCATTCGTCACTTTGGGCAGCATCGCTTGCCCACATCCATCCTTTCCCCGGATCCGAGAGGGGAAGCCACCAAATGGATGCAGTCTCGAACGCATGCACGCCTGTGGTGGTCATCCAAGCATTTCCCTCTTTGCCCTGGACCCCGCAATTCCGGACCACTTTGCGAAGTGTTCGTCCGCAACTGAGGCAACACAGTCCCCCACAGCGAACCCTCAAGCTATCTGGCCACGCTTACTGGCAAGTGTAAAGTACTAATTGTGAAGTAACAAGTGCCTCCTACGATCATCTCCAAGTTTCCGCCGGTACTGTCGTCGGCTTTCGTTTTCAGACGCATTGCTTCAGCCACCGCCGAACTTGCCTGCGGTTGCAAACTCGCTTGTGGTCCATTGATTGATAAGTTGCTTAGCCTCCTCGCCTTGCTTGATATTGCTTTCTGTTATCATGCGAAGAACGTGTCTCACTTGGTGCCACTTCAACCCCCATCTTCCTCCATGATTGTTACCCACGCTTTACTTTTAGTTCGAGTTCATGCTTCTCACCTCGGTTTGGACTCGCTACCTCATTGATCGTCTGTGGCGCACTCACATCTTCCGGACGCTGGCAGTTAACCTGACCTTCGGAACTTCTGAACTTCCATTCCGCTGGATTTGACCCTTGCCTCTACTCACGAGGCCAGTTCCGTATCGTCCTTGCTGAACCTCTGACTTCCTATCACACTCAGATGTGGGTCAACACTTATCCGTGCCGAGAAACAGCGATTGTGTCAACGTGTTCCTCTTCGCTCACGGCACGACGGCTTCAGACAGGTCTCAACGTGCGTATCCACTTGGCTTCACCGTGCCATTTGCGTCCTCTAAAGCTTGATCTGCCTCGTCTTTTGCCCTGAAGGGTCCCTGTCTTGTAACTCTCGCATTAGCTGTTCCTGAGACAAGGAGAGAGATAGACTTAGGCCGCTCGTGCCGTGCCTGGCTAAACTTTGATCGAGACACAAACACTCGACCATTGTCGCCGTGCTTGGCTGATACTCGATAGATACACAAAGCAAGGTGTCTCCAGCCCTTGATGCCTCCCTTGTCGCCAGCGATTTCTGCCACCATACCTTGCGCCACGAACGACGATCCTCATCACCATCACCATCGTCTCCACCTTACATTCGACCGAAAGAACGCCCACAGACCATCATGTCATCTTTACCACCTTCAAAACGGTACAGGACAAAGAAAACCTCACGTCGACAGGTAAGCACATTTGCCCGGGGTCGCTGCAAACCACGAGGTCAGTGCCAAGACTTTCTCGAGCACATCATCCCGTCGGCTTCTCTTGTCAGCTTGGACCGATTCCCTTATCCCCGTCCCCTTCACCTTTCCGCCCGAAAGCTCGCTAGAGACCCTCCCGCTGACACCTGTCACCGTTCCTTGTGCTTGGCACCATCCATTCATCCCACATCACGTGGAATGCGCCAATCCTAGAACGCGGCTTGCGATCAATGCAGAGAACGCAGATCCAAATGCGTACGTTCACAAGACAGCAATTTGGATTCGCTGTCTGAGGCATCTCTGCCCCCCTGCCAGTACTGCCTTGAACGCAACCTCGCCTGCACGTAAGTAGGATGACTTGCACACACGACATGAATGGTGATCATGTTCAAGATCTTTCCCTCAGAGCCAGCTGACACTTGATCGCTTTTACCTCTATACCTGTTATGATAAATGCAGATCCGTGTACGTCGACGAACAGCATGCCAAGAGAAAATGCGTTCAGGAAGCACAGCGACTCTCACTCCCTATTGAGCCTCTCATACTTCAAGCCAGCGTCAACAAGGACTGCTCCTGGACTAGCCTTCTCGAGATCATTTCTTGCATGCCCGCTCCACTCTCTCGTCAGTCCAGTGAGCCTATGCAAGATTGGAGCGTGGAGACCCGATCGCAGTCACCCTCGAACCTGGACCGTGGGCAGCAGGATGACGCAAGTATTGCCAGTCTGGACTTTGCAGACACCCATTCAATCTCGAGCAACAAGAGCTCTATCGCATCCATAGCAAGCACCAGTCAGGCGCCTTCGATCCTTTCGCTTTCTGAAGGGAGCTCCAGCTGGACAGCATTCTTCAATCCGGATGCGTCCACGTCCTCCTTGGCACCAAGCACCGTATCTACGCATCCAATCGCCCAAGTCAACTTGGGTAAGCCACCCACTTGCGTTCGATCGCTCACTCTTCCCTTCATGGGCACAAAGTCCGTAGATGAGAACGCCTCTACTGCAGCAACGGTTGACTCCAGTAGTAAAATTGACGCTTTCAGTTTCGGTGGCGACTTTCTACAGAATGGTACATTCAGCTCTATTGGTTTGGACAGTGAAATCAGCCAGCCAAGCGCATCTGTGCTTTCCAGCTGGAACTTGACAGCGGATAATCAAAATCTTGGTACTCAAGTCAGTCCACCTTCTCTGCCTGAAGCCGCTGCCGAGACATCCTGTGAAGGACAAGCGCTGCCAATCATCTCCTCACACCTTCATACTTCTCCGCAGTGCGAGTCCTCGATCAGCTCGTTGAAGCGAAAGGAGAGGGACGAGAACCATGTGACGAGTAGCCTGGACTTGGCTAGCACTGCTGCTATGTCGTCTCCTATCTGGCAAGACCTTCGCAACATGTGGTGCAACAGTCTTTTGAACTTCCTCGAAAGTCCCGCCACACTCGACGTGGCAAAAGCCGCAACACCAGGCGAGTGCCTTCGGGCTGACCACCAGTCCCCTCTCACCCCTACCACCGCACATGGCGAGCAAACGCCTTCTACCTGTGCTACCTTTTCAACTTCCCCGTTGTCATCTATCTCAGCGCGAAACACTTGCGCCTCTTCGACGTACTCTTCCACCTCCTCTCATGATTCGTCAATGTCGTTCAGGGTCAACCCGCATCTGATCCGCTGCGACTCGAAAGAATTATACAACGCGGCACGAACAGTCTTTAGTCTCTGTCCCGTTTTACCACCCCTCGAGATCCTGGCTAGGCGAGAGTTGCGTCGCTTCAGGTCTTTGCCGGATCATCTCGTGCTAACATTGCTTGCCATTGGGGAGGCATACGGCCGTCCTGATGGGGTGGAGGCCGTCCCCGTCGAAGGCGACCAGGATTTCAAGTGCAGCCATAGCGAAAGATGGTCAGTCTGCAACGACGCAGTGTTGCATCTGGAACGAAAAGTCCGACGCAGCGAGTCGAGCTCGTTGAGCTCCGCAATGGTCGACGATGCCGTGACCATGATCCTCTTTACGCGCTTCTCGCCTTTCTTTCAACAAGGAGCGAAAGAGCGACGAGAAAATCTTGCGCAATGCATCAAGAAGCTCTGCGGCCGGATGACACCAGCGGACCCCTCCCAGGCTGACAGCGGCGCCAAGTTGCTTTCGTCGACAGATAGGCGAACCATCAAGCTCATTTGTGTCGAGCTTGCTGCACGGCAGCTTGCGGCAGAGTTCGGCTCACAAAGAATGGCGCCTTCGTCCGAGACGTGTTCACCACTCTGCGATATCGACCAGATCGAATTCAGCCAGTCTGATTACCCACATTTTAGCAAGGCTGAATTCCTCATCACGGAAACGGAGGAAGGAACGCCCGAGCTTTTCTGTCTAGGCCAGACTTGTGAGGGCGATACGCAGCTCGATGCACATAAGCTTGCAGTCGCTGCCAACGTCCGCCTTGATCTAGTTCGTGTCGCTGTGGATGTCTCTAGAGCCTTGCAACTACTCTCTCTTGATCAGAAAAAAGAGCATCAGATCGAAAGGCTCGGGAGGCTCCGAGAAAGCTTACTTCAGTCCTGCGCTAGAGTGCAATCCCATTGCACCGGATGGAACAATCTTTCCGCGCTTTCCAATCTGGTAATGGCTCTGCGGGCCTTGGCTGAGACAACGTTGGAGCCACACAAACTCGGTGCTCAACCTCGATCCTGCGAAGCCATCATGCTGCGAGAGGTGTGCGCATTCACGACATCGTTCTCTCGCATGACTTACGGCTTGTAACTTTGCCATTTTCAGGATTTATCGTGCGAATAGATACATGCGCATTTTTCAATGGTGAGCGAAGGGGCACGTGATCAATACGCAGAACTTCAGTTTCGTCGCAATGCTTTGATTTCTTCTCCGCTCGCTCTTCCCTCCGCTCGCTCTCCTCTCCTCCTCCTCATCACCTTCTCTTCTCCGCGCTTGCCTCCAGGCTGCGCTTCGTCGAGTTTTTCACCATCCACCCCGCCCTCACACAATATATTCTGCTCTCCCGCACATTAGTTTCTTGTATCGCTTCTTTTGTATTTCGTTCTCGCGCACATTTCGCCTCGCTTACACGCGACGCTCGACCGTCCATGCCCCTTCCGGCCACGGCTGGGAGCTCGCAGGCGACTCACTCGAGTTAGGCAATTTAACATTCCTTTTCTTCAATTCTCAGCTCCAACTATTTTCCACGCGTTATCAAGTGCGATAGTTGAAGATACGTCGGTATTTCTAAAGGCAGACATGTTAGATCGAAGCATTCAGGACCGGAAGGCTGGAATAATACCAATGCCAACGGATGAGATAGATGCAAAGCTCGTGGGAGCACATGCAGCCTACGCTCGTGGACTAATACCAAGACATGCAGGGGGTATGTTGGCAAGGCAACGGTTATGAAAGATGGTCCATAATGCAACTCGAGGAGCGAGCTTAAGCCAGCCGTGAAGGTATATTTACTTCTGTTTTGTAGCCTCTCTTCCCTCGAAATGATAAGTCCTTTTACTTAGACACACTCGACTGTAAAGAGCGCCTGATAGTGGCCTCTGGAGCAGTGTATCTAACTTCAACTGCGATAACTCACCGTTGAATTGTAAATCAATAGCATACAGTATGTATCGATTCTAGACGTGCACAGCTCACGTACAGACTATCTTGGATCCCGCTCCTTGAGATGCCTGAATGAAGTAGCGGGACTTACCGAAGACAAAGACCAAGATTCGTTGAGCTCAGCTATCAAATGCGTCTGAGGCTTTCCACCTGATCGATTGCCATCTGTGTGAACGCAAGATGTGGCGTGGTGAAGAGATCATCATGCGCAGTCTTTGGCAAAGGGATGGTCAGCCACTGACTCTTGGTGTTCTGTACCGCTTCTTGAGCAATCTTCTTCCAGCCATTGTGCTCGCAAAGCTGATTCTTAATTCTCTGAATCCGAGCGCCGTTGCTTAGCGACCGATCTGTTGGAGAAGATTTTCCTGCCTTGACAAGAGTGATCTGCCTTCTGATGCGTAGGTGAGTGGTATCGTACGCAGCCAGCAGACGTGTCGCATCTTTGTAGCAGGCACGGAGATACTCGAACATCTCTTCGTCTTGCATCTGTGCTGGAGCTGATGACAAGATGCTCTTGTCCGCTTGTGTGTTGTTGTGCTTATGCGAAATTGTTTGATCTTGAAGATCGTAGACGCCGACGGGGTGAACTGCATCGAAGAGAAGGACTCCGGTGTAGTCGTTGAGAAGCGACTTTCTCCAGGGCAAATTTCCGCCGCTCACTTGGTGCGCCATCTAAGGAACAGAATGTACGAGGTTGTGATCCCGAAGTGAGCGTTCTGCGTGTTCATCTGAAGCTTGTTGGTCATGACTTACCTCTAGTGCGACACAGCCGCCATACGACCATCCACCGAAGGCCACAGCTGGTTTTCCGTATTTGCGCTGCAAGTTGAGTTCTTCTCGTATCCAACCTTGGTCTTCAAGGTAAGCTAGATACACTGAGGCTGCCTCGCGGACGGACTGGAAAGTCAAAGCTTCAGAGGCCGTAACGACCCCAGTGAGGCCACCTAGCCATGTTTGATTGATCGCAATGACTCTACGGTCCGCATGGAAGCCGAGTCGAGCATAACATGCGCTCATACCCGCCCCCGGATGAATTAAAATCAGCGTTGATAATCTGTCAGCGCGGTCGCAGCTCTGCCTTGAGCCATGCTGAATCTCCAGAACCGTCGGAATATCATGTATAGCAGACATTCTGGAGAGAAGAGCGGGTTTGATCAGTAGTTACATGACAAACTTCCGCTCGGACGCCTCCTTGATCCTCTTATAGTCAACCCTCCAGCGATATCCCGGACTTGTGAAGTAGTTTGAAATTTGACTGGCAAAACGACCTGATCGCGCTGTTGGACATCGCTTCCCTCTGCCGAAGACCACAGAAAATAAAATCATTTGGACTCTACCAATCCGCACGTCGCCTTCGGCTGCCGGCACCCTCGACTCCTTCCGGCTGTCTTGTTGATGAGGCGAGGGCGCATCCTTCGAGTCGAAAAACATATGACCTACTTGAAGAGCCTCAGCAAAGCGAGAGCAGTAGCTAGCCCTTGCGAATGACGGGCGGCCTTAATCAAATACTGCCACTCCTTTGAGACAGATACCATTCTTTTTTCTCGATAACTCTTTCTTGCTATGATCGGGACCTTACCTCATCCCTTCGAAACCTTCCTCGTTAGCATAGTTGGATCACACAGCTCCAAAGAGACAGCTCAGATACCGTCCAAAGCTCTCCATCCCGAGTGCCGCAATCCATACACCATGTTAGACAATAAGGCTTGCTCCGACCCATCTGGGAAGCAGCCTTCCGGCCTTCGAATTGGCATTATCGGTGGCGGTATGTCCGGGATCTGCATGGCCTGTAAGCTCCTAGAAGCTCTTCCTGGCTCCGAGGTCACATTGTTCGAGCTGAACGATCAGCTGGGCGGGACATGGTATACTCATAGATACCCGGGCGTAGCATGCGATTCTCCCAGTCATCTTTACAGTTTTTGGTTCTCTCCGAATCCAGGTAAGCTCTCCCCTCATAAAGCTCAAAGATGCGCAACTTTCTACTTTCGCGAGCGATCCTCTGACTTTCCTGCTCTCTCAATGCTTTGATGCGTCCCTGACTTCCTCTCAGGTTTCAAATCCAAGTTCGCGAGTGGAAACGAAAATTTGACCTACTTGCAAGCCGTAGCTCGGAAGCACGACCTAGATCGCTTTGTGCGTTATAGGACAGAAGTGAAAGCTGCACAATGGGACGCAAAGAAGATGGTTTGGCACACTACTGTCCGCGACCTAGCTGAACCGGTAGGAGCTGAGCCAAAGGAGTACGATTTTGACGTCCTGTAAGTCCGAGATGCTACTTTGTCCAAACTTTTACAGTGCTTTCGCTGAAGCTTTTCGTCTCTAAATGTCAACTTTGCCAACGGCAGCATTTCCTGCGCAGGTGGTCAGCGCAATCCCATCAAGCCTAGCAACATTGTCGATCACTTTGCCGGTCCAGTTTATCACTCAAGCGAGTACCCACGTGATCTTGATCTTGCTTCCAAGAGAGTGGCGGTCGTCGGTACGGGCTCTTCTTCAATTCAGATCGTCCCCGCCCTCACCACTTTTCCAGAGTCACAAAGACCTTCCGAGATCCACGTCTTTCAGAAATCGCCTGGATGGGTCCTGAAGCTGCCCCGAGGACGCTTTTCGTCCACCGTTTGCAAAGCATTCGAGCTTCTGCCCTGGCTGCTTTGGCTCTATCGAGCGGTCCTCCTTATCTATGTAAGTGCTACAGAAGTAGGCAAAGCCTGACGAGAGGTGGCATGTGCTGAAGCCAATTTGCTCCTGGATTATCTTCGACCTGGCAGTACGATATCTTTATTCACTGGCTCTTGCGCAAGGAAGATATGATGCGCTCCTATGCTTTGTCGGCGCTCACAACTCAGATAAACACCGACTCTGTCTTGGAGAACGCTGCGAGCGAGAAATGCTCAGAGTCGGAGTCTGGCTCCAGCGAAGACACCATCTGCATGGGTAAGGATGGCAAAGGCGACATTGACATCGCAAAGCTTGTCGAATCGCTTTCTCCGGAATGGAGTGTCGGCTGCAGGCGTGTGATGGTGTCGGACACTTTCTATCCTGCTCTTCTAAAGAAGGACGTTTTCTTTCATCCCTCTCAGGTGAAATGTGTCTCGAGCCTAGACAAGCGCACTCTGATCACGAGTCAGGGAAACGGCGTTCAAGTAGATGCTGTAATTCTTGCAACGGGATACAACTATCATGGCTGGATTCGACCTTTGCAGATTACAAACGATGTTGGCGAAGAGCTCGTTGATGTTTGGCAAACATCAGAGGTAAGAGGTCGCTACTTTGGCCTCGCTACCTCTGGATTCCCCAATCTCTTTCACCTTTTTGGCCCTGCGAGCAGACCGGGTCAGGGCGCACTTTCAACCATCGCGGAGCTACAGGTAAGTATTGGAACCCCATTTTCTACGTAACTCCTTGAATGAAGACTGAAGAGATTTCTTTTCGCTTCCACGACTTTATGTCACGCTTCAGGCTGGTGAGATCATCTGTTGTATCACCGAGCTGGGCAAACTGCCGCTTAAGAGCTGTATATGCGTCAGCATTGAAGCTGAGAACCGGATGGCGCGCACAATCCACGAAGGCATAGTTGATTCACCCTTCGCACAAAATTGTGGCGGCTGGTACAAGAACCGTAAAGGCTTTCCTTCCACCCTTTGGCCCTTCACTGCTTTTCGATTTTATCGCCTGCTGCGCTCTTTTGATAGGAAGCAGACATGGCTTGTTTCGTCTCCTTCAACTTGTACCTAACTTGACATATGTTGCTTTCTAAGCTGCACTCCTTTTCGAAATGTTACATGAAGACTTAGTGGCTGCATAATGACCAGTAAACGAGAGCACAGACTGCATGAGCACGAAAAAGGAACGAGTAGCCTAGCTCATCGGTTGTTGATACCTCAGTAGGGCTCTGTTGTTATCTGTTGCAAGCCAAGATGTCAGCACGAGAGGGAAGCATCGCAGTTCCTGCAGATAAAGTGCAGAAGCGTCGTAGCGTGTTCGAGGAAGCGGGAACCGACGCACCATGTGACAAACGTGTCAAAGTCAGCTCACGCTCGTCCGATTCCTCTGCAATAGGTTGCGGTCTCGTGAGTTGAGCCTGCTGCTACTTTGCTGGTCCAAGGCTCGGACGCGACCCCAGGGCGAGGCGAGCCGAAGTCGCTTCAGGGCAAGATTTGACGTTGGTGTACAAAGTGATGCGTTGGGCGAAGCGTCAGCTGGACGCAGGAAGCTCGTGGCATCTGCCAGCCTGAACACTTTGTGTGCAGTAGGCAGGTACTGCAGCCGGCAGATCAGACTGTAGTCCGCTAGCGTTCCGCACATTCCTGAGCCTGGAGATACCATGGGTCAAGGGAGGCAAATAAGAACGTCGACTTGCTTGTGAAGCTGTCCATAGTCCTGGCTAATGATACACTCACCTATATCTCGTACCAACAGACAGAATGAAAGAGACTCAGCCCATAGCTCTCTTTCTCCATGTAAGTCATTGTCGGCCACGCACATCTCGATTGAGCTGATTAGAACTGACGCTGTTGTTGTATTCTCAGGGTTGGGGATCAAGACCTCAGGTTTTCGAAGTGCAGCTCAGGACACTAGTCAAGCCGCTTCGAGATCTTGGGTACAAGGTTGTGTTCGCTCAAGCACCATGCTCGCTTTGGATGGGAAAGCTGGGTAAGAGATCCAGGATGATGTTGGTACAGACTTGACAGCGTAGAGCGCCAAAGGCTGACGTATTTTCGATGACTTGATGACTTTCGTGATTCTGCAGACGTCGTTCGAACATTTGGAGGGCCATACTTCGGCTGGTACCAGAAAGAGACAAAGGAAACGATTCAACGTGCCATTGCTTTCGTCCATGGCCAGCAAGACCTGACCGAAGTGAGCGCCATCGTAGGTTTCTCACAAGGTGCCACACTGGGCCTTATCATAGCTTCACTATTGGAACATGACGAGCTCAAAGGTTGGCTGCCCGGAGTCGTGGCTGGATCTCCGGAGTGGCAGCCTGTGGATCCCGTCGCTGTCGACTCGCTCAGTTGGACGCCAGATGGTGAGTACAAAGTGGACTTGTCGGCTCGACCTGAGCTCGGCGCAATGCAAAGGAGCTGGACAGCGTCGACTGTGTCATCTTCTGCCGTAACCACTGGCAGCTCTAGTATGGCTGATGGGTTCAGCTGGAGTGCTGGTGACTCCACCGCCGACAGTCTGAGTACTAGCCCTAGCTCGTCAGAGGCCGCTCTCCCCCTGAGGCGCTCAAATAAGCACAAGTTACGCTTCGTTGTTGCTCTTTGCCCCATCAGTACGGCCTGGAGTCCCAGCAACACTGACTTGGCGAGCTGTCGATTCGAGGATAGGAAGAAAGAGTGGCTACCAACCGTTCCAGCCTTCTTCAGCGTTGGCGAAATGGATCGATACAAGTCACATTCAATTAAGATGGCGGACAGAGTTCGGGGAGATTCTCCAAAGCATCGCGTTGCAACGTACGCGTTCGGCCACGAGGTGCCTCGATCGGTGGAAGCAACAGGCAGCCTTGTCCAATTCGTCAAGACATACAGCCCGGCACCGGCGATCTTGAAGAGAACAGCGACGTTTCCCGGACTGACAGCACATTACGAGTAGAGCAACGGCAAACCTTCTGCCGACTCGGACCTTGTTGTCTCCTATCTCCTGTTCCCTGCTGAATCTCGATGTCTCAGATCTTGTTGCAGTGCTCTTTATTTGTCGCTTTCTTTGCGTGTGTGCATGTGTGGGGTCGACCTTCTACGCTTTAGTTGAAGATGCGTCGGCATCCCAACGGGATTCACGGGGTCCGCGGAGCACAAGCGAGACATCGATAAAGCGGAGCTGCATATAGACGGCATGCATGTGGGATGTATAAGCGTTGCCATAGCAACACTCAGGAGTAATTCAGGAGGCGACAACTCAGGGGTGATATGGGGAGTGGCTCATCACAGTCCAGCATGTATTGGAGGCGATGATCAAGTATATATATGCTCACATACATAGCATCCATTGATAGAAATGATAAGCATTTGAGAAGTCATACGCCTGAGATCAAGAGCTTGTTAGTAGCTCAAGGCAGCGTACCGGACTTTGTAATCTTCAATTGCTTTAAAGCAAAGCAAACAACAAGCTCAGAAGGACATTTGTCGGTCAAGAAAAAGAAAAGCACAAGAAATTGGGACCAAAAAAGGGTTTCTCCAAAATGTTCAAAGAAATCAACGGTATCGCCTTTGACAACGCGTGAAAATTGTTGGAAAAGGAGGCTGAGAAATTGAGGAAAAAAGGAATGTTAAATTGCCTAACTCAAGTGAGCGTTGGTCACGTGCCCGTTCGCTCACCATTTTTAAAATTGCGCATCTATCCATTCGCACGATAATCCTTAATATTACACGTCTGTTTGGACTGTCCTTGTGCGTGTGCGTGAAGGCAAGCTTTAGTCGATGCGAGGGTAGATTCTGACCATCAACGGCTTCTTCATAGGTAAGGTGAGCGTATTCTCGACCTCGGGCTCATGATGGCAGCCTAGATCTGACTCGAGTTGCAAATCGAATTGACTAAAAATCCTGGTCAGCATGTACATGCCCTGAAATTGCGCCAGTTGGATCCCAAGACAGGCCCGTGGACCACCCTGTTCAAGTCAAACAAGATTGAACAAGTGGTTAGAAGTACCGAAGGATACGAGCTACAGCGCTTGTCAGCACTTACATTGAAGGCATGAAACTTCCATGGACTCTGGTTGACAAACACGCCTTTGCTGTCAAGCCAGCGGTGAGGTTTCCATTCTGACGCATCTTCTCCCCAGACGTCCTTGCTCCTGGCAAGCAACCAATCGGACCAGATGACAGTGGTGCCCTTCGGAACGAAAACACCGCCGGGAAGAATGTCATCATCCAGAGCCACTTTAGATGAACGGGGCACCGAAGGATGAAGACGCAAGGATTCGTGGTAGATAGCGCGGGCTTGGTGGAGCTGCTTGGTGTGACCAAACTCGAAGGTGCTGCTTCTCTCTGCTGGAAAGTCGTTGAAATGCATACTCTCGATACCTTGTGGAGTGTCAAATAGGATCTCATTGACGCTGATTTCTTCTCGCAGATTTCGGATGGCAGAAGGATGTCGGAGCAGCTCAAAGGTTGCCCAGGAAAGACTTTCCGCCGTAGTGTCTCGACCAGCAAGGAGGTAGTTCAGAAGCGCGTCTCGAAGCTGTCGATGGCTGAGGGGCTCTTGTTGCTCGTCACGGTAGGCGAGAAAGAGGCCGAGTAAGTCTGGGCGTGTATTTGATGACTCGTCGCTGCTTCTCCGCTCAATAAGAGGGAAAAGACAGTTGTCGATCTTGCGAATGGCGCCCTGAAGCTTCTTCTCTTCTGAGCTCCAATGACGATTCAGCTTCCACCACGGACGATTGATGCGGCGCACACTGAGCTGCTGCGCAAGATCAAACGCCTCAGCAAAGGAAAGATGGGATGCTGATGCTTCCATGTCTGCTGGACAGTCAGCCGACTGAACCGAGTCAAGGTCGGTGGAAAAGGCAATGTTGAGGAAAGTGTGAATAGTGAAGTCGAAAAAGGCGCTCTGAAGATCGACAGGTTCGGCTTTGTCAGATGCTTGTTGTAGGAGAGCGCAAAAGCGTTCCGACTGTGCATCGAGGACGTGCGAGACGAGATTCTTGAGATTCGAAGTCGTCATGATATTGGATCCGACCTTTCTCTGAGCTTTCCAGGTGTTTCCATCGGCGTTGAAAATGCCGTCTCCTAGAAGGTCATGGAGGCAAGCACGCAGCTTCGGACCTTTGACGTAGTTGGCAAAGTTGGCTGTTTCTCACAAACCACATTAGAAGGTTCATAGTCAGCGCTCGGTCTGCTGGCAACAGGCCTCGAAGGGATTGCTTACTTTTCTGAATATGCTGAATCCAATCGGGTCTGGTGACATTGATGGCCCTCCCCATACCGATTACGGTCATTGTGTTTGCTATGCACGCAAGAAGAATGAAGAGAGCAGTCAGCGCTTGCAATATTCCTCAAATCATTGGAGCCATAGGATAGGGAACCCACGCAGGCCATATTGCATTGATCTGGCAAGCATAGCTTGAAGCGGATTCGCAGCATCTTTCAAGACCTGAAGCGTGTTTCCGATGCTGCAAAAGGAAGCGCGAGGTAGGATATCAGCATCTTTCCATGCACTTGGACAAGGACTCAGCTCTCTAGAACTTACAGCGGTAGACCAGGTGGTCCCTTGATATGGTCGCATTGCGAGACAAAAATGGGTCGATCTCGATAGACAAAGCCAAGTAGCAAGATCGCCACCCCCAAGATGACGTGAACCTCAGGCAGCTGCCAGGAGCAAAGTAAAAACGACATGGCGGTTGATAGAAGCTTCTTGATGGTATGCAAGTGGTTTTGCAAGCGCTCGACACTAGTCTATTGAGAGAGCACAACTAAGAGATGAGACCAGGCTACCCTTTCTACGATGGCCATTTTGAGGATGGCGGGTGCATTGCAAGTATTACACTTACGCGGTGTGGGTTGCTTGGACACGTCTTCTGCTGCTGCTGATGCTGCTCCTTCAGCCTCGCAAATGAAGCGGAAGCGGGAAGCGAAAGTCCCAGCATGCAGAGTGCCGGTCGACAGTGCCAGAAGGCTCTCACGTCCAGCAAGGCCAGAGTTTGCCGGCGGAATTCTTGATTGCAGTCTGCCGAAAGTCAAGGGTCTAGACAGGACTTTTAAGACTGTCTTGTCGCTACCGGAAGAGCGTTGGCCGTGCATCCAACACAGCTTCTGTGTACACACTCTAGTGACCTCGGCTCTGCACCAGTAAGTGTCTTTCCTCCAAGGGACTTTGCATGTTGCGTTTGCAGCAACCCTAGGGTTAGGCTTAACTTCCCTTGGTCTCGCTTGCCTTATCCTCCTCTTCTTCGGATCAGACAGCCTCGCTGTTTCACCCTTGGACGACGTCCAGCCGAACTCACATCCTCATACACACCGCTTTTCACATCTTTGCTCATCTTGTACTCACCACCATCATCTCCACCGCCGTTGCACTAGACACGATCAACTCTAATATCGATTGCGCCATGCAGTCGCTCGTGGAACACTACAAGCACAAGGCTGATACACGCGACGACAAGCGTCGATTGGACTCAATTCAGTCGTCGTCGACAACGCCTCCCTCCTCCTCTCCTGCTTTGGCGTCGCAGGAGTATGATCCACTCGTCGACCAACATGAGGAAGAGCTGCGCAACGACGCATATCAAGCTTTTCAAAAGCTTCCCAACTATTTTCCGGACCCCCCTGCTGTCCTCCCTCCTCCTCTGCAAAAGGCCGTCTTCATACCTCAACGAAGGCTTGGTGACCGCCTACGCGGATTCCAGCTCCTCTATGCCCCCGATCTATCAAAGAGTGATATCTCGGAGCAAATTTTCATCACCTTTCTCAACAGACTCAATGTCGCGATTGGCTTCGACAACAAGATCAAAATCTTCAACTTTGCCGTCGACGTTGGAACGATTGCATGCAGCTCTTGGGAGCTGCTTGTAGCTACAATTGGAACACAGGCGCTCACTACGACAGCAGCGTATGTCAAGAGCCGCGCAAAGAGTGAAGCATACGTCGCTCACGCAAATGAGAGGCTCTTCCATCCACGTGGTCTTCATGCTCAAATCGTGCCGGTCTCGAGTGTCTATCCATCCTTTCCTCTGCCACAAGATCAAGACCGACAGTTTGAGTGGGCAGCTGAGATGCACAGCAGCTTTCAATTCTCACTGGGCTCCCCCAACGTCCTCCCGGAAAGCGACCCGAAGGCCAAGGGCGGCCTTTTCAATCTCAACAAGCGACCCATCGAGTATGACCCCTTTGACTATGGTCCCGGCTATGTGAGGATCTCTCCTCAGGATTACGCTCCACTTCGACCCTCCCAGTTCAAAGAGCCCGCCAACTCTCTTGTTGATAAAGTGGCCGAGAAAGTCGAGAACTACAACGTGTGGCAAGATCGACTTCCAGCTAAGAAGTATGCTCGCAAGCAGACCAGACGCCAAGAGACCATTGACAAGTTACGCAGTCAAGAAGGTGAACCTGGCGTTCTCCGTTTCCTGCAGAAAGAAGAGCAGGAGCATCAACAAGAGCTCAATAAAGACAAAAACACCTTTAATCGGTTCTTGGACCGCAACAAGGTCATTCTCATCATCACTAACCTTGACGATGAAGCACGAGCAAAGATGCAATGCACTCTTGCCAATGCTCATCGCTGAAGTGCCATCCGTCCTTGGGTCGAGCAAATGTCGCTACATCATACCTTTCTAATGCATCCACGTCTTTGTTTCCTCTTTCCGATAAAGTTGACATCTGCCGAGTGTGTCTGTGACATGTTTTAAGACCTCTTGAGCCCGGCGTGTACCAATGACGTTGTCCAATCCCCGGCTGTTCTTGTCTTGCTATTCCCTGTCATGGTCTGCACAAGTCTGAAGAGGCGGGCTGCGAGCTTTGCGACTTCCTTTTCTCGCTTCCCGGACCCCGCTAGTGCAAGCTGGCTGCCGTACCCGTTTCAATCGCTTCGCCGCACTGTAATCATTCGCGAGCTCCTACCTGCGCAGGGTGGTGTTTTGTGTCCTTGGCCAGATGCCAATTGTCATTGCTGCCAAGATCACAAGGGGAATATTCGATTTGGGCTGATCCTTTGGCGTCTAACATCATTCCCAAATATCTACTTCATCCAACCATCTACAGGGTCAAGCTCATGCACTTATCGTACAGCACACAAAAGTACCATCTGACGTTCTTCTGTTCGGAGCATTCACTTCGCCAGCATGCCAAGTGAAGATTTCTCACTCTTCTCTTCAAAGGAGCTCGAAACGCTGCTCGGACAAATATATGAACCATTGACTCAGTGTAAGTAAGATTGTATCTGTGGTGTTGAAAAACTGAATGACTCTGATCTGATGGATTGAAATCTGAATAGGGGCAAAGGCAGGAGAACAACATGGAGCACCAGCGCATCCAAATCCGCAAGCAGCACCCATCAAGCTCTTATTGGAGGAAGAGGGTTGTTCTCGACAAGGTAAGTCGGAACATTGGATGATTAAAACCTTGATGGATCGATTGACCTTACTTCCACGGTATGCTACCTGCAGAAATCTTACAGGAAGTCGAGGAGGCGCTACGACGAAGCGTCAACCCATGGACAGTAAGTATTGCGTTTGAATGGTGACATACCAGGCAAGAGCTTTAGCAACGGTACTGATCTACATGGTATGTAAAAAAATGTTTCTATGACTTCAGGGTCGCTTCTGGGAAAAGGTAAGAGGCTACACGGACGCACAGGTCATCGTCTGGTTCTTCAGCTAATCCCTGGTATATCATTGTCTCAATAGCTGTACAGCAGACCTGACCCCGTTGGAATCGCCGGCGACATCGTGGTAGCATGTTCGAATGCCAGCGGCCATGTGGAGTCGGCCAACCCGTACTTTGCTCGTGTCGAGACCTTTTGCGTCCGAGAGCTGGCCAAAGTCTTTGGCATGGATCCGGTAAGTATGCAGCCTCTTAGATTCACTGTATTGCTCACTGAGTGCATGGCAGCGAATGGTGTCTGACTACTCCCCAAAAGTACTGTCCTACAGGACCTCTCCGACGGCGTGACCATGCCAGGGGGTAGCGCCTCCAATACGCTCGCTCTCCAGACTTGTCTTGTTTCGCGATTTCCGTCTTTTAGGACTGAGGGAGTTGCAGGCCTGTACTCTGACTTGCAGAGGCATGATTCAATTGCTTCTTGTGCGCCTAGCGAGCGTTGGACTGGACATGAACCTAGATCCGTCAAGAAGGTTCTGGTCTTTGCTAGCGAGCATTGCCATTATTCGTAAGGATTTTCGAAAGGATCTCTGGCTATATTGGTACTCGATAGGCTGACGTTTGTTTGTTTGTTTTACATTTGCTCGTGACAGGATCGAGCAATCTGCGGTAGCTTGTGGATTGGGAAGCAGCTCTGTGATCAAAGTTGCTGGTGACGAGGGTGGAAAGATGTCAGTCGACTGCCTTGCACAAGCGGTGCAGAGCTCCCTGGAAGGCGGTGATGCCCCTCTCTTCGTGTGCGCTACCGCAGGAACGACGGTACTAGGAGCCTTCGATGACATCAGGGCCATCTCATCAGTCTGCAAAGAGTATGGTCTCTGGCTCCATATTGATGCCTCCTGGGGTGGCCCTGCTATCTTTTGCCCGACAATGCGTGCTCTGTTTGCCAAGAGCCATTGTGCCCAAACAATCACGATCAATCCGCACAAGTTGCTTGGGATTCCCCATCAATGCAGCTTCCTTCTGTTCCAGAACAGGGGACTGACTTCGCAGCTCAAAGTCGAGGCTCCTTATCTCTTTCATTCTGTATCGAAAGCGAATCTCGCCGCCGGATTCGACCATGCCACCAAGACGCTGGGATGCGGTCGAAGGCCAGACGCATTCAAATTCTACTTGGCGTGGAAGAGGCATGGCTCAAAGGGGTTTGGAGAGCGCATTACCCAAGCGCTTGTACAAGCTGAAGATCTCCGCGGGTACATTCTGCTCCACAGAGACTCGTTAGCGCTTGAGCTTGGTCCCGTTCCATCTCCGCCTTTTCTTCAAGTATGCTTCCGACCGCTTGCTCCAGTCAAGTCGCCGGCTGCTCTGGCTAATGGGCTGTCTGAGCAGCAGCTGCTTGATGCTTGCGTCCTGCAAGTACATTGCTCCTTCCAGCATACGCGATTCGCGGTCGACTTTGCTCCGCTCCCACAGGTTGGTCGCCTATACATACGGTAGGTATCAAGCCCAACAAGATATCTGGCGTTTAGATACTGTATTAGTTAACCGAGTCTCTTCTACTGCTTGTTCTGGGTTTCATACTATAGGCTCGTTGTCCACCCGTATGCCAATTGGGAAGATCTCACTCAACTTGTTGCCCATGTTGGGGACGAAGGAAAGCGCTTTTGGGAAGCTCGAAAGTGCTGAAGATTACGATCCAGTGTGGCGCTAAATGACGACGCGAAGCCGATCTGATCGGAGATCAGGCAGAGCCGATCCGGTCAGAGGACCGATCTGATCACGTTGGCCGCACGCAGGTCAACTGTAAATTGCTGCGCCATCTGTGCAAGTCTTTTTGCTTCAATACCATCATCATCATCATCTCTCTCTCTCGCATTGCTGTCTTTTGGTCATCCAACCGTCCATTACCTCTCGACTTGGCTTACTGTTACTCGATTAGGATTAGGATTAGGTCAATTCCGACTGCGATTGCAATGCCACTGCCATCACCCTTTCAAGCTCTGGATCCAGCGTCAGGGCCAAGCAGCGAGTCTTGTTCACAATCTCCCCAACCACCTTCATCTCTGTTGACACCAGAACAGCATTTATGACGCATCTTGAGTTCGTATACAACCAACGCATCTGCCAGTGTAAAGAGCTGGTTCAGCAACGCTGCTGTCGCCTTTGAGGAGAAGAAGATCGACTTTTGGACATGCTCGGTGCACCTCGAAGGCTTCTTCCACCTCCCTTACTATGATGACCTCATCCACGAGCTCATTCTGAACGTTAGCTTACTTCTGAATGCCTTTGTCCATGATGTCTTGGACACCTCCCAAAACCCCGCCGTCATCCGTAATCGAGTGAGCGCCGAGACGCTCTTCAGACATCTCGATCAGCCGATGCATCTCGATATGCCCGAACTCCTTCTCGAGACCTTTCTGCGCTGCGCCCATCAATCCAACCCCATTCGCCACGCCTCTTCCTTGCCCACAACTATCATGACTACACCTAGTGCTTACTTCAATCAACACTTCTACGGTCCCAGTCTCTCGCTCCTCCAAGGCCACATCACCGTTCACAATGGCTTCTTTCCCACCACTGGCCACCATGCCACCTTGGCTGAACCCATTCACTCGAACAAAGACAAGGCAGAGGAGTATCCTGAGTCTGAGTTGCCCGCCCTGGATTGGAGAAAGTACTATAGCAAAGTGCTTCCCATTCTTCAGTCATCCGGCTTTGGCAAGACCCGGATGTGTGTGCAACTGAGCACCATCAGTCCTGATATGCTCATTTGCCTTCACCACAAGACCCAAGCTGATGACAAACAACACCAAGAGTCCTTTCCACCCCAAGACTCACTCATCTTTGAGTACTTTCAGCGTTGCAAGAATCGTATCTTCAACACTGAGTTTCCAACAACCCCAGAAGATCATGAGCACTTCAACCAAGCCCATCTAGGCATACTCACCTGGCTTGCTATCTATTGCAAAACCATCGCCTTCTACCTCGAGCAGCTCAAACGAAATGCCCACGATTGCTTTGGCACCCCTCGCCGATGCGATTCCGATCCATGCCTATGCTGGCAGACTATTGTCTATCAACTCGCTGTGGCTATTTACTTGCCCTCTTCCGGATTCCTTTCCCACAAGCTCTTCGAACAGCCTCAAACCTGTCCTCGCATCTGTCTTGTACAAGATCTTTCGGATCTGCTTAGCAGCACCGACACCACTACCACCACCTCCACTCCCACAGAGCAACCAACAAAACAAAGCAAGGCCAAGCTGTATGCACCTATGCAAACTCCACCGCAGCTCTTCGGCACTCGCAGGCTACGCAGTGTCATGCTTGAATACATTTGCAAGTCTGCCACTGAACTGGACCAAGACATGTGCATACAGCTCGCAGGGTGTCTCAAAGAGCCTGAACTGCTTGTCATGGCGATAAAAGAGTATCTCAAGCTGCATCTTGATTGACTTGAGCAATTGGCACCAGAAAAGACAGTGAAGCCTTTCTTCTTCATCGCATTGGATGAGTGCAGTTCCATGCCCGATCTCCTTCTGATCATACATCAAGTCTGGTTCCATGCCTTGCCCATGTTGATGTGGATTCTTCTCATTGACACCAACTCTGTTCTGGCACTGCTTGCTGGCGACACCACTCGCAAAGGCTCGCGACGCACCCACGATGGCAGCATGCATCGCCTCACCCAACCTTTCTCGCTCATGCCCCTCGATGTCAACTTTACCAAGCAACAATGCCAAAAGCTCTTTGCCGATGTCCCCACCTTTACACTCTGGAAGCTCAATCAGCTGCTTCTGATGCTAGGTAGGCCCTTGTGGTATGACAAGCTTTATCACAGCGAGCAGGGGGTAATATATCTGTGCACCATCATTGACAAGCTCATCTACCCTGCTGGGTGGAAATGGGATCTCCATACATCTTGGATGCATCACAACGAAATCAATCAAAACCTCTTGGCATTGGTCTCGCAGCACATCTATCTCGAGGTCTCCAGTCGATCCAATCCCAAGTCATGGTATGAATTTATTCAGAACCAGATTGGACAGCATCTACGCTTCATAGGCCATATCTACACTGCCTCCAACTCCATCATCACCAACACACCAAGCGAGCCACCTCTCAGTGCCGCAGTTGCCTGGTTCTTTCGCTGTGAACCCAAGGAGACACTTCGCAAGTGGGGAAAGGTCATCCAGGCCCTTGTCCATGCCAATGAGTCTGTTGGCTTCAACCTCGGCGCCAAGGGCGAGCATGGCATTGCTGTGCTCTGCACCATGGCTATTGATGTCACTGCCTCGCAAATCTACTTGGACGTTTTGAAGCAATCTCTTTTGCCCTCTCCCAGCACCTCGAGCATCTATGCTGCTGTCTTTGGCCTCGTCCCAGTCCATAGATGGCTCAAATCGCTCATCGGAGGTCAAATACATCATGCTGCCTCCTTGTTCCCTCCGTCAATGACTCATGTCGGCTCTGGCGAGGACGACAGCCACGTCAGCGATGCGATGGAGGAGGACTCTGTTGCATCCTCCAGCGCAGACTTGGAATTTGAATCGATCAGTCCCAACTCTGCCTTTGCTGCAGCAGGCACGATGGATGAGACATCTGCACTGTGGTGATGGGCTGACCGTGCCTGGCTCAACTTCAAGCATATTGTTTGGTTGGAAGATCAGGTGATTGCACAGAAAGTCTTGGACGCAGAAGAGCTTGTCCAGCTCTGGTTCCGACAGGCTGCGGCACAAGGCATCTCAAACCAACCTGGTTGGGACTTGCTCATCCCTGTCTATGAATCAAACACCAACGAAGCGCCCGGCGATGCTGAGATGTTCGACAAGGCGAAGCTGTCGTACATTGCCATTCAGGTCAAGAATTGCATCAGGCGGCCGAGCAAGGCGGTGAGGGATGGTGAGGTGGGGCCTCGTTTGGCGATGGCCCAAGGCAAGCAAAAGGAATGCCTCGAGCTCTTCTTTGACCTCAAAGGGTGCCACGATCAGCAGCAAGGTCACATGTACTCGCAGCGACGGCACCCGCAACCAAAGACGGACACACCTCTAACGCAAGCCGACCAGCGAGCATGTCAGCTGCTGCGTCACCACCTCTACATCGCGGGGCAAGACAGCGCAACATTTCCGCAGCTCAATTGGCTCCCCAGTCCGGCCAAGGAGCAGGTGGCATTGCTCTTTGGCGGTGCTGACTCAGTTGAGACGGTTGATTTCGACCAGATGCAGGCAAGATATGTGCGCGACCAGAAGAGTCAGAGTGAACAAGATGCATGGGACGAGGCACAGGTGCGGATCCATGGCGCACTTGTCAGTATGCGACTGACAACAAAAGGGCTCAGGGCTCGTAGAAAGCAATGCCTGGCATAGCAAGGCCGTATGCTTCGTCCTTCAGTCTCTCCCTTTGTTAAAGAATGTGCATCAAAATTGTGGTGAATGCAGATGTCGATTCTAATAGACCATACAGAACTAGGTACTGCTGAAGATAACCATCCAGCAGGACACAAAGAGTGACATGTGCTGAGGGGAATGATCCAATATGATAACATGTGATGACATAGAAAGAATTGGGACACGGAGGAGATCTACATGAAGATTGGGTACAGTTGAAGCACGTGGTGCCTTGGTGACTGAAGCATGTATATGCAGCCTTTGCCAAGCCCACATTGTCACCGACCTTCATATGTGTTTCCTTTTGTCCAATAGGATGCAAGCTGAGTTTCGTGTCCCAATCACAGTTAAAGTATATAAAAGCTACACAAAGCATAGAGACAGTGAAGGTAGTGCTTACAGCCGAGTAAAAGGCCTGAGCATCTGAGCACAGACCACATGTGTCACAACCTACTCAAGACAAATGCTTTGTTATGTCCCACAGTCAATGCAGCTCTCTGCCACTCTTCTTTTGTATATATAGACTCCTTCTCTCTCCTCGTTCTCTCTCTCTCCCTACCATCATCATCAATCACATGAAAACTTTAACTGGCTCCCAACATGGGGCTCGAACCCATGACATTCAACATCAATAGTCTGACAATAAGCATAATGCCGCCATCGACATGAGCAGGACAGACAGGAAGGGAGGAGAGAGATGATGATCAAGCAGCCGCGACTGCAGGCAATGGTCAGGAGGAGGGTTGGCTTATGCAGGTGGTCAGGATACTACAGTTGGCAAACCCGGCGCTGACAGCAGAGGAGGCAATTGTATGGCCGATGGGTCTTGTCAGCATTAGCAATCAAGCTCCAAGAGGGGAGGCAGAGAAGATTCCCAAGGACATCTCAAGTGCCATTGCACACATTAAGAAACTTAGTGATAACAACTGGCACACCTGGGAGCCCACCTTTATCGACTGTCTGCAACGGGTGTGTAATGCAAAGGAAATCTTATATGGCGAAATAGCACCTGGAAGCGAGGGATATGATGAGGACCTGTGTCAGGGGTCTCGTGCCTGAAACCCAGGTCGGTCTGTCGAGATACTCGGTGACTATCAAACTGTGCGACAGCTATTGTCTGGGTATTGGTGACTATCAAGTTGTGCAGTGACAACAGGTGGCATTCGTTGTATATACTATCATAGGTTTCGGCTGACCTCTGTGGACACTCCGTTCAGGGGTAGCTCGGCACAATCAATATCAATGTTATGATGACACCAAGGTCTGGTGTGAGTGTTGATGATGATGAGGTTGATGGTGTTGGTGATGAGATTGGTGATGTCGATGATAATGAGGTTGATGGTGTTGGTGATAAGGTTGGTGGCATCAACACAAGTGTCCAGTGTGTTGACTTGATGCTTGAAGTGATCCCCGGACCGCAGTGGACTACTGCCTTCGGTTCTATCTTGATCCGGACCGCTAACCTGCTATGGGTGCCTTCGGACGTCAGGTAGTGGTGATACAACACACACACTACAATGAGGAGCAACCTTTGATGGATTGCTGCTATGCTGACTGAAACTAATATATACTTATGCTGAAGTGATAACTAGTTATGGTGAGTAGAGTGGATGAGGATCCACTCAACCTATGATGATGAGAAAGCATGGTTATATACCTCTACTCAGCATCGCCAGCGATGCTGCTCCTGCTCTCTCTCTCCAGAGAGTACCTTCTTCATTGAGTACTGCTCAGGGGCCTCTCCTGCTTGGCACCCCTGTGCCTCTTGAGCTGTGTCGACTCCTTCGACACTGCTCCTCCTCCTCATGACCTGATGTCAACTCCTTCGACACTGCTCCTCCTCCTCATGACCTGATGTCAACTCCTTCAACACTGCTCCTCCTCCTCATGACCTGGTGTCGACTCCTTCGACACTGCTCCTCCTCCTTTGATCAGTGACAGTTCCTTTGGCTCTTGTCTCTCGAGCCCCTGAGTGGTAACCATCTGCATGCTCCTTGAGCTTGGTCCTCTTCGTGGCTGTGCCTGCTCCTTGAGCTTGGTCCTCCTCATGGCTGTGCTTGGCCCTCCTTTGCATGTGAGTCCATAGGAGTCCATGGTCTCCATGGAGACTGCACTACGACCATGTTCTCTACTGATCTCGACTAGATCTTCGATACCTGTGCTCCTTCCATATGAACCCATGACCCTCCTGCTTCTTGAGCATCCAGGCCCATGACACTCGGTTCAATTAGTGAATGGACCAAGGTTGTACATTGCTTTGTAGAGGGTACCAACACATTCAATCATGATAGACAATGGTGAGATAATCTGTTCTTCATCATTGTCATCCATTGCATACTTCAGTAAGTGACCAGTCTTTGGAGCACTTGGTGTACCATAGACTTCATTGATCATAATCTGGTTGAACTGGTTCTGTACTATCATAGGCAGTTGTGGTAGGAGATCCTGCATGGGATTGATGAAGTTGTCATAGGTCAAGTAGTCTAAGTTAGACATTGTTGAAGGTGTGTTCAAGGATGTGGTAGGGCTGTTTGGGCTCATAACCTGTTGCAAGTAAAGAAGTTTTATGGTCCTGATACTGGTGATCAGGGATAGTTTAAGTACAATGTCACTACTTTGTTACAGCAGAAACATATACTAAATTGACTAAGAGAATGTGGCAAGAGCCTAGTGCTCTCTGCTCAATATATATACAAAAGTGTGGCACATGCCAAGTGTGAGAGTCTCTATAGTTAATGACCCAGCCTGACAATGAGCAGGACTTGGTTGTTCCCAATCCTTAACAAGATCAGTTATCCCCAATCTCCGATCTCGTCATCTTTGCATCACCCATTAGTGTTGTCACTGGATTGTGTCCTTCAACATACATGTGTCACTTCATTCCACATATGCACATACAGACCATCAGTAGAAGCATATATACCTGGCATTGCTTTGGAACTAGTCTTCTCCTAGAATAATGATTTTGCTATCTACTTTGCCACCCTCGCTTGTGCATTCCTCAGCATTGTCAATCCAGATCCATACACTGTTTTTTGCATTGAGCTGTGCCATTATCATCATCTGTTGCTGCTGATGGTGGTGGATTGGACGCTCCAGTCGCCGAGATCAAGGGCAGCGCAGGCTGGACGCGATCGTTCCAAATCGGATTGGACACCCCATTGAACTTCTCGAAGGTGGGTATCATGGCAAGAGTGGTCAAGATTTGCTCAAAGATGGCTCGGATCTTCAAAACGTCGAGGCAAGGATAGGCGTGCTTGTTGGTCACACCTCGGATGCAGAGTCGAGGGCATTCAGTGCCATTGATCGTCTGCACACGTGGGCGGAATCCTTTAGGTTTGCTGGCAAATGGTGTTGAGGTGCCCAGGTCAAGCAGAACGCAGAGCAGAGCCCTTTCGGTGAGTGGCTTTTCACCCGGCGGTGCATGCGAGGCACGCATGATCGATGGTCCAGCGAGCTTGAGCATTACATCCGGCTTACCTGATCCGGCTCCTGGCTGCGGTTCGTCGCGATTCTTGGCTTCCCATGCAACGTAGGTCATGTAGCATGCGGCGTGCATCTCGATGCTGGTGGCAGCATCATCCTGCATGCCAGTGGGAGTAACAAAGGGCCGATCGAGGTTGCCCATAAAGACGGGGAGGATGCCATCGATGCCATGCTGCGAGTGTGCCATTTGCAGTCCAACTCCACGCTTCCAACAGTACCACAGGTATTCGGGAGAGATCTCGGTGATATGTTCGGGCAGCACATCAAAATGCGTAAAGTTGGTCCACGCCACTGTTGATGCTGCTGCTGCCGATGTTCCAGCCGGTGGTCGTTGCAGTGCCGGATGGGTGGACGAGCCGTCCTGCTGCACTCTTTCAACGCGTTGGCGCAATTGGTTAGCGTTGGTCTTGTCGAGGTTAGCAAGCTCTGAAAGGATGGTTTCGAGAGGCACTGCGTGGGTCAGCACCTTGACATGCTCCGATGTTTTCTGTTGCTTGAGCGCGTCCAGCTCTTTGCGCTTTGCTGCGTCCCAGGCGACAACCAAGGCCATGCGCGAGGCTAGCTCTCCATACATCCCCTTGAATCCGGCGATTGCCGAGTCCACAAGGCATCGGCCTTGGAAGTTTCCCATGATGGAGCCATACATGTCGACTGGCTTCGACCCAACATTTTTTGCGCCAGTGCACAACATGATGAGCGAGGCAGCGATTGCCAGCACAGGTTCCGACGGAGAATTGACATACATGGTGGCATCGTTAGATATGTGGCTCACCATACGCATGTGCCGGTCCACGGTCTTGTCCATGAAGAGCTTTTGCTCGCCAAAGAGGGCGCCACCACCTTCATGCACTGGGACAAGGCCCAGGGCAAGCCGCGAGGCCATGACACTGAAGCACTGCGCCGTGTTGTCTGCGGAGAAATCCTCTTTGCCTTGAAGCTTGAAAAGGATGTTGTCCCAGAAGTTGCCGCTCTCGAGTGCGGGCCAGAGTGGCTGTCCGTATCGGATGAGGTGGTCATGCGAGGACGCCTGCGAGGCACAGGAGAGGGCACGTTGCTCCTCGGCGAGCACATCGACACCGACAAACGTATGCAAAGGCGCCAAGTTCCTTTGACGGAGCGAGGCCTGATCGTCAACGTGTTCGACGAGATAAGCGGCACTGCTGCTGGTGCTCATGAGTACCAACCAGAAACACAAAGTCTTGTATTCATCCTGGAGCATGCCAATGTAGTTCCAAGCACGGTGGAGGCTGTTGAGCTGATTGTTGGGCGCGTTGGGCTCGGTGATAATCATTTCAATGCATTCATCAAAGGCTACCAGCACTGGAGGCACTGGCACTTCGGCTTGACCCGAGTGCAGATGACACGACACGGCAATTAGCTGCTCGTTGAGATCGATAAGAGGCTGCCGGAGAGCCATGTCAAAGATCGTTTCGTAACTGGGTGTTAGGAAGGATTTGGAAGCTTTCCCCTCTACGAGCTTGAGTACAATTGGGAGATTGCTCTCTGCGAGCTCGGATATGGCCTTGAAGTGGTTGTTGCGGGGATAGCGGTCAAGAGGCTTGGGCAGACCATCGTCACGGGTGACTGGTTCGAATCGATTGAGATTGCAAAGATGTTGATACTTTTCGGCATCGGTCTTCCAAGGTCTCAATGCTTGGGCAAGCGTGGTGAACCAGGCACGAAGGAAGCAGGCCACTTGAAGGTCGCACCTGCTGGAATATTTGCTCTGTGCATTGGCAAAGTAGGTTCGGACGCCTTGGTCTGGGAGTGGATAGCCAGCCTTGGTGTTGCTCTCGGCGCTTCTGTTGCGAAAGCAGACGTAGAGGAGGGGGGTTCGTTGCTGACATTTGTACACCATGCGTGTCTTGCCTGTACCACTCGACTGAACAATGGGGGTGCCGCGAAAGTAAGGCTTGGGTTCATTTGGATCGAGTTTGGCATAGACAGCATTGAGGTGAGAGACAAAGGTGAGGAAGCAATTGGGTGCATCACCACAGTAGGGTCGATAAAACCCGTTTTCAAGATGAATGCTGGTACCGATCACCTCTGGATCTCGGGAGCGCTTGACATGCGATTGTGCGAGGTGAACGATGACCACGGCAAGGGCCTGGTCGGGGCTATTGAAAGTGGGGAATCACGAGGTGAGGTTGTTGTAGACAGTGGCAAGCTGGTCAACGATGGGGGTGGTAACATCGTTGAATACGTTTTTGAGCTCTGGTATGACTGCGCAAAATTTAGACTGGTGTTTGATGAGGCGATCGACCATTGAAATGAGCATGCCAGGACACCAAGATTTATCCCTACTATACAGATCGCAAGCCATTTTGTGTATGCCGATGAGAAAATCCCAATCTTCAATGCGTCTGAGCTGAGCTAGAAGACTTGTTGCCTTGGAGGTGCGAGGGGTATTCTCGAGAGCTTGTTGGGGTAGCGCTGAAGTGGGCTTGACAGGTGTGGTAGGATCGGCAACCTGCTTTGACTGGGGGCTGCGATGATGCAAATTAGGGTGGGATTTGAAAAAAGAATCGAGAAACTCGTAGATGCGATCCAGAGGCCATTTGTTACGTTCGAAATGGCTGAGTCGATCATGCAACATTGCAGAGACTTCGAGAAGAAGAGGTGATGATGTTGAGACGATCTGGTTGTCATCAGAAGATGGCGGAAGTAATTCATTGAGCTGAGACCATTGTTCTTTGAGGCCTGGCAATGGTGCATTGCTGCTACTGGAGCTTGGCGAATGCGAGGGTGGTGAAGACGACATGATGGAATGGTGAAGCCCAAGCACACTAAATGCTAGCCGATATTGAGTAGACCTAAGATTGTGGCCAGAGAAAGCGTGTCGTGGGTGGTGGTTATGGTGATGGTAGTGATGATGGTAGTGATGATGATGGTGGTGATGATGATGAATCCGAGCTGAGCTTTCATCTTACTTGCGCACCGTACAAGCAAAAATTTGAAAGATAGGTATCAGACTTTCTCGTGCGGCTAGTTTTCGCGCGAGAAGATTTCGATTGAGCATTCTCGTGTGGCTAGTATTCGCACGAGAGAGTAGTTGAAGTTGAAGAGAATTTTTTTGCAGCTCTTGAAAATAGAGAAGGGGGTATCAATTTTCGAGTGTTTTTAGAAACACGTGTTTCTCGATTTTGACGACCCCTTTTAAGGATCCAAAAAACATGTGTTTCTAAAAACACATCTGCAGCAAATGTGACATTTGGTTCGATTTAACATGTATGTTATTAATACTGAAGCTCATCAGTATCATGTTAGCATGTGCTTCACACTGTTACAGATGGTCATGGTCAATCAAGTCTTTTGCAGAAGGATCTCACTAAGTATGACAATGAACTAAGGTGCTAGGTGTCAGCAGTCATGTGCCTGAAACCTGAGATCAGTAGTAGTATCAGTACTATCACTGATTCTGTCGAGTTATGTGACAGTGCTAATGGTATTTCGATTCCTAGTGAAATATGTGACAGAGCCTTCTCTGTCACCTTTCTCATTGGAATCTGTAGTTGTATTATCGTTATGACAGATTTCGACTAACTGCTGTGGACACTCCATCCAGAGGTAGCTCGGTGTCAGGGGTCTCGTGCCTGAAACCCAGGTCAGTCTGTCGAGATACTCGGTGACTATCAAACTGTGCGACAGCTATTGTCTCAGTATCGGTGACTATCAAGTTGCACAGTGACAGCAGGTGGCATTCGTTGTATATACTATCATAGGTTTCGGCTGACCTCTGTGGACACTCTGCTCAGGGGTAGCTTGGCATGATCAATATCAATACATAGGTTATGTTGACACCAAGGTCTGGTGTGAGTGTTGATGATGATGAGGTTGATGGTGTTGGTGATAAGGTTGGTGAATGTCGATGATAATGAGGTTGGTGGTGTCGGTGGTTGGTGGCATCAACACAAGTGTCCAGTGTGTTGACTTGATGCTTGAAGTGATCCCCAGACTGCAGTGGACTACTGCCTTCGGTTCTATCTATATCCGGACCACTAACCTGCTATGGGTGCCTTCGGACGTCAGGTAGTGGTGATACAACACACACACTACAATGAGGAGCAACCTTGATAGATTGCTGCTATGCTGACTGAAACTAATGTATACTTATGCTGAAGTGATAACTAGTTATATGATGAGTAGAGTGGATGAGGATCCACTCGACCTATGATGATGAGAAAGCATGGTTATATACCTCTTCACAGCATCACCAGCGATGCTGCTCCTGCTCTCTCTCCAGAGAGTACCTTCTTCATCGAGTGCTGTTCAGGGGCCTCTCCTGCTTGGCACCCCTGTGCCTCTTGAGCTGTGTCGACTCCTTCGACACTGCTCCTCCTCCTCATGACCTGGTGTCGACTCCTTCGACACTGCTCCTTCTCCTTTGATCAGTGACAGTTCCTTTGGCTCTTGTCTCTCGAGCCCCTGAGTGGTAACCATCTGCATGCTCCTTGAGCTTGGTCCTCTTCGTGGCTGTGCCCGGCCCTCCTTGCATATGGGCCCAGTCCTCCTTTGCATGTGAGTCCATAGGAGTCCATGGTCTCCATGGAGACTGCACTACAACCATGCTCTCTACTGGTATCAACTAGATCTTCGATACCTGTGCTCCTTCCATATGAACCTGTGACCCTCCTGCTTCTTGAGCATCCAGGCCCATGACACTCGGCATGATCAAACTACAATATGACTCTAAGTGAGCTTGATATTGACACCAATGGTCTGGTGTGAGTATGGATTGTTGATGCTGACACAAGTGTCCAGTGTGTCGACTAATGCTTGAAGTGATCCCCAGGCCACAGTGGATGTCTGCCTTCGGTTCTATGGTTATCTGGACTGCTGGTTGCTACAAACTGCCTTTGGACATCAGGAAACAGTGATACAACACACGCACTTTGATGAGGAGCAATCTGTTGACTACTTCTATGCTGACTGTGAACTAATGATACTTATTGCTTGAAGTAATACTAGTTTGTTTGATGAGTAGAGTGGATGTCCCTCCACTCGACCATTTGTGACAAGAAGGTATGGTTATATACCTCTTCACAGTGTCGCCAGCGACACTGCTCTGACTCTCTCTCCAGAGAGTACCTTCGCCACCAAGTACTGTGAAGGAGTCTCCACTGAAACTCCTCCCTCACCATGCCTCGTCGCTCCTGTCTTTTCTGAGCTGTATCAACTCCATCGACACTGCTCCTCCTCCTCATGATTGGTTCACTGGTGCCCGCCACACAGCTCCTCTTCTCTCAACCAGCAATGGTTCTCTTGTCTGCATATCTCCTGAGCCCCTGAGCGGTAACCGTCTGCACGCTTCGTGAGCTTGGTCCCTGTCTCGGCAGCACTCGATCCTCCTCGCTTGCGAGCATGGTCCCTCTCACATGTGAAATCGTCATATGAATGTTGTTGTCACTGATCTCAATGAAATCTGCCATACTATCATACTTACTGCAGATTCTGGTAAGATCTGTGTTATCGAGTTTGTTCGTGCAGATCCCAATGAGATCTGTCATAGAACTGGGTCTACTACCGATTTCGCTGAATTCTTCTGTAAATCTACCAATCCACCTGATCCTTCGATTCCTGTGCTACCTTCATATGAACTGTCGGGTCTTCCCACTTCCTGTGCCGCCAAGCCAATGACATTACCCCCCTCTTAAGGGCCGAGCTCTGTTGAGGCCAGCCTTGCTTCTTGTCTATGCCATACCATCTCTCTTGTGCTGTTCATTGCCATCATTGAGTCACCCCTTTCCTAATATGACTTCTCCTTATCATACTCGTTCACAGGCAGCAGCCACAAGTGTGCCCCCTCCTCTTCCCCGCCATCATCAGATCATTGCTCAGCTGTGTCCTCATGAGGACTTGGCTCCTGCAACCGAGCCTCCTGCCTTGCCAGTGCCAACTCATGTAGCTAATCCCCTGGCCTCCCCTGTAGCTCCTCATTCACCATTGGAGCTGCTTTTCTTGGGGATGGATGATGACATGGTCATCCCCAGCCCCCCTCCTTCCCCATTCCTGGTCCCTCCTCCTGCACTTGGGGGGAGTGACTATTCTCCAGCTTCCCCAGAGATTGACTTGTATGAGGTGGATGTGAGACATCCTGCACCAGAGATGTCGACTCCGGAGCACCAAGTGGCATGGGAGGCCGAGTTAGCTTGCTCTCCTACTCCTCCTCCTGCTGCTGACAATATCATTGACATGGTCTTGGAGGTCTCCTGCACTGGTACTCTGGTTTTCTGTCCTGGGGTTCAACCCCTGACACCTCCTCCTCATTGGATGGGGCATCGAACTCCTCCTCCTCCCCCTCCTGACTGCCATCTCCCGACAAATGGGGAAATCGCCAGATGGTCCAAGAGATTCTTTGTTGCCAAGCTCATGGCTCAGATTGCTGACTGATACTTCCCTTTGGATTGGGACATCCCTGCTGGTTCCTTGCCTGAGCGCCACCTTCATAGGCTGGTTATGCTGCACCTCACTGAGGGTTGCATGCCCTGGCCTAGTTGGCAGTGCCAGCAATGCTTCAACCTTGGTACTCCATAAGTATCTCCTTCCCTGCTTCTTCCACAACCTGCTAGTGCTAATCCTCCTTTTTTCATTTCAGTTGTTTCCCTTTGGCTTTCACCAACCCTTTTGGTGAATGCCACTGAATTCCACATGCTTGCACCCATTGCTACTTGGCTGGCTTGGGTCGTTGCAAGCATATGATTCCTGCCCATCTGGGCATAGAATATCCTGGTGACTGTACCCCAGACATGCAGCCGCGGGGCTCGCATCGGGCTGAGTGAGCCCATCTAACCATGCATGATGGTGACAGCCCTGGCCTAGTTTGTTCCCAGGAGCAAACAATTGACCCTGTCATGACTCAAGACTGGGTGACCGTGATGTGCGTCATTTGGCATCTTCATTGCCAAGAACTAGTAAGTTCACTTCTCCAGGCGCTTCAGACTTATGTTGAGTGCCACGATCGACTATACTCTGAGCACCAGCCTCATGAGTCTGTAATGGAGTCTGGTGGTCCTCCAGACTTTATCAATGAGTGGGTGGCCCCCACTGAGGAGGAGCTGGTGATTTGTTTGTCTCTTGCTCCTCCCCCTCCTCCTTCCTCCTATGTCGATATGTAGTGACATGTCACATTCTGCAATATCGATGCCTCTTGTTCCTGAATGAGTCTGTGTCCTGACTCCTGCAGTGTCACTTATGAGCCTGGCTGTTGATTACCATGCTCTTGAGCCACTCCTTGTATGTTGAGGGTAGTATTTCAGATCCTCTTCCTGAAATCTGCCATACCACTAGTACTGTGACAGATTTCCGCATAGTCTGTAATAGCACCTCTACTCTTGCATTTTCTGCTCAAATCAGTTCTAACTCTCTTCTTACTGATTTCTCCTTTTCCTCATGCTCGTTAGCTTCATCCCCCCGCTGAAACCTCATACTCCCAGATGAGGTCAGGACAGTTGAGATTCGACAATGGTTCCCAAGAGGCAGCCTCCTCAGGATACCCCCTCCAAAGCACTTTTTATTCTGTCATCCCATTGTGTGAACACTTGTTGACAATTGCTTCAACTTCGAAGTCAAGGTCCTCATCTGGTAGTGATGGTACGATTGGTTGTGTTGATCATTGAGGAATCGAACTATTCCTTGCTGGTTTGAGCAAAGACACATGGAACACATCATGAACTCTGAGGTTTGCTGGCAATGTGATTCTATAGGCTCATTGGCCCACCCTTTCTTGTACTGGATAAGGTCCTGCGAACCTGGTGTCCAGCT